GCAGAAGGAACTCCAGAGCAGAGGAGAGCAAACTTTTTGCATTAGCGTTGTTGCATTTCCGGCCGGGCAACCTTCTCTGGAGGCTAGGGGTGGGCGGGGCCAGAGGCAAAAGTGGGTGGAGCAAGGAATGTAAAATTTGCCATTCGGCAGTACAGTGGTACCTCGGGTTAAGTACTTAATTTGTTCCGGAGGTCCGTTCTTAACCTGAAACTGTTCTTAACCTGAAGCACCACTTTAGCTAATGGGGCCTCCTGCTGCTGCCGCGCCGCCGGAGCACGATTTCTGTTCTTATCCTGAAGCAAAGTTCTTAACCTGAAGCACTATTTCTGGCTTAGTGGAATGTGTAACCTAGTGCATATGTAACCTGAAGCGTATGTAACCCGAGGTACCACTGTAGGCTCATTTGTGCGGGCACGCGCAAAGACACCTCCATCCTCCGTTCAGGCAAAGCAAGAGGCATTATCAGGGTGCAAGGATACTTTCCAGCCAAGCGGAAACATTCAAGGAGGCTTTGAAGCAAAGCTGGTGATCATAGGGGCCAACTCTCTAGGGTCCTGGGTGAATTATTATTATTATTAATAATAATAATACAATAATAAATGTATTTATACCCCACCCATCTGGCTAGGTTTCCCGAGCCACTCTAGGCAACTTCCAGAAAAATATTAAAATACAGTAATTCATCAAATATTAAAAGCTTCCCTAAACAGGGCTGTCTTCAGATGTCTTCTAAAGGTTAGTTGTTTATTTCTTTGACATCTGATGGGACGGCGTTCCACAGGGTGGGCACCACTACCGAGAAGGCTCTCTACCTGGCTCCCTGTAACTTCGCTTCTCACAGTAAAGGAACCGCCAGAAGGCCCTCAGCGCTGGACCTCAGTGTCCAGGCAGAACGATGGGGGTGGAGACGCTCCTTCAGGTATATATACTGTGCCAAAGCCATTTAGGGCTTTAAAGGTCAGCACCAACACTTTGAATTGTGCCCGGAAACGTACTGGGAGTGAATGTAGGTCTTTCAAGACTGGTGTTATGTGGTCTCAGTGGCCACTCCCAGTCACCAGTCTAGTTGCTGCATTCTGGATTAGTTGTAGTTTCTGGGTCACCTTGAAAGGTAGTCCCACGTAGAGCGCATTGCAGTAAATTCCACATCAAGGGAAGTTAAGGCTGCATTCTCTCACATAGCTGGCTATATCTTGCACATAAGCCCCATTTGACACAGCAGGATGATCTTCTGATAAAGTTTCAGGCCATAAATGGGATCATAGAAACAGAGTTGTAGAGTTGGAAGGGACCATGAGGGTCATCTAGAACCACCCCGTGCTGCAGGAATCTTTTTGCCCAATGTGGGGCTCGGACATGACTCATGAGATTGAGAGTGTTCTAGCACTTTCTGCAAACAAAGCTTGGTGCTGGATAAAATCATCATAGAATTGTAGGGTTGGAAAAGACTCCCTTGCAACACCTTGCAAGGCAGAAATCTCAACACACAGTCCCTTGCCCAATTTGAAACCTGCTTAGCTTTGCAAATGTGCCAGCAATTTCATTGCTGTGCCACCAAATTGTGAGTTGGCCTCTCCACAACTGTCTGGCTGCTCTTAACCAAAGATCTTGAATCACACTGCGCTACTCAGAACTTGCCAAACAAGAGTTCATGACTGGATTGCCCCATCCCTGAACTCATCTCTACAGCAGACTGGGGAAAGGGGTGCAGTTCACAACCAGTTGTCACTCTGGCGGAGGTTATTAACACTGTGAATGTTTCCAGGGGAGTTTTGTTGTTAATAATAACACAAAGGAAACCGCACACTACCCAGCGATACACAGGAGAAAATGAGGAACAGCCACCAGCAAAGAAGAGGAAGGAAGAGGAAAGGAAATAGCAGAGTGGTAAGAGATAAAGATCGGGATGCAGAAAGATGTTACCATTTAGCCGAGGAGTGCTTCCAAACCTCAAATTTACCCCCTATAAATCTAGCCTCTTCTCATCCTGCACATAATATAAGGCTTATTAAGGGGACCCCAAATTTTGCAGTTCGTGGTTAATGAAGCCCATAATATAAGAACCTAAGGCTGCATTTTAATATTTTAATGTTTCAATAGTTTAATTGTTGTATTTTATTCTTGTTTTTAAGTTGTATTCATTCAACTTGTTTTATTATTGCTTGTTAGCCACCCTGAGCCCGGCCTTGGCTGGGGAGGGCGTGGTATAAATAAAAATTATTATTATTATTATTATTATTATTATTAAGAAGAGCCCTGCTGGATCAGGCCAATGGCCCATCTTGTCCAGCATCCTGATCTCTCAGTGGCCAACTGGGTGCCTGTGGGAAGCCTGCAAGCAGGACCTGAGCGAAAGAGCCCTCTGCCCCCCTGCAGTTTCTGGCAGCTGCCATTCAGAAGCATTACTGCCTCCCGCTGGGAGGGAAAGCATAGCCATCAATAGCCTCGACCTCCGTTAATCTGCTCAGTCCTCTTTTAAAGCCATCCAAGTTAATGGCCGCCACTGCCTCCTGTGGCAGTGAGTTCCATAGGCTCTTTCATCTGTCCTGAATCATGAACATTCAGCTTCACTGGAGAGGCACAAGTTCTAGGTGGAGGCACAAGTTCACTGGAGAGGCACAAGTTCTAGGTGGAGAGAGGGCGGAAAGCCTTTCTCTATCCAAGCTTCTCTCACATCCCCTCTTTATTCGCCTTTTCTCCTAACTGTAAAGTCTCATAGGCTGCAACTTTTCCTCACAAGGGAGTCACCCCATTCCTTTGTTTATTTTGGTTGCCCTTTCCCAAAGCTTTTCCAGCTCGACAATATCCTCCTTGAGGTGAGGCAACCAGAACTGTACATAGTATTCTGAACAAAAGATTCCAAATATGCAATTTCCATTGTCCTTTTTTCCTTTCCTTTCCTAAATGCAAGGCAATGTGGTCTGATCCATAGGGGCTGATGGGGGGCACTGCCCCACTGAAGCGCAGTCTGCCCACCCCTCGCAACCCCCCTGCCGCCTTATTTATTTAATATATTGACACCCTGCCTTTCTCGGCAGCTTAAAACATTTAAAGACATCACTTGTAGAATGCAGAAGAATGAAAGCAAACTAGTTAAAAGCAGTAATTAAAATGCCTTTGCCACATATTTGAAAGCAATAATTAAAATCCAGTTTGCCCTGACATCAGCCCACTGGTCAGCATCATCTGCACCTTAGTTTTCTATTATTATTATTATTATTATTATTATTATTATTATTATTATTATATTGGTTTTTATAAAGTTTTCAAAAAAATTAAAAATTTTGCTTCACATACAATATACTATTCTCTTACATTTTTCTTTTCGAATTCTCACCCTTCCCACCCTGATGTTTTTGTTCCTATCCTTGGTTGCTGTGTTCTCCTTGTTACCAAACCCCCTAACTCCATGTTATCGTTTTCCTTTCTTTCTTTTTTCCCCTGCCACTCATATCTCAAATCCTGCTCATGATTTCATATTGCTATAGTACTTTGACAGATAGTTACCAAAAAAACCCTCTCCAGTTTTCTACAAGCAGTTCATCATTTGGGTCTCTTAGCTTTACAGGCCATTTTGGCATAATCCGTTAATTTTGTAAGCCATTCTCTTTTGCTTGGAATCTCTTCCTCTTTCCATTTCTGCACGCAGAGAGTTCTGGATGCAGTTGTTGCATTCCTGGTTGTCAGCAGGGAGAATGATGAGTAAAAGCATGTCTCTATGACAGAGCAGGTGGGGTGAGAGGGCACTTTGGAGAGTAAGAGACAAACGCAGAGGGCGTATTCAGGAAGAAGAATTACTTCCAGCTTTCCACCCGTGATTATATAGGGGAAGGTACACGGCCACCTCGAGAGCACCCGCTTTGCATGCAGTGGGACCCGAGTTCGATTTCTGTCACCTCCCGCAGCAGGAAATCTCTTCCCTGGGTTCACCTAGTTCAGTACAGTGGTACCTCGGGTTAAGAACTTAATTCATTCCGGAGGTCCGTTCTTAACCTGAAACTGTTCTTAACCTGAGGTACCACTTTAGCTAATGGGGCTTCCCGCTGCTGCCACCGCTGCACGATTTCTGTTCTCATCCTGAAGCAAAGTTCTTAACCCGAGGTACTACTTCTGAGTTAGTGGAGTCTGTAACCTGAAGCGTCTGTAACCTGAGGTAACACTGTATTCTGATCTTCTATGAAGCTGAGGGGTGGGTCCCAATGAGCAGCACCTGATTTTCAACTATAGACTGCCTCTGAAGCTGGGGGCTCAATTTTAGCTAACCATTCCCAAACACAAGTCAATCTTTTCCAGGGCTAGATTTATTTTCCTTCTGCTCTACTGGAATACTGGGCGGCAGTGGGGGGGGGCTTGGGGGGATTGGAGCAATAGGAAGAGGAATACGTGGGTGCCCCCAGGTCGCCCAGTGAGTGTCAGGGCCAAGTGGGGATTCCAGCAACTGTTCAGAAGCCTTTCTGCCTCTAGCATAGACATCGTGGCTAGAAGTCACTGACAGTCTTCTCCTCTGTGGATTTGTCTAATCCTTTCTCCCCACCCTTTTAACAAAATATTTTTATTGAACAAATTTAACATATCAAATTATAAATCAATAATCAATAATGTCTAATCCTCTTTTAAACCATCCAACTTGGTGACGACCGCTGCTTCCTGTGAGAGTGAGTTCCATAGGCTAACTCTGCACTGTCTGAAGAAGTACATTGTTTTCTCTGCCTTTCAGCATCCCGCTTCGTGGGATGTCCCCGAGTTCTAGTCCAACCAGATCGGCGGGGGCGCAGGATTACTCGGCAGAGGTGGGATCCTTTCATAGCTGTCAGCTTTTCCCTTTTCTTGTGAGGAATCCTATTCGGAATAAGGGAATCTCCCTTTAAAGAAGGGAAACGTTGACAGCTATGGATCCTTTGGCCCTCGAGATGCTCTTGGACTTCGTCACTGGCCAGGCTGGCGACTGGGGTTGATGGGAGTTGGAAGCCAACGACGTCCGGGAGGGACCCCGCTTCCCCATTCCTGAGCTTAGAGAAGGCTGCGTCGTGCGCTGACGCAGCTGCCTACCCGCCGCCGCCCTCCTGCGCCCTACAAGCTGCTCAGCTGGACGCAAGAGTCGATCGGAGGCTTTAGGACCCGTCCGGCCCGCGGCTGCTTCCGCCGGTGCTGGACGAGCGCGGGAGGGCAGGGCGCTGGAGCCGGGGGCGGCCACCGCGGGCTTGACGCTCGGCCACCCCCACTGAGAAGGACGGAGCGCGCCTTCCGGGAACCATGCGCGGACGCCGGCGGGGCGCAGCTCAGCGCGCAGGTGAGCTCAGCCCAGCGGGACCCCCTCCCTAAGCAAACCCGCCCCTCGTGGGGGTGGGCGGTGAGAGCCCCTTCCCCACGCTCGACGGGGGCTCTCCCCCCCACATCTCCGCGGTGGGGATTTCTGTGATGGGGCCGCTTCAGTGTTGTCCGGGGTTCCGACGTGCGCTTTCTGACGGTGGGGAGACTCAGAAATTCCGTTGGGGTGGGGGGTGTTCAGCGCCTGGTGCGCTGCCATCCTCTGCGTGTCTCCCTAGTAGAAACCATGGGCAGAGAGTGTGTGCGTGTTTAAGTGAGGTTGCAGCCTCACCCGCCGTCGGGTTGATCGTATATTAAAAGTCTGCGCTTTATTCTTTTGAGGAGAGGGAACCATTGAGGACGGAGCGGGCTGGGCACTGCGGGGCGAGGCAGGTGGCGTGAAACCACTTGCTGGCCGCCGGGGTCCGGCTTCTCTGCTTCTGGGGGAACGCAGGATCCCCGATGCCGATCCATAGCTGTAAAACGTTTCCCTTTTTTAAAGGGAAATTCCAGTATTCCGAATAGGATTCCTCGCAAGAAAAGGGAAAAGTTGACAGCTATGGCCGATCCCTCGGTTTGCGGGGGAGTAGTGACGCTGTGCTTCGACTCCTCGTTTTCTTTCCTCTTGAAAAAGCCCCAAACTCGCGTTTTCTTCGGCGAGGGCTGAACGAGGACAAGCCCCACACCTAGCAAACGGGACGTGGGGCCTGCGTGCAAGTGTGTCTGTTGGAGACTCAGTGAGACATCCTCCCTGTTTAAGGAACGCGGTTAGGATGGCAGCTTTCCTGCCTTCCGAAAATGCGCGCGCATGCAAAGTTGCGGTGCTGCTTTTTTTCTTCTTCTCGTTTTCCTCCCCTTCCTCCTTTCTTTCCACCCTTCCTGCAGCGTCTTCGTTTCCGGGAGGGAGCCCTGCCTCTCCCTCGCTTCCTCTTCTCTCTCCATACTTCTTGGCTTTTGCAGGACTTTGCCCAGGCGGGAGCTTTTCTCCCAACTGTTGCGTCCCGGATCTTGGAGGCTGCCCTTACACGCCCGATCTTCGGAGGGAAAGCAGTTTTGCAGACGCGCACACACATATCTTTTGCATTTGATTCTGAATGACTGGAAACCTCTAGATGCTGATGATTTCTTTATTTTGGGGCATGTACAGGGTGCCCAGAATCACAGCAGAGTTTGAGCAGCTTTGAGCTTGACTCTTTAGGCCACTGATTTTTAAGTACAGTAGCGGTTACTTTTGACCTGATGTTTTGGACCACAACTCCCATCATCCTCAGCTGGCAGAGCTGATGGGTGTTATCCACAAAAGCATCTGGTTTTGGAGAGCCTTACATAGTGTGAAATGTTTTTTAACTGGGCTTGTTGTATTGTTAGATGGATTTTTATATTTGATGTACCTTGGGATTGCTTGCTTTGCAAAAAGTGGGTGAAAATGTGTAGGTAATAGTTTTATTACCAGATGCAAAGGGGGACATTCGTTTGCCTTCAGACCTGTAAACTTTGGCTGCAAGAGACGCTGCATTAGCTAAAACTTGGTTGTCATAATTTCCCATGATCCCTTCTTGTCCTCACAACTTCCCTGGGAGGTGGGCTAGGTCGAGAGATGGAGGCTGAACCAAAGTCACCCCTGAGCTTTGAAGCTGAGCGGAGATTGCAGCTCAGGGCTCTACACTTCCAGCCTCCTGGGACCTTCTCAACATGGTTGGACTCGTGACTTCCACCATCCCTGATCAAGTGGGCATCCCAGTTAGGGGCTGATGAGAGTTGTGTTATGACAATATATGGGCCACAGGCTTTCTCCTCCATTCTGATTGGCATTCACTTTCCCACACAGCTCTTAAGCCTTCCAGAAGAGTGGCTGTCGTAACAAAGACAGAGCCTTGCGGCACTTTTGATGGCGTAGCAGATTGGGGTGTGTGTGTGTGTCATCAGCTTCTGTGGACTAACATCCAAGTGATCAAGTGCATGGCTAGCCTCGGTTCTCTCTCATAGGCAGCTGTGCTCAGGCTGAGGGGCCAAATGGCTTTGGAAATGCAAGATGCACAATTTCTTTGGCAGGGAGGGGGGTGGAATTCAAAACATATGGAGGGCAGCTCCGGTCAGTAAGCCACACTGACTCTTCACCACATCTGCAGTCTGTGGCAAATGTTGACCGAGTTTGAATGTATGCACTGATCACTCGCAATAGGGGCATGTTATAGCATCACCAAAGGCCCAGGCTTTGGTTTGCTGATTTAATGCCCTGCGGTGGGAGAGAGAACCTAGCTTCCTATTGCGTCCTAGATGAATACAATCAAACCGGCAGAAAAGTTATAATTGAGCAATTATGGGAGTGGGTGTACTTACTGCAACAGTTAAGGACAGTGGTAAAGACCTTGTAAGCACTGGGTTAGGTCTTCTCTCAACATCCTCCAGAGGTTAGTCTAAAGCAGAGGAGGGAGACCTCAGGTCCGGGGACTGAATGCAGTCATCCAAGTCTTTCTATCTGCTCCTCGGATTCTGCAGACCACTCCCCACATACACACCTGAGTAGCTCGCACCCACCTTGCGTATTTCTGCCTGGGCGAAATGTATCCTCAAACTTTCATAATGCCCTCTTGCTTCTTTATTGATTTTAAATATTTCTATATGACAAGTAACTAAAGTTCCATAGCAGTTAATAGCAATTAAAGCAAAATTATAATTATAAGATTATAAAAAGTATATAATAAAACTGAAGAGCAGTACAGTGGTACCTCGGGTTAAGTACTTAATTCGTTCCAGAGGTCTGTTCTTAACCTGAAACTGTTCTTAACCTGAAGCACCACTTTAGCTAATGGGGCCTCCTGCTGCCGCTGTGCCGCTGGAGCACGATTTCTTTTCTCATCCTGAAGCAAAGTTCTTAACCCGAGGTACTATTTCTGGGTTAGCGGAGTCTGTAACCTGAAGCGTCTGTAACCTGAAGCATATGTAACCCAAGGTACCACTGTACAGTGATCCAAATAGAACAAGCATAACAGTGTGGTTAATTTCCAAAGGCCAATTGAAACAAAGGTAGTGAGAAGTCCGGAGAATTTTCCTAAGAAGGGAATTGCATTAATATTCTGCTCCTGAGGGAGGATAATAGTTTTATTCTGTTCTATTTTCATAATTCTGTTTTATTATTTTTATGTTGTATTTTCCTGTACCACTTAAGAGTTTTTAAAATATTAAGTGGCTCAGAAATGTTTTAAAGCAGCTGTTGCCAAACATTTTCGAGGCACTGCCCCCTCGGTTCCATAAACTCATTCCCAGTGCCCCCTACCCTATTGAAAGTATTGTTAAGAAAAGCCGTTTACATGACCCACTAAGGAGGATAATAACACAATAAAATTCAGAAATCCAATTAAAACTATCTTATTTAATTAATTCAACAACACCGATGAACTTGCTCCAATGATACCAACTTTTCAAAGTCTTATAGTCAATTAGCAAGAGTCTTACTATGTTTAGTAACTACAGTGGTACCTCCAATTGCGAACAGGATCCGTTCTGGACGTCCGGCCGTATCCCGAAGTTTTCGCAACTGGAGAGCCCGCTTCTACGCATGCATGAGCGGCGAAACACTTCCAGGTTTGTCGCTTTCGCAACCCCAAGTTAACATTACCCGAGGGTAACGTAACCCGAGGTTCCACTGTACTTCACTGTTTTGTAAATTCTTAATACGATGCGTGGGCTTAATAAAGTGTTACCAGTTTCTCTGCTTCAGAGTCACGTAGCAGGAATCTTAAACCACCATGTTTCGTAATCTGGAGTTGATTTATTTGCTTGGAGAGAAGTTGGACAACCACACTAAAACCACGTTCCACCAAATTGGATGCTGAAAATGCAACAACAGGCTTCTGAACCACTTTTCATAGTGCAGGATAGCAGATCAGAAATTTCCTCCTGTTCCCAGAACTATTGGTATGATTTTTTACAACTTTGGCTTCAGCTCAGTGTCGTTTTGTAGCTCAGTTTTTTGTCCACTGCCCCAGCTCCACTACATCCCAATGTGATGCTGTGGCTTTTAATTCTCCTAAAAAAGCTAAAGTAGTATTGGAAGCATAAACAGGAATGTGGTTCAAGGTCTGTTCCTGAGTTAAGGTTCACTTAAGAATTTATATTAGATTTATGTAATGGTCGGGCACAAAGGAAATTTTTGAGGTTCCTATGACAATTATGGGGTGGGTGGGTGTGTTTAACCTATACATAAATCATTACATTACTTGCCACAACAATATAAAGATCATACACCCAATGGGTGGGGTATAAATAATAAAATTATCATCATCTTCATTAAAGTTCAAAAACCTCTGGTTTTCACTGCTGGTCTCCCCCCATCCCACCCCCGTGCTGGATCACACACCCAAAGAAAAACCACTTTGTCAACATGGCTTTTAGCATATTATTACATATTAACTCTCACCAGCAGCCTGTTTTTGGAGCGGGACTGAATGATTGAATCATAGAACTGTAGAGTTGGAAGGGGTCCTAAGGGCCATCTAGTCCAACCCCCCTGCAATCCAAGAATCTAGAGGGCCACATTTGCCTTAAAGGTCTGAAATGCCTCACATCTGACTTAGTGTTATATGCCCCTACACAGTTACTGAGTCAATTTCACCTTTTCTTTTAGCTATGATTTTTGTGCTAGTCAGGCCTGTGTATGTTAATAATCCCTTACATACACTGGTTGGAATTGGACCTGCATCTCCTTGCTAGTAAGGTGGCAATAATGAGTGCGACCTACAGACAGGTGATCGTGTAGCAGCGTCCTGGCGAGCCAGTGGGGAAGCAACAGTTGTCAAAATTTGTAGGGAAGCCGCTATCTCTCTGTTGCTAGGACCAGGCGTGTTCTGCATCAAGTTAAACCAGTTTTTTTTAACCTTAAATAGCTTCTGTGTTTCCACAAATATTTGCGTGTACTGTACTGCAAAAGAAAAAGTGCATTTCTAAAAGGGACACACTTAACGTTTCCAAAATAGTTGATTGATGTTTGATTTTGTTTTTTAATGGTTTTTATTGCATAGTTTTATGTATACTTTGATACATTTCTGTCAATAGCAACATATAAACTATAAAAATATTTTTTTATAAATAGATACAATAATAATGAAGGGCTGTGAAACAGATAAAGCTGTGTATAATCACTTTTTAAATATGCAGATTATCATGTATGGCTCTTTGGGTGTGCTCAAACTAGTATTATTTAATTCATGGTTTGAATTTGATTGATCCAATGCTAATCCTATTCATAGCAGACCCATGGAAATCAATGGCCGTGACCAGAATGGGTCTATTAATTTCAGTTAGAAATTAACTTAGTTGGAAAATGCAACAATTTGATTGTGCAATTGCTTGTTTTGTTTTATTTGTTCTTTGTTATTGCTCCGGATAGGGCTCACAACACAACATATGTACAGTATAAATGGTAATCAGATATATAACGTAATATGGAATAAAAACATACATACACTATGAAATCAGCAGTAAATAGTACATTCTGTACCTTTGAAACACAATCACACACCTCTCAAAGAATTCTGGGCACTGTAGTTTGTCGGGGGGTTGCTGCAAATTGTAACCCTTTGATTATTCTATGTGAACTCCAAACAACATTTAAACCACACTGTAAGACTGCAGTCCTAAACTCATTTACAGTGGAGTATGTCCCACTGAAATGCTTGGTGCTTCTACAAAAACTTCTGCAGGACTGTGTTGTGTCCTTTCAGTGCTGGATTTACATATAAGCTAAACAAGCTATAGCTTAGGGCCCCACTCTCTTGGGGGCCCCTAAAAATTTTACAGAAAAAAAACCTGGATGTACATTTCCAAAGTATAAGATAAAAAACAAATAAAATAAAACCTACATACAGCAACAGTGTTTTGTTTTGTGTTGTGTAGGCTCCTATGATGTAATGGGCCCCCAATCATTTTAAGTTAGAGCTTAATAATTATTTCACTATTAATATACTTCTGCTTAATTGTATTTCACTATTAATATACTTCTTCTTAATTGTATTTCAGTTCAACAATTACTTTGATAAAATACATATTTTGTTATGTGCAAATGGCTCTAGATACCTATTAGGTCCATAAATTATCATATAGCATATATTCAACACAAAAAACAGGGACAATTTGTTGTTGACAAAGGACAGCTGGACATACAAAGGGCCCCATTACCTTCAGTAGCTTAGGGCCTCATCAAACCTTAATCCAGCCCTGTGTCCTTTATTGAACAACAACTCCTAATATTTAAGTTCAAGAGTTTTTGACTACAGAACCATTTTGACATGCTTAACCTCAAGCGCCCTAAATTGGATTGCAGAAGCCACATCACTACCAAGCACTGCCTGTGTTTCTAAGCATAATTTCATAGTTTTACCTCTGTGAGGACTAGAAACATGCATGCATTTTTCTCTGAGAATGCTTGTGTTTTCCACTTGTCACACTTGCTTTCTATAGCTCCAATCTTTTCTACACTCACCTCATGGTCGTTTCTCATGCCCTTTCTGAGAGATTCCTTTCATTAACCTCACTGCTTTTCAAAAGTTGGTTTTTCAAAGCATGGGTGAAAAGGAAGGTTGTGAATGAAAACAGCTAAAACGCCAGAGGCAAGCTTTTGTGACCTACAGAGTTCTTCAAGCTTAGATGTTCAGAGCAAAAACTTTCCCCACACTCTCCTGCAATTGCTAGCTAGAGCGTCTACCAAGCCTGGGCTGCTGAACAAGGAAGCAGGAAGTTATTTTATTTCTTTATCATTTTATTATGGAGGTACCTAGCTCACCTTCCAGATAAGCCCACAGAGCAGTTAAGATCAAAGAAATAAAAAGCATTAAAATGCATATACTCTAAAAGCAGAATGCTTTTTTAAAAATGCAATTTAATAATTATTAATGGCTCTCTTCCACCTTTCCCCCATATTTTATCCTAGCAACAAGTTAGGTTAGGCAGAAGGACTGACTGCATTAATCACCTTGCAGACATTGAGTGCTTGCTGGTGGACACCTGAGTTACAAAAATCCTCCCAGAGTAGCCGAGGGCCGCATATTCTCATGGAGAACCTCCTGGGGGCCGCATTACAGCACTGGGCAGGGCGAAGGGGGAAAGCTGGGTGGATCAGTGGTTCTGGATTAGCATTGCATTCAGCTAAGTACTACTCAGAGGAGATCCATTGGAATCAGTAGACCTAAGCTGGTTGTGCTCATTAACTACAGTGGGTCCACTCTGAGTAATGCCAGCATTGGCTACAACCCCAAAGGAGACTGGATTCCAACGGCACAAAATTTTGAGAGTATCTATGCCTGCATAATATGCCTTTCTTCGTTCTGCATTCAGGCATTATCAGAATTTGATGACACGTTTCACCTGGCGTAAGCGCTTAAAGGGGGTGCAGCCTGAGAAGAGTCCTGAGGGCCGGATAGGGAGACTTGAAGGGGCCTGAGGTTCCCCACTGTTGTGCTTGGACAATGTACCAAGTAGGGTCTGTGTGTGCCCCCTCCTTGTTAATACCTGCTTGTTTGTGGTGTTATTTCAAGCATCCAGACAAACTGGAACAGGCCCTCCAGTTCTTGTTTGCTGTGACTAAGTTTCATTTGTACCGCACCCTTCCTCTAAAAGGACACCAGGGTGGCCTTTGTGTTCTTCCCAGTTGCTCCACATCCATGTTTTTAAAAAAATATTTTCTTCATGGGATATATGCATTGCCTAGGCCAGAGCCTCGGTGGTGGGCGGCTTAACGACAGCACACGGAATTCCCAAATATGAAATTTTAAACATATACTGGCGACTTGTCCTCTTACGCAGGGCTTACGTTTCAGACCCTGTGTGCATAAGTGAAATTGCCTAAAGTGGGGAGCGCCTTCTAAATATCCTTTAAATGCCCTCTCTGCCGCTCTCCAATCCAGATCAAAAATACTGTACTAAAAATATCCACAACCGTAATGGAAGCTCTGGGGCTGGCTGGAGGCTGGAGACTGGACCAGATGGGCCATTGGCCTGATCCAACAAGCTCTTCTTATGTTCTTATGGAGGTGAAGGAGGAGGAAATGTCATCTGGCCTAAAGTCACCTGGAGATCTTCCTGAGTGAGGATTCAAACCCATCTCTCTTCAGTCAAGAGTGCGGCATTCATCCCATTATACTATGCTTCCCATCTATATCAACCTTAGGGAACTATTTGTTCCCAAACCTTTCACTGGTGACATTTGACGGGTCGGTGGGGCTGCCCACCTATCCATCACTTGATGTTGTATGACACGAGGCCATCCTATCCCAGCCAAAAGTGGCACACCTTGTAGTTGGCACCAAATTTAAATTGCGGCGAGTGACAGGTGTACTTTATTTTAGCCGTGGTCTTTAACTAGGACCAGTGGGTTGCTGTAAGTTAGTTTGTCTGGGTCACACAGTTGGGTTTGGCCTCTTCTGGCCGTGCACCCTAGCACTTCCTCTTATTGTTCTTCTCAGTTTGTCATGCTGTAATTTCCTGCACAGTCTTTGTTTTTCTTTGCTGTGTCCTTTCTTTCTGTACATTTCACATTTTCCCCGTCTCCCCGCCCCCCAGGTATTGTATTAGTTACAGCTTCTGTGTAAGAAAAAGGTTTGAAGTGTCAACCAGCCTAACTGTTTTTATTATTTTAAGTATTTTATAACATACTGCTTATTTACAGTATTCATGGCCCATTGAATAGTAGAACTTAAACAGGGCTGCCTGTGTCAGAAAGGAAATTGCTGCCTTCTCAAACCCCAAGTTGAGATCCCTCAATTCTCTGGAAGTCCCCGGCAGCTTCTATTGCAGGCTTCCTCAACCTCAGCTCTCCAGATGTTTTGAGACTACAATTCCCATCATCCCTGACCACTGGTCCTGCTAGTTAGGGATTATAGGAGTTGTAGGCCAAAAACATCTGGAGGGGTGAGGTTGAGGAAGCCTGTTCTATTGCCTCCCATCCTTCAAAGACCCTAAGCAGCAGCACCATAGAAATGGATCGGGGAGTGGTGGTGGTGATTTTGAAAGCAATTGATGATGGGGGGGGGGGATTAGCACAACATTACCTTGGAGGAAGATCCTCCCCTTCTTCCAGACTGATTTCCAAGATTTCATCTTCGTCGAAATCAAATGGTGTGCATGCCTGGTGTCTTGTGATTGATTATGCATTGACTGGGGCCCCCAAATATTTTATTCAAGTTGACACCCCTGCCAACTTCTCTCTGCCACAGTCTTTCCCTGCTTACTAAACCCTGTTACCTCTTCAGCTTTTGACGCCTCCCCCAAAATCTTCTCCCTCTGACCACTTAGCGTCATCCCATCACCAATCCCCGGGCTCTGAGCCTTCTTCCCTTGGGAATTTCCCAGCTGAATCTTCCCACCATTCCTCTGTGTGCAGCCAATCCATGACATCGAGGGAGCATGGGCATGGCCAGGATTTATGTTAACTGGGCAGGATTTATGTTGGGGGTGGGGCAGAGCCAAGCTATTTGCGAGAAGATTAGTCAGTTAGTTGAGTATTGTTATTTATTTATTTACTTGATTTGGGGCGGCAGCTGCGCCCTGCCTCCCCGGCCATGCCCACGCGAGGGGGCAATGCTTTTGAATGAATTCTCCAGCAGCCCAATCCTCCTGCTGGTTTCCTCGGGGCCACCAAACACCTGGAGGACCTATGCAGAGTGAGGAACAGGTGGTAATGATGATGATCCCTTGCCCTGCTTCTCATGCACGATTACAGCTCAAGAGGAGGTTGGGCCAAATTAATACTGTTCGGCAAAATGGCTTTTATCAGGAGTAATTAACCTCCGAACGACCACTTTATCTGCTTAAAAGCAGCTATGAGCACATCTCTGCCATTGCTCTGTAAACGAAACAGAGGAGCAAAAACAATGTCCATTAGCTTTGTTAGGTTAGCAGCTGATGAGTTACCAAGAAGCACTTAACTTAATGGAAATTCTCCCGCCCACCTTACCTTGATTTGGAGGGTTTTAGTATTTGCTAGGGTGCTCCCGACACAGAAACCCTGTCAGCTCATTTGTTTAAGAAATTACTCTATTGAAGTTAGGGAGCTTTTTAATACAACGGTGGCTCCAGCGTGGTTTAGTGTTGCAAGGATGAACCACTGTAAATCTGACGTTGCACTCTCCTCCCTCCCCTCTTTTCCTTCACTTTCATAGTAGATTAACCACAGTGTAATGTTACATTCAAACCATCAATTGTGGTTGGTGTGAAACAAGCCAGCTTCTCAGACTCTGCTTTGAAGTTGATTCGTTTTAACACACCATTGTTGTTGCTGTTTTTATCAGACTGCAAAGTAAAAAAATTACAGATCTGTTTGCCAGCACCAATAAAAAAAAGAAAAAAAATCAATTCAAGATGTGGATCCTCGTGGATCTTCATGATATTTACATGAGATGAGAGAGCAAAACCACCAGCAAATCATCAAATGCATCTCTGAACCTAGCAGTGACCTTTGATTGATTGATTGATTGATTGATTGATTATACTGATTGATTGATCCCTCCAAAAGGTACCATGGTGCAGCCTACGACACTTACAACAAAGCACCGTAATGATAATAAAACCATTTTAAATAACCAACAATTCAAATAAAACACATTAAACAACAGTGAGTGCAAAAGCTATTTTTATGACTGCACTACAAATAACACTTCAGGTTCCAAATGCATGGACAAACTCTACAATTCTATGAAGAAAATGCCTGGAACCAGTTTCTCAATAACTTTTGCAGTGGGAGCAGATGAAATATCCTTTGGGGTAGAATTCTAGGGTTTGGGGCTGCCACTGAGAAAGCCTGGTCTTGCATCACTGCCTTCCCCTTTGATGATGGTTTTGAGAGGACCCTTGTAAAATTATGAGGATCCATAAAGATCTAGGGAGGGGGTGACTCAGATATCCTCAAGAGCACCAGTGCCCAGACACCACATTGGTAGCTTGGGTTCTAACCACTACCCCACGCTACCATTCGGCAATAAGCAGTGCAGCGGACAGGAACTGGAGAGGTGGGGAAGAGTGTCCATTGGCAGAAGAGCTGTTCCAACGCTCCTCCCCTCTACCCCTCCCCAACCTAAACAGTGAGCAAGTTCTAGTTAAGCACAGCCATCTGGAATTGCACGTGGATAATGTTTCTTTCTTTCTTTTCCCTGAATGCGTCTCGGCTTGTCTGCCCTTTCTCCGTTGCCAGTGCCAAGCCGTTCACTGTTTACGCACTGCAAACATGTTGGCTGTCGGCATTTTCGAAGATTTGAGCACTTTCTGCCTCTTGCTCTGCCACTGGGACCACACAGTAGGCTTCAGTCTGAGTGTGATGGGAAGCTTAATTAGCAGTGGCAAACAAGGAAGGGGGGGCAGTCTCTAAGGAACCAAAGCGTGCCGCAAGCAATGCCAGCCTCTGTGATTCTCGTTTTGGGTTATGCTGGATTCGTCATCGGTTGTGCAAACCGGCAGCGACTTTTTGGCTTCTGTTTCCAGACGCACCATAGAACCATTAGCAGTTGCAAAAGAGGTGGGGTTGGAGGTGGAGAGAACGCAGTGGCATAGCTTCTTAACTGGGTGAGTTCTCTTGTCGGGGCCTCATTTAATGGGCATAACTGGCCTGAAGGACAGGGTTCACTTTTGCTACCTCCCAACGCCTTCGCATCTATGGGGTAAATCATTGACAGGGGCAAAAGGACTACAAGCAATGATGTAGTCATACTGAAGCTAGGCAGAGTTTATTGTCTGAGATTGCAAAGGTCCAGAGATGATGGAACAGGTGTTCAGTCTGCTCTGGAGATGACCATGTTCCCCCATAGCTTTGTAGTCTTGGGAATCATAGAATCACAGAATTGTAGAGTTGGAAGGGACCTCAAGAGTCATCTAGTCCAGCCCCCTGCAATGCAGGAATCTCAACTAGATCATATGTGACAGGTGGCCATCCAGCCTCTGCTTAAAAACCTCCAAGGAAGGAGAGTCCACAACCTCCTGAAGAAGGCTGCTCCATTGTCAAACAGCTCTTAGTGTCAGAAAGTCCTTACTGTCAGAAAGTCCTTCCTGATGTTTAGTCATAATATCCTTGTCACTTGAATTCAAGGTCAGGGTGGACCAGAAGTCTAAATAAATACAGCCAGAAGCTCTCTCTCGATCTTCTTCCTTTTTTTGCTTGACAATTGAGAGTGAGTGACTGAATCCCAGGTAACCTTTGTGACGACCGAGTTTAACAAAGTGCTTTAAATGTTGACACTCAGCCAGATTGCTAATGCTGGGCGTTGTTCTTAAGCGTAATGATTACTGGGCTAGTTCAGGTTCAAAGATCTGGATTGCTTAAACGGCTCCTTTTAACCTAGCTGGTTTAAGCCTGAACCTTCACTTCTAGTCTAGGGAAGGCAGAGTTGGAAATGGGCAGAGCAAGGTGTATTATTGGATCTTGCGTTCAATCAGACAGCTGCACAGAACTATTGCTGAATGTGCTGCAGAAGAGCTGTAGCTCTGGGACAGCATCTGTGTTGCATGCAGAAGGTTTGATCCTTGGCATCTCCCAGTAGGGCTGGAAAAGACTCCAATACTTGTCCTACTAAGAGTTCTTGTTGGCATCCATCTATCTTGAGTTAGCAACACCAAAGTGGCCTCCATGGTGCGCAAGCGTATGGAGGTCCTGGGCTGCTCAAACAACACGACTCCTGTCTCAACCTCGCTGATGTGGTCCAAAGAAAGCAGAGCAATATGTTTGGCACCGGCATGGCTGCAGGAATTGCCAGAAGGAGGTGTACAAGGCGCCATCCAAGTGTCTTAAGGACTCCACTCTGGGTTTGTGTAGGATTTACTCCTTAGCCTTCTCCTGAAGATATCCCCTCACTGCCCTCTACAGCACATGCAGAAACCGCTTTCTTGGCTGTTGCACCTATTGGTCTCATCTGCTCAATCTGCCAGAGCCTGCAGGGCAAGTTCCTAACTCACTGAGACTTTGAGACCCATCAGCTACCCTCACCTGGTTTAGCCAGCCAGCCAAAGCCATTCCTGGGGTGTGGCTGCTGCTGCATGCTGACAGCTTCTAGGAGCCACAGGTGAGAGCTGAGTGCATGGTGGGGACCAAAGGTGGACAAACTACCCCAGAAGGAGCGCACCATGTCATGACTTAGGTTCATGGGTTTCAGTGAGTCTACTCTGCGTAGGACTTAGTTGGATTGAACCTCAGGACAGCCACTGCTAGTCAGTGTGGGCAACAATTATTCACTAGTGGTCTGGCTCAGTGTAAGGACAGGTTCTTCCATTGCTATGCTCTGCTTCATCTTATATGCAGGGAAAGGCTTCATTCAGTGGCAGAGTAACTGCTTTGCATGCAGAAGATTCTAGGTTGAAATTTCAGCAACCCCAGGTTGGGCTGGGAGACAACTCTGCCTGAAGCCCTGGACAGCATCAGCTAGTCAGGTAGTTTCCTATACTAATGTGGTGTTTGCTTATACTCCTACATTCAAGTTTAAAATGTTGTAGATCTTGTCTGGCATCTGGGCACCACACTTGGGTGGATGATGTGGGATGTGAATTATTACCAGAGGGACTAGTAACAAAATGTTGCAGCATGGGTTGGCCCTTGTACACAATTCCTACCAGGCACTTTCCCAGGATGCTCTATTCAAATCTCCCTTCCCCTCTTGCTCACTGATCATGTTCAGCCCTTGCTAAGCTGTTTTGCAATTTAAAAAAAAACCTTCTGTGAATGTTGAGATATCCCCTAGCTTTTTGATACCTCCCTCTTATGAGTGGACGGTGCTGTTTTGGCTGCCCAGAGCACTGGCACTCACAACAAAATGTAAAAAATAGAGGGCATTTATAGATAAATGAGTATATTGTTCTTGCATTGGTTTTCTTTTATGATAATGGTGTTTCGTGCACCATTTTTGTGGCCTCCAATATTTCACAGGTATAAAATAGGGACATGTCAATGATACCCACATTCCCAAAGCCCCCTGATTGAGAGAAGGGAGAGAAACATTATTTGTTTCATATAAATCACTTTTAAGTCATGAGATCTGAAACACGGCAGTCCTTTGAAATTTGCACTTCTCAGAATTTTACCATGTACTTGTTCAACCAAAAAATGTGTTAATAGTTGGAAAGTGAAGGTAAAAATGAACACATTCATGAAAATAATATACAAAACTATATTCAGCAAAATTGCGTGTAAGGGACAGAACTGTGTGCCTCAGGGCAAAATGCTGACAAATTTTCGACAGGTCTTAAAATTTGGAAAGTGGTAGAAATCCCATGCACCAATGGTGGAAAAAACCGAGATGCCGAGAGACTGTGAAATTGACAGATTTGTCCGTCGCTTCGTGGAGCACATGCCTAGGAACTTCTTTGCTGCGATTCACACAAATGCAGCACCAACAAGCAAACTGGAATTATCCTGAGTTTGTAGTTTTCCATCAGCTCTTCCTTTATAGCCCTTAAGACGTGCCTCCTCTCTGTTATACTTCCATCTTTAAACAGTGGGTTGATGGCTATTCCAGGAGGAGCAACTAGTGTTGGGTGTTTAGCTAAAGTGTATTTACCTTAGCTAGCTAATTAGCAGATATGCAATTAGTTACCTCCGAGGAAGTGCCGAGCCTGTGGTAGTTTTTGAAGGCGGCAGCAACAGCTGCTGCTGCTGTTATCAGTGGGGGTGCCTCTCCAAACTCTCTAACTTCCTTCAGATCCCTCTCCAAAATACGCCTTTTCCACAGAGCCTTGATTGATTGATTTACAGTGGAACCTCCGTTTTCAAATGTCTCCATTGACGAACGATTCAGAACCCAAACACTGTAAACCTGGAAGTAAATGTTTCTGTTTTTGAACTTTGACTTCTGAGACATCTTCCGTATTGAGTTTTTCGTATTATTTTTTCCATTTTGAGGCTTCCGTATTGAGTTTTCAGTTTTCAAACATTTCAGAACTCAAATGGTCTTCCGGAAAGGATTACATTCAAAAACGGAGGTTCCACTGTATTTATTTTTTAAATTAAAGTACTTCCATCCTGTTTTTCCCAGCACAAAAAAATTCAGGCAGCTTTGCAGAGTTCCAAAGAGGTTGCCAATGGGGGTGCCATCCAGATGTTTTCAGACTCCCAAATCCCACCGGCCCAGCCAACATGGCTGGGGGTCAGGGATGATGGTAGTGGAAGGTAAGAATAAAAGAAAAAATTACTTGGCCTGATTTGAACTGCTCAGGCCAGTGTGAAGTGAAGCAAAGTGCAGGTGTGCTTCTGAATTTATGCTTCTCTGGATTTTGCAATACAGCTCTACTGCCAAAAGCTGTGTACACAAATGTGTATCAGTGAAAAGTGAGCACACACAAAATCCATATATTAGTGGAAATTATGCAGAAAAATAAATTAAGTTGAAGAAAATGGCTTGCAGAAATCACCTAACTGATATGGAAAGGAGGGGGTAAGATTTTTCATTGTAAATTATGTCATTTGAAAATTTTCTTACTCCTTTCTTTCTCCAGGTCTCATTTTAAACTCAGGTATTTGGAAGGAACCCAAACTGGAGCCATTCCTGGACTTTGTTCCTTGATTTATGGAAGATATGCTCTGAACTGCCCACCCGCACCCCATCCCCGTGCCCAGATCAAGGGGGCCCAGCATTATAACAGGATGGCCCACTCCAGGTCGAATGGATCTCACTATGCTTTGACGGCAATAGGGTTGGGGATGCTTGTTCTCGGGATCATTATGGCTGTCTGGAACTTGGTCCCCGGATTTGGCCCAAGTGGGAAGCCACACTCAGTTGGAAACAGCAGCAAGCCCGACGGTGGTCGAGGAAATACGTATAAAAGCAATACGTTTTCGGTGGCTTACGTCCTGGCTGGTGCTGGGGTCTTGCTCTTGCTTTTCTCCATTTGCCTGAGTGTTCGTGACCGAATGAAGCAAAGGGAAAGTGACAGCATCTCTAGGATACGGCAGCAAGTCTCGGTTGAGCAACAGCCACAGGAAGACAGGTGAGAAGATACGATCAGGCCTTGAAAGCAAATTATTGATATATGGGATGGAGAGCCTGTGGCTCTCCAGATGTTGGCTACAATTCCCACCAGCCCCTTCCAGCATGACTAGTGGTCAGGGGTGATGGGAATTACTTTCTCCAGAAAAAGGGTGGCTTTGTTGGGGGGGGAATAAGGTGGGGTGCTACAGGGGTCAAGAGGGAGAGAAGGCAAGAGGGAGAGGGAGAAGGAAAGACATGCACACATTGGATCTCGTAAACCAATACTTAAATTCATTATTTTTCACAGGTCCCCTCCCCAATCTCATCCAATCACAGATCCCATCTTTTTCCATTGGCTGAACCCTAAAAATGACATGTTTCTGAGGCACCAAGCCTCAAAGTTCCAGTCAAATCATATCACCTCTGTATTCACAGATGGAACCATAGAATTGCCTAGTCCAACCCTCTGCAATACAGGAATCTTTTTGCCCAACATGGGACTCAAACCCATGACTCTGAAATTAAGTGTCTCGTGTCCTACCAACAGAGCTATCCACTTGCCCATGTGTTCTGTGACTTGGTAGCTTTGTTCTCATCTTCCAATGTTAAAAAAAAAAAAAAAAGGGAAAGCTCCATGAGGATCTTTGCCTCTGGCCCATGTTTTTGTGGTGCTGGCAAACAGCAGAACTGCAATTGTTGTTGTTGTTTTGTAGAATCTTAATAGTGTAAGGCTTAATACGTTAGTGAGACGTGCTGGATAAAAAATATTTTAAATAAAATAAAATACCAGCCAGTGAGTTTTCTGGCTTTTGGATATCGTAACCTGAATGAGGTAGTGCTAAAGCGAGACAGTGATTACTTCTAAATTCTCCCTCTGCAGTCAAGAAGAGGATGAGGAGACGCCCTCTCGCTACTATGTGCCCAGTTACGAAGAGGTCATGAACACAGGGCACCCTGAGCTCAGCGACATAGACAGAAGCGCAAGGATCAGTATGTCTCTGCCCTCCTATGAATCTCTCACTGGGATTGACGAAACCACGCCGACCAGGCCTGCTGCCGCCGCTGAAGAAAGGCCCAACATTGAACGTCAGCCCAGCAGACACAGTTCCCGCCTGAGCAAAAGACTCAAACCCTTGAAAGTCCGGAGGATCATGTCCGAAAAGCTACACCTAAAAAACCTCAACTTAGACCTCCCTGCTGGAAATAACACGGGGCGGATAACAATAGAGCCTCTGACCCCTCCGCCCCAGTACGATGAGGTTCCCAATAAGCACACAGAAAGCCGGGAAGAGACTTGAGGCAACTGTATGGACTGCTGACCAAAAACATAATTAAAAACTTGATTTCTGTGGCAATGTCAAGTTTGTGGCTTTAAAAAAAGCCGGGGCAAACCGCACACCTATTTTGGTGACTCTTTGAATGAGGTGGATCAGTCTGGGACACGTCAAGCTAGATCCTGAGTCTTGTGTCAAATGTTTCCCCATTTTAGAAACTAATTTCCTTGTGCATATAATACTAGTCTGCCAGAGAGAGGATTCTTGCCTAAGCTTCTTTTTGACATGCTAGAGGTTTTTTATATGTAGGATTTTATTTTTTCTCTTGGCATGAGAGCCTTGTCCTGAAGTGAAGCCAGGCGACCAGTCTGCTGCCTTGGTGAAAACAAAGCACAAATGAATCCTCTTATGTCCAATGTAATGAAATTCAGATCTGGTCGGTGGGCTGGATCATTTTCAGCCCCACTCCCTGTGGGAGAAAATGTGACAGGAGGGAGAGGCTGCTCACCTGTCAATCACGTGACATCACAAAATATGCCTAGTGTAGGACAGGTGGGTATGGCTTGACTGTAATGGCCCCACGGGCCAAATGGGGAGGTCTCATGTGCCTGCCTTAGTCTGGGCTGGCGGTTTCCCACCCCTGCACCAGGATGCACCTGAATTTTAGCAATAGGGAACTTTTATATATATAAATTATGACACATTTTTGTATGCCTCTTTTGGCAGTCATTTTTAAACGGTTTCTCCAGATGCTTGACATGGTTACATCTTTACTTTGGCAGTTTCTGTTCACTGAGATATGAAAGGCTCTCTTTTCACCAGATTTTAGATTATGTGTAGAATGCACAGGTGCCATATATATCCATCCATCACAGAGAAATAAAATGTTAAGGAGACAGAAGGAAGTTTACTGCTGCTAAAGGAGTAAACTTTAGTGCCCCCCCCAAGCAACCAAAGATACTTCAGGTTCCCACAGGAAGAAGACAGTCTGATTTTCTAACACACAGCCTTTGTTTGAATTTTTTAGCTACTGTATTGTAAATAATAAAAAAAATTCAATATGTAATATGTCAGTGTTGGGATGCTGTGGGTGGGCTTTCTTTTTATTAAAAAAGAATGTGTGTGATGTGTGTGTTGTCTAACCTGGAGTTTCTTTTAGCAATGTGTAAAGGCACCACACATTTTGCAAAGTACAATAATAAGCATGTGCTCCTACAGTCCCTGATTTTCTGGTCTCTGCCCCAATATAGCACCCTTCATTTTATTTTATTTTTATTTTATTACGGATGTGAATTGGCCAGAATCATCATTTCCTCCCCTTCCCCCAAGTTTAGCCCTCTATCTTTCCTGGTAGTTAAATCTCTGAGGCTGGAGGGAGAGGCTGTATCCTGGGCTTCACGTACATAAACACTAAGGCACAGCTTGCCATTTTACACACTGCTCCTGAAGAAGCTATAATATTTTGCTTTTTGGTCTCATACTGTAGAGGGCCTTGGACTTTCCTAACTACTGGAGGTAAGCAGAGACATCAGCTAGTAGCTCTAATTCAACTGCTTTTCTTTATATATGTGTCTTTGCATCTGTCACTGCATTTTGCTAATGCTGTGGAGACACACAGGGCTGCAATAAAAAAAATCAAGTTATATGTCTGACAACTGCATAAATCACTTACTTGGTGCAGAAGAGGCAGTTGCAGCATCAGTACAGCTTTCTCAGCAGTATGTAATACTGAACAGGAGACAATCAGCTGACAAACCTTTTTTTAGAATGAAAACTGGCATTGGAAGCATGTGCTAGAATCACAGAATTGTAGACTTGGAAGGGATCCCAAGGATCATTTAGTCCAACCCCCTGCAATGCAGGAATCTCAGCTAAAGCATCCTTGACTCATGATTTTTCATTATGGGGTATGGGAAAGCACTAAACATAGGAAGTAGTAAACAACATCAGACTTTTGGTCCATCTATCTTAGTATTGCAGCACCTCTCCACAGTTTCAGATAGCCCGTTCCTGGCAACACCTGGAGCTGCTGGGGTTTTGAACCCAAGAGCTTTGGCAGTGTAAGCACGTGTTCTACCACTAAGCTATGGGGGCTCACTGTTCATAATAATTGTTAATTAATTGTTCATAAATAGATTTCTTACCCTCCCTTCAGCACAACCTCCCAGGGCCGGTCACATATACAAAACTACCATATTAAAAATAGTTCATAGCTGTTTTCAATCGAGTACAGTGGTACCTTGGGTTACATATGCTTCAGGTTACAGACTCCGCTAACCCAGAAATAGTACCTCGGGTTAAGAACTTTGCTTCAGGATGAGAACAGAAATTGTGCTCTGGTGGCCCAGCAGCAGTGGGAGGCCCCATTATCCAAAGTGGTGCTTCAGGTTAAGAACAGTTTCAGGTTAAAAACAGACCTCAGGAATGAATTAAGTACTTAACCCGAGGTACCACTGTAATAGGAGAGGTCCTAATCATAGCTGTCAATTTTTCCCTTTTCTTGCGAGGAATCCTATTCGGAATAAGAGAATTTCTCTTTAAAAAAGGGAAACGTTGACAGCTATGGTCCTAGTATAGATCATAATGAAAGCATCAAAGAGCGCTTCAGAAACATGCTTTGCTGTAAGAATTTCGAATTTCTGTTTTGCTAGACAGTGTTTTCCATTGACTAGCTGCATCTCTCAGTGCTTTCAGTTATGGTTTGTCCCCTGCCCTGTGGGGGCAGCTTCTGCCCACAAACCAGGATGCTTTACCAAGTACTGTACTCTGGCACCACTGAATTTGAACCATGAATGCAACCTGCTTCACAGTGAAATTACACCTGCCTTTAAAGGCTTTTCCTAGAACTTTACACTAAGCTGTACTGTAGTCACTTTATTGAACTAGAACTGGAAAGACCCAGGATCGAATCCTGCCTCTCAGCTTAACCCACCTCGCAAGGTCTTTGTGAGGATGAAACTGGGCGTGAGGATACCAAGCTGGGCTGGGAACTTGCAGGGGGAAAGGGGCGGGGAATAAATGTACAGCAGGCAAATAAAACGCACGTGTGAGTGCAGATGATCACTGCGGAGAGGTCTGACAGGTTTCCCTTATCGCAAAGGCGGTTTGTCAAGGCGTAATGGGGAGAAACGAAAGCTCACCGCGCGGGAGATGGCGCGACCTAGCCCAGCCTTCTTGGTTGCCATGGAGACGGAGGCGGTGGCCTAGCTGGGCCTATCCGGTTGCCATGGTCACCGGAGGGCTGGCTTCGCTCCTCCTCATGCTCTGCCTCCAAGTGGAGGCCGCGGCCTAGCTGGGTTGCCATGGAGACGAGCCCGGCAGCTACACAAGCGCACACAGGCCTGAAGGTGGCGGCTCTGCTCGACTGGATTGAGGGGGAGGTTGGTTGGGGCCGTGGCGGGGCTGTGGGGGGGAGTGTCGTGTGTGTTTCTTTGTGTGTGTGTGTGTGTGTGTGTGTGTGTTTTAATTTCTTCCAAGCTTTAGTCCGACCACATGCTTTCAACCCCTGGAGGAAGAAGGCTAAAGGTGAGAGCGTTACTCCCTTAAGCATGTGCAGAGTGCATGGTTTAGGCATACAACCGTAGAGAAGTCCCTCCTCCTCCTCCTCCTCCACCTCACCTCCTGTGCAATTGGGAGGCAGGGAATTGGCAGGAACAAAAACTTATTTTTGGCTCGCTTCATTTATTTCGCCTGCTTGATCTTAGGGTTTGTTTTCATTCATTCTCTTAAGAAATGGCTGTAAACATAAAATTGTAGAGTGGGAAGGAAGCCAGTGCAGAAATCACAGCTAAATGGGATGCATCCATCGAAGTTCTACCCGTTGAAATTAATGCACTTATTATTATTTATTAAATTTCTATGCCACCTTCCATCCGAAGATTACAGGGTGGTGTGCAATATATATATATAAAATACATACCATAATAAAAACAATACACCCTTATTGATTGCATTAGGTCTCCTCCTCAGAGTATGCCTAACATTGACAGAACTTTATATGCTTCCTTTCTATAAACAATAGTATTTAAGGCACCTAAGAAAAACCCTTAAAAGGCATTTCGCGAGCAGCTGCTATCAAACAACCTTTTGTTTTATCGGCATTACCACAAAGCAAAAAATGATATTCATGGCTGTGCTCTCTCCTATGAGCATTCAAACCTGCTTTTTGCATACATTTTATAGGCAACACCATGAAGGCTTTTCTGAAGAGTCCTGATGGCATCTTGGCACTGAGGCCAAAGATAACCACTATAGGAAGGCATGAAGACTCTGACATCATCCTGAAGGTGATTTTATCAGATTAACTGATTCTGCTTATTGTATTTGCTGTTAAATGTCTTACCACGTTTTAGAACCGTTATTTCTTAGCTTGTGCAGAATTGCCTGTGAGGTATGGTGGTTGGAGCAGGGATGGGGATGCTCTGGCCCTCCAAATGTTGTTTGACTACAACTCCCACCATCCTTGGCTGTTGACCATGCTGGCTGGGGCTGATGGGAGTTGGAGCCCAGCAACATCTGGAGCACCTACAGGTTCCCCACCCCTTGGTAAAAGTTATGGACCTAGGACATGGGCATAGCCAGGATTTTTGTTAGGATGGGCAGAACTAACAGGATTGGTCAGTTACTTAAGTATTTCTATTGTTTTACTTGATCTGGGGGGGTCAACTCCCCCCCGCCCGCCCCTTTGGCTACACCCATGACCCAGAACCAGAGAGATACAGATTTAAATCCTTGCTCAGCCATGAAGCTCACTGTCCTGTCTCCCTCCAGATGTTGTTAGGCCCCAATTCCTATCAGCCTCTGCTAGCATTGCCGGTGGCTAAGGATGATGGGCTGGCTTTCAGACTGTGTTCTGGGGTAGACCTCTGTGGCTTGTAGGATCTAATTTCTTTTTGTTTTCACTTTTTACTAGAAATCCCAACTTGGGTCCACCAACTGGAACCAGATGCAAAATAGGGGAGCAGGCAGTGGTGTGGGGAGAGTGAGTGAGAGAGACAGAAAGAGAGAGAGAGAGCAAAGCAGAAGCATACCCTGGAACATATGTCTTAGTTACTACAAATCAGGGCTTCTCACAGCCTAATTTAGGGGATGCTCACTTTACCGCCATAGAGAGCAGTGAAGTTGTTGTTTTTCAGTGCATGTCACAGTTCTCCCCCCCCCAGCTGTTCACATCAGTATGGTTTCATTAGTGTCAGAATTGTACACATCAGGGGAAGCTGACAGAGCTGGGATGTCTATGCAAAGGTGTTCACACCTTGGCTAGAGGTGAATTATGAACTGCTTAGTGACTCCAGTAGGCGTGAAGCTGGTTTGAGAAACAAGTATCAAGCAGTAGTATTGAACAAGTCTGTATCTCCAGGAAGTTTTTATGCTGCTGAGTTTTGAAATGTAACTTTCAGTCTCTAGGGATTGAAGAGCACCATGCAGCCATCGAATTCAGCGATTCAGAAAACAGCTTCATTCTCCGGGATTTCAACTCGACCCATGGAACGTTTGTTAATGATTGCCACATTCAGAACGCGGCAGTGAAAGTGAGCCCTGGAGACATTTTGCGGTTTGGCTCCAATGGAACAGCCTTTGAGCTTGTGCTAGAAAATGGACCTCAGGTAAAGGTGATGTCATTCATTTTATAAGGTCACTGCTTAATGCTTTTCATAGGCCCCTTTATACCCTGCTGTTTGCTTCTAGCACTTCAGTCTTAAACACGTACAATAACCTGAGTTGTATCACAGTGATTGCCATGTTGCTCAGACAGCACTTAGTGCATTGAATCCCAAGTACACTTGAAGCACTTAATGCCAGTTTTATTTATACAGCTTTCCATATTATGCCTGAGGCAACTGAGACCTATTTGAGATGGATGTTTCTCATATAAACTAAAATAATAAGCAGAGTTCTACCTATCCCAATGGTCTACCTGGTTGGGGCAGGGTCTTCATCTGAAGATACGTGTGTGTGTGTGTGTAAGATTGTTGTTGTTTAGTCGTTTAGTCGTGTCCGACTCTTCGTGACCCCATGGACCAGAACACGCCAGGCACTTCTGTCTTCCACTGCCTCCCACAGTTTGGTCAAACTCATGCTGGTAGCTTCGAGAACACTGTCCAACCATCTCGTCCTCTGTTGTCCCCTTCTCCTTGTGCCCTCCATCTTTCCCAACATCAGGGTCTTTTCCAGGGAGTCTTCTCTTCTCATGAGGTGGCCAAAGTATTGGAGCCTCAGCTTCACGATCTGTCCTTCCAGTGAACACTCAGGGCTGATTTCCTTAAGAATGGAGAGGTTTGATCTTCTTGCAGTCCATGGGACTCTCAAGAGTCTCCTCCAGCACCATAATTCAAAAGCATCCATTCTTCGGCGATCAGCCTTCTTTATGGTCCAGCTCTCACTTCCATACATCACTACTGGGAAAACCATAGCTTTTACTATACGGACCTTTGTTGGCAAGGTGATGTCTCTGCTTTTTAAGATGCTGTATGCTATAAATAATCAATACATGGAATCTGTTGTTGTGGTTGTTTTATCCATGTTTCCAACAATAAGACTTTATTGGGAGGGTTTGATTTATGCCTACGTTTTATTATTTTAATGGACTTTTAAAAACTTATCCCCCCCATAGGTCTCCTGCCCTCCTGTGAGTCGCCGTGTAGCCTGGCCAGGGCAGCTACATTTAGTCACAGAGACAAAGCCTCCTTCACCAGTGGCTGCTTCTCAGTTTCCATCCCTTCAGTCTCAAAGGTCCCCGCCCATTAGCCGCAGCTGGTCCTATGGCGGAAGTGGGACTTTGCCACATCCACCACTTAGGAAAAGGCCTGTAAATGCTTGGGGCAGACCGGTTGCTTCACCTTCTTTCTCTCCTGATGCGTTCATCAAGCCTTCTGCACCAATACCAGGTATTGCCCTAAGCCGCGTGTCGCATTGCTTGGAAGGCTCAGTAGTGTGGTTCTAGGTATCAGTGGTAATTTATTGTGTAAATGGTGGCATTGTGGCTCTCTGCAGACCACCGTAAACAAAAACACAGGTCCCTGCCTGCAAGGAGTTTGCAATCTGAATGTCATATGTGCAAGAGAAAACAAAGGGATGGAAGAGGGAAAGGAATAGAATGTGCAATAAAGAGAGAAGAGTAACAAGAGGTGAATGGTTCTACTTGGGTTGGGAGTGAGCCCAAATGCTTTACAGAAGAATTTTGGGGAGGGATCTAAAGGGTGAGAGAATTTAGGACCACCCCCCCCCCTTCTTGTGAATGCTGTAAGTTTTAACTATTTTTCTGAATTTTAAATTGTAACCCACCCTGGGACCAGCTGGTGATGAGTGAGTCATAATAATAACAACAGGTTGTTGTGCACTACTTGATTTCTGCTTAATAGCGGCGACACAATCCAAAGTCTACATATTTTCAAATTTGCAATGTGTAGTTGTGTTCAAATGTAAAATCTAGCATTTATTTCAACTAGCAGTCTTGTACCCAGCATTGCTCAAAAATTCTAAGAAATCAAGGGGTCAGTGCAGTTTTGAAATCAGTGCAGTTTTGAAAGGTGCAGCATCCAATTGTGTCCAAACATAGACAAAAATCTGCTACCTGATCTCAGGAACGAGCATGCAAAATTTGTTTAAAATATCTTAAGATGTATCCAAGCAAACAAGCAGCTTTCCAAAATGTATGGTAGTTAAGCCTGGAAGGTGTCAGCTACACTTGCTACACACATTTTAGTTTCCATACTTTAAGCACTTATAAGAAAACCAAGCAGTGATGAATAATAATGTAGCATTGCACTTCCTCCCCACCCTCTCTCTGGCACTTCTGTCCCCAAATTGCTATCGTCTAATGAGTTGGCAGAAGTGGGGGGTGGGGTGGGGAGACTGGCTTATCAGCGCTTGAAGCCAAGTTACAGAAGTGCCTTGGCAAGAAGCAGCAATAAAAATGCACCATCAAACTCAGGGTAAGATTACTTTTTCACTGTCGCTCTCTGGGTGTCTTGTTCTGTTCCAGGAAGCGGAGCTGCTATTGGGCCTTTGACAAACGTTCATCAAGGGGATGCACTTCTCAAGGAAAGGGTAAGGTTCCTATGCAGAAGTGTACGATTATCTCAAAGTGTTTAAAGCAGTCTTCCTCAACCTGGTGCCCTCCAGTTATTGTCGGTCTCCACCTCCCATCATCCCCGAGTCCAGCTACATCTGGAGGCCATCAGGTTGGAAAAGCCTGACTAAGAACATTTGTATCCCACCTTCCATTGAATTCCAAGGCTGCTAACACTTTGAAACCAATAAACAATTTTGAATACCTTGTTTCAGTTCCCCACCACCGCCCCAGTTTTTTTTGATGGGCTATGATTATGTTGTTTTGCTGCTGGTGTACTACCAGCGTGTTCTACTGGTGTTATGGGGAGGTTTTTTGTCTATTTTTTATGAATTGCTTGTCTTTTTATAAAAATATAAAAATAAAAAAATTGTCTAGTAGCACCTTATAAACCAACTAAGTTTGTTCTGGTATAAGCTTTCGTGTGCAAGCACTTCTTATTTCATGGTGCCTGAGTACTGGTTTGATAAGAATGTTACTAGAGGGTGAATTTTAGGGAACAGGGCAGGATAGCGAATTTGTGGCTCTCCAGATATTTGTTCTTGGACTTCAAATCCCATCAGGCCCAGCTAATATGCCCAGTAGACAGAGATAACGGAAACTGCAGTCCCACAATATCTGGAAAGCCACATGTTAGTCACCCCCGGTGTAAGGCAAGTAAATTTCATGCAAATAACTGCTTCAGATGGTGAAATATGTATATATTTAATAAGTAGAATAGATGGATTTGGCATATCGTAAAGAATCCAGTGTTCACTTTGTTGAGGAATAAGAAAAAACAGAAGCTAGTCAGGAACAAAGGCATGTTATGGTCCCAAGCAGCTGTATTCCTCTACACAGGACGAGGTAATTCTGAAAATGGGGAATGAAATCAGCCGCCTCTCTGGCTTTGAAAGTGAGTGCAGTCGCAAAGACACGGTGATAGCAAATCTTCAAAATGAGATTGCCATGATGACAGAGAAGATGATGGCAGCTCTTGCCAAGAAGGACGCTGAGTTTCATCAGAAGCTGGTGGACCTTGAACAAGATGTTTCCGCAAAGACAAAAGAGATTAAAGCCTTGAAAGAGGAGGTATGGAGGGACAGGGAACAGTGATGGACCTGAGGTTCAGAAATATAGGAAGCTGCCTTCCTCTGAATTAGCCTGATATTGTCTACACTGACAGCATCTTTCCAGGGTTCAGACAAGGGTCTTTCCCAGCCCATCTGCCGATGCTGGCAATTTGAACGTGCAACCTTTTACCTTCAAAGCATGTACTTTATCACAGAGCTACAGCTGGGCTTGGAGAAGAATATCTTCGGTCCACTTTTTTTAAACGGACCAACCCAATCCGACACTCATGAACTGGCTTGCAGATTGGAATGCACCTCCTGGTTGGATTGCACTTGTCTTCAGATTTTGGAGTGCTTTTTTTGCTGCACAAAAAGTGCACACAAAAGAGGTGTTTTACATAACAAAATGCTTGTTTTACTGGTGAAGACATTGAAAAGTATGTCTTTTATGTAAAACGGGAAAGGTCAGGATGGATTGGACCAACCCCCTCCTTCCATCTCTTTTTTTTTATTATTCTTTCTGACTTACTGATCAGTGGCAAGCCATGGTTTGCCCAGTTTGGATGCAGCAGTGAGCAATAGTTTGCCATTAATCAGGAAGTCAAGGAGGGAACTGGAGCATGTAGATGGAAGAGTGAATGCAACTGCTTTTGGCTCTTTGGGTTTTTTTTCCACATGTACGGCTTAACGGTGCTTCTTTCATCCGGCTTTTTAATGTTAATGGAAAACCTACATTGGCCAGTATATTCACTCACATTCCAGTCACCTCTCTTATTTATTAACAGCACGTGTGTGAATGCTGCAAGAGGCACTCAAGCAATTTAAACTTGATGTATGAAAACACACAAAGCTGTTCTCACCACTATCGGCCTTTTTCCTGGGCTGCATTTATTAAAGTTGTAGACATTCTGCCATTCTGCCATTTATTAAAGTTGTAGACCTGTGGGGGCTCACAGGTTATTTGGTGATCCAAGGAAGTTGCCAGTGGGACAAGGATAAGCATAAAATAATGCACAGCTGTAGAGATCTGCCTAGATGTCTGGGTTTAGAATGGAAGAGCCAATGAGTGGGGTTCAGGCAGCCTGACAGCAAAATTGGAGACCTGGTGATGGAGATACATTGTAGGAATACGCAGGGGTGTAGGTAGCTGCTCCGGCACCCAGAGTGGTGGGGCGGGGCGATCCGCCCCCGCGGGCGGCGCAGCAAGCTGCCCACGGAGTCTGCCTGGTGGACGCAAGCCCCACACTGCCGTTTTGGGCAGTGTGGGGCCCCGAGCCACCGCATCACTCCCATGAGAGACATGGGGCTCGGGCACACTGCAGGCCAGGCCCCACGGTAAATGCCAACCCCCGCAGTGTGCCATTTTGTTACCCCCCTCTAGAATGACACCCAGGGTGGGCTGCACCCCCCTTCCTACGCCCCTGGGGATACAGAACATGTGACTCTCCAACTCCCCATCATCCCTGACCATTGGCCACGCTGGCTGGGACTGATGGGAGTTGGAGTCCAACTGCACCAGGAGGCCCCCAGACCCCCCACCTCTGCTCTAGAAGGTAATGAATGAATGAGAAGGAAATGAAACAGTTCTGCAGCAGCATTAATGCCCATTGCAGCTACACTACTGTGATTCCTGAAATGCCTGACCAGGGGCCACAGTCACTTGCCACAGTGAGAGTGCCATCTCCCTTTGACTTGGCTTTGCGGAGCTGCACAAATCCTGTCTTCTCCAGACTCCCCACCCAGTGTAATGTGACTAGGATCACTGCATGCCTGCTTCACAGGGTTTTTGTTGTCTGCATTGGTGCTATAGAAATGCACGATTGAATCCAAATTGGTGTGAACTGGCTGTGTTCTATCTTTTGTTTCCATAATCATGTTTGCAATAGGTTTGCAACTTGCAGAGTAACACGAGTGAAGTGTTGTACCATTCCCTTTCTGAACGAGACCTACAAATTGCACACTGGAAGCAAGAAACTGAGGCGCTGAAGAAGAGCTGTTCTCTTACAACAGGTGTGCTTTGCCCAGTCAGCAATAACTTTGGGATCATTTGCTCCTTATTTTGTACAGCTTGGGTCAGTTCTTTCCCTCGGCGCCTTATATTTGGGAAGCTCAAATTGGCTTTTAAGGGCTTCCTTTTTGCAGTCATCCAGAAGAACCTCTTGCGTCGTAACCAGCATTAATCCTACTCAGAGTAGAACCACTGTGATTTATGAACATCACTAAGTGAAGTCTACTCATTTCAGTGAGTCTCCTCTGAGCAGGTTATTTATTTATTTCATTAATATTCTTTAAGATGTCATTATGAAGATTTTTTTTAAAAAAATCTATGCCTTATTATTTCTTCCCGCAGGACTGGTGACCAGTTTGCAAAAAGACATTACATCAAAGGATCATAACATCCAGCAATTGAAAATAGAGGTGGAGAAGTTTAGGAGAGAAAGCAGGGAGAAGGATAACCAGCTTGCCCAGGTTTCTGCCCAGGTGAATAATTATGTTTTTTAAAACCCTGCTTGGATTCTAGTATGTGGGGTGCTACCCCACACAATGCACACACCCGTCCATTATGTTCTTCCCTTTTGAATAACTAAATTGTAGGAATATAGGATTAACGTTGACAAAGTGCATGATTAGAGCTCAAGGACACATTCCAGAAAAGAAAAGAAAAGAAAAGAAAAGAAAAGAAAAGAAAAGAAAAGAAAAGCAGAGCCAGTGAAGGGTGTGGCTTAAGAGAGATTTATCCAGATACAGAGGGTTGCATTTGGTTCCTGAGGTTCCCCACCCCTGGAGTAGCGTTTTGTGTGGAGTTGCCAGGAACCCCCAGCTCAAGACATGTGACACCTGTAGACTGGCTCCACTCACTGTAGAGGGAGCTGTAGGCATTTGCTGACCATCCCTCAGAACTCCCTAGAGAGTCAGGTGATGCAGTAGAACCAACCCCTCTGCACAGCCTGCTATGCCGCCTCATGGCCTCCTACTGCTCTTCCTTGCTCTGGAGTAACCAGGAAAGGCCACCTGGTTGCCATTTTGTGTTTCATGGGTCATGCCTTCTACCTTCTTTCCATCGGTGCACGATGCTGTGCCTCCCATCCTCACTTTCAGGTTGGTTCTTGAATTAGTCTGGCTCTTGAATTCCACTGTGACTCATTAGTGCACTTCCACTTCTATTATCATTCCTGATTCTTATGTGTGTCTTTGAAAACCATGCAAGTCTCTTTATGTTGGATGCCTGCCTTTGTAACAATAAGGCTCCCTTTCAGAGTATTTAAATTCTGGGGCAGGGTAGGTGTTAGGTGACCTCTTACGAACTACACAGTCTCAGCCCCTAGTTCCAATTTTAGCCAAACCATGCCTCCCTGTAGCATTTTAAAAGAATAGGCAAAGGGACATTTAAAAGAGTTAGTTGTGCATCTCTGACTGATCAAAGCCCTTTCTAAGAACTGTAGGTTTGACTTGTGCTGCTTCGTGCATTGCTGTTTCTATCCCAGTCTTTTGTAACGTTCTTAACTAATGAGTGCTCTTACAAACCTTCACTTTTGCACAAAGGTCTGTACCTCTCCTGCATCTATTTTTCACTAGTACTCCTGCAGTGATTTAATACTTGGGGGATGTATTTTTTAAGCGAATAAATCTCCTGATCATTACTATCACAGGAAATGGCTAAGATCCAAAGAGGTCTTCACGCCTAATGGAATATCTGCCTTTCTCAACACGGTATTGCAAAGTCCCTTCACACTGTTGTACCTTCAGAAGATACCTCCCTGCATTTTACTTGCCCCATAAGTAAACATGGCTTCTCACGACCTTTGCAAATCAAATACTAACTGGGTTGCAGGACTGGCACCAGGCTTGAGTACATATTTACCAGCTGGACACCCACTCACACCTAGCATCAGCAATCAGGAACCCCCTGAATCATTAGTTCCCCACTGCCACCCCATGCCACCATTGCTGCTGGTGTCCACCAACACTTGCCCTCCCCTGGCACAACTGTGGTTGCCTGTCACTCTCTAGACGGGTTTACCCAGCATGGTATAGCTACTGTTACGAGCTGAGCAGCTTCTGCTCCACTTAGTGCTCAGGACTCCTGTACTACAACCCCCATAGCTCATTGCTAATCTGGGCATTGCATGGTTGGGATTTTAGCATGGCATCAAGTCAAGAGCTGAGCCATCACCTGGCTCCCAACAGAGGCTGCACTGCAGCAGGTAATGCTTTTTGAAGGGAGGGGGTGCCTGGAGGCTGTAGCACTGCCAGCACCAGCACCATAAGCAGCAGCCGAGGCAAGGTGATGCCAGCCCTGGCGAGCTCTGCTGGGGCTCATGGGCCCTGGCAGCTGCCCAAATATGCCAGGTGCGATGCATTTCTTCCCCCACCCATCCCCACCTCCACTTCAGGCAAACTACTTGCAATTTTATAAACATTAATTCAAATGCAATTTGGAAGTTTTTCCCAGTGCTCAACTTCTTATTTAAAACACACACACACCATCACAAGTTGTAGACAGCCGGCATGGTGCACAACCAGCTTCTGCTCCAAACATGCAGAACCAGTTTTCTAGGCATGAGCAAAAGGCAGTGTGGATGCTGCCGCCCTCTGTTTCAATTAGTTTCAGTTAAAAATACTGATTCAGATGCTTTGGGGCTGACTTGTTTTACCTATATATTCATACTATTTATACACTTAACCCTAAGGCAGTCTCTTGGTGGTTTACACAAGGACACATACACAATCTGTCTATACACCCACCTACCCATCTATCCATCTATCTATCTATCTATCTATCTATCTATCTATCTATCTAAGAGGTGGGGAACATTTGGTCATGCCTGGCCATTGGGCATGTTTGCTGGGACTGATGAGAGTTGTAGTTCAACAACATTTGGAGGGCCGACTGTTCCTCACAACTGATATATAAGGGGTGGTGGTGGAATGAAACAGGAAAACAAGATATAATACAATGATGTAATGCAATGTAATGTAAAACAATAAAATCCCCCATCACATTTTGAAAGTGCCTTATCAGGAATCTCTTGCTTCTTCAGCCTCTGTCTTTCCAAAGGCAAAGCATGATTCAAAATATGCATCCCTAACCCCACCACACCTCTCATCCAAACTCTGCCATGCATTTACACAAATCATATGGTACGTCCTGCTCATGCAGTATCAATCATCCACCAATCCACACAAAGACACCATCCACCCAGTCACTCCCGTACTCTACTAAAAATGGAAGACAATGAAACCATTCACGGTGAGTTGTGTTGTGCTTTGGTTTCCAGCTGGCAAGGTTAATTCAAAACAAATGTTTTTAATGAATATGGCCCAGGGCTGCATTCCTGCAATCAAAGTACTCCCATGTAAATATATGTTTTGTATTTGGGGCGTTCCTTTCATTTGGCCATCACCTCACCTGTTTTCAAGGAGCTACTACTAGTCCTTCCTTTGGCACTTGGCTTGTTTATCGCCTGGTCCACAGTACACATGCACCCTGGTCCGGATTTGCTTGCCAACTTTTTTACCCATCTGTCCCTGTTCCTTTGAACAGCTGGTCTGCTGCTGAGAGTAGCACTTCCCTGAAAACAGCCTGTGGATTGTTGCAGACCAGGCAGCTGTTTCAAGGCAGAGGAGCAGGCCAGGCTGCTTTTTATCTCGTTAGTTGAAAACTGTGTTTGGATTTATGGGAGATAGCTGGGAATCGCAAGTGGCGACAGCACTGCTGCACTCAAGACCTGCTTGTAGGCTTCCCTTTGGGGCATCTGGTTGGCCACTGTGAGAACACTATAGACTAGATGAGCCTGTGTCTTGATCCAGCAACTAAGCTCTTCTTTAGCTTGCATGTGAGAAAGCTACTGCCCCCTATAAATACATGCTTGTATACTTGATGCGTAGCTCTGATTGTCTCTGTTGCGTTTCTGTATTTTGGATCTGCTGGTAGTTATTATGGTCCCTATATGTTGGCTGGTTTATTTTATTTTATATTTTATGGCATACATAATCGTTGTGTCGTGGCTTCAAAATGTAGGGTTGTGGTGTGTGTGTTGTTGTTTTTTAAAAAACCCTTTTGGTGGTATTTTTATGATGCTGTAAACTGCTCAGTGCTTTCTCTGAAATATGGAACAAATATAAACTACGTAAATAAATCAGAGAAGGGTCACCTTTCCCAACAGGATGCCCAGGGTGGCTTGCAGCCAACATGTAAACAAAACAAAAAAATTACTAAAAAGAAAATCACCTCCCTTAAATACAGGCTTTGCAAACTTTGCATCCTTTGGTCCTGTTGCTTGATAAAATCAAGTATATCAAAACCAGAAACAATTTCTAGAGGGGGCAGGCATGTTATTTTGTTGCTTCCAAAATAGCAAGAGAGTCTTCTTGCGCCACATAAATGTTTTAGTCTTTCAGGTGCTACTGGACTCTTAGAAATGGGCGTGAACATTATAGACTCCCTGGTTATTGGCCACATATCACAAGCATATCACAAGCAATAAACTCATTGCTTTGTCAAAAGTTATGGCCGAGGGGACACCTGTTACAAAAGAAATCTGAGATGGGAAGACCACTTAGTTTCCATATAATGCTGGAAATTATAAATATGGAAATCATCTATTGGTTTTGATCTCATGATATTTGAAAAGCCTTTTTCAGCCTGAGGGCCACATTCTCTTCTGGGCAACCTTCTTAGGGCTGCATGCCAGTGTTGGGTGGCCCAGAGACAAAAGTGGGCATATTGACGAATGTGAACTTTACTTTTGTGTATCAGGCTAGTTTCTACACTCGCTCGCACACCGCTCTCTATCCTCTGTCCAGGCAAGCAAGAAGCACTATCAGAGTTCAGGGACACAAGGGCAAAAATATTTGGGGTACAAAGCAAGGCCAGTGAGCTATAGAAATACAGAATAACATACACCATAAATACAACAGAGGAGCATTTAAAGTGGCTAGATGAAATCAGTGTTCTGGAAATGCTTGCTGAAATAAAAATGTTTTTGCAGCATGCGAAAAACCATGCAATGTCAGCATCTGCCTCACCTTCACTGGTGACTTTGCTTTGAACGATACCTTTGAAATATAAAGAGATTTGATTTCTGGGACATGATTCACTTCCCAAAATCTCAGGGCTCTGGTCAGCCTAAAAGGGGGTGAGGTGCTCTTTAAGGCCCTCTGGCTCAAGTTGTTTATGGCTTTGAGCACTAGTTGTGAAACTTTGAACCTGAACAGGTAGTGTATAGGCAGCTATTGCAATTCCTGGAGCACAGGTATTACATGCTGTTGGAAAGTTACTCCCATCAGCAACCAAGTTGCCATGCTGAAAATTCTGGACCAGGCTTAAGGAAAGCGCCACATAAAGCACATTGCAGTAATTAAGTCGTGAGACTACCAACACATGGACTGCTGTACGTAAGTGATCGCAGTCCAGGATACCTTATGTTTTAACTGGCAAAGAAAAGGTCTTCTTCTCCTGCTTTCCCCAAAGCAAGCTGGCTTTGACTGGCAATATAGCTGACATTTCTTAATCTGTGTCGTTCTTGCTCAGATTCCAGTGCTCATGGCTCTTTTGTTTTTTCTTCCTTTGCTGTAAAACTCTTGCAGAAGTCTTTAATAATCAGGGAGCTAGTTGAAGGCGCCTGCATTTAGAATTGATATTTTGCATTGGGAGGGGGGGTGTTATGTTTTTTTAAAAAACAACAACAACAAAACATTATTTGTTGTGAAATTTGAACTTCCAAATGGGAATAAGGTACCCTTCTATATACCAGAAGGGCCAATGTGAACATGATAATGCCTCTCTTGCTTGATCATGTTTCCCTTCATTGCTGTTCGTTGCAGTGTGCTAGGATAAAAGAGGAAATGAAGCGTGAATTCAGAGAGAGAGAAGTAAATGCTTATCAGAATGTGAGTTAGCCTTCAGTTTACTTAACATTTGCTTATGAATATAACACCCATGCAGACTTAGAATGATAGATGGATTTGCTAGCAGTTTAACCCTTTATTAGTTTTAAGATTGCCTATTGCAAATAGGGGACTGCAGCACCTGTCTTGCACTGTGTGCTTTCCTCCTAGCTGGAGTGCTCCTCTTGAGCATTCCAGCCTCATTCTCATCTAGGAAACTCTATCCCATTTCTCTGCCCTGCCCCCAAAATTTCTATTTTCCTTTTCCAGCTGGCAGTAAACATTCTAGGCTGAATCAGGGCTACTCCTACTCAGAGTATAAAGGTAAAGGGACCCCTGACCATTAGGTCCAGTTGCAGATGACTCTGGGGTTGCGGCGCTCATCTTGCTTTATTGGCCGAGGGAGCCGGCATACAGCTTCCAGGTCATGTGGCCAGCATGACTAAGCCGCTTCTGGCGAACCAGAGCAGCACACGGAAACCTGTTTACCTTCCCGCCAGAGCGATACCTATTTATCTACTTGCACTTTGTGCTTTCAAACTGCTAGGTTGGCAGGAGCAGGGACCGAGCAACGGGAACTCACTCCGTCACGGGGATTCGAACGGCTGACCTTCTGATCGGCAAGCCCTAGGCTCTGTGGTTTAACCCACAGCGCCACCTACGTCCCTACTCAGAGTATACCCATTGCAATTAACAGACATGTCTGATTTAGGTCCATTAATTTTAGTGGGTCTGATTTTGAGTAGTTTTTAGCTGACTACATTGAAGTTTTTTGCAGAGTAAGTCCATTGAAATACTTTAATGTCCATAAATTTCAATGAGTCTTACTCATAAGGAGTGATTTTAGATACAATCTTTTGTGGCCGCTGTGCATGCTCAAACTTCATTTTTTTCAGGAGAGGTGAGGTTGCTCCTTTCGCATCTACCTATAGTTTGTACTTCTGCAAACCTTGAGGCTCCCCCAAACAGGCTGCCCTTCCTTCTTGTTCTTTAGTGGTTCTGTTTCGGCTGCAGTTCCTCTCAGCACACACCAGTCGTGTTCAATATTAGAAGGCGTGGCTTAAGTATTACATGTTTAAATATGACTGGAATAGAAATCAGATCCGGTCAGGAACTAACCACATTAACTGCCTGAGAGGCATCAGTTCTGCTTTGAATAAGGATGGAAGCTGTGACCACAGTCCGCTAGAATTTCTTACTACCCATAGCTCAGAGGACCTCTGCATGTGTTTCTTACATACTAAAAAAAATCCTTGGGATAAAGTTTGGTGTGATTTTCTACAACTGATCCTCCCCACTTCCCTCTGGTGCCTACAGCAAATCAGCGAGCTGGAGCTACAGGTGAAGAGATACAAAGAAGACATAAATAAGTTCCGCACGGAGCACGGAATGTTAACCAACAAACTTGCTGAAAAAACAAAGGTAAATGGCTATTTTCTTCACAGTTTTCCTTGAGGGTAGCTTCTAAAATAGGAGTTCTGGGAGTGAGGGTACCAGCAGCACACACACACACACACACACACACCGTAAAAATAAAAATAAATCATTATTTAAATGTCTATTCCATGGGTCCACCCAAAGGAGCCCAGGGCAGCAAACAGAAAAATAAAACACACACACATCATTAAGAGCATTGGTGAAAGTGGCCTTTCTGTGCATATCCTATCTCGCCACTAGATGGCAAAGTAACCACAGGTAAAATGTTCACATCTAGTCAAAGACTGTCCAGTCCAGAATGGCACATTCCAGTCAAACACACTAACCATAGAGGATTACATTGATCATAGATTTGTTGTATCAAAGAGTTGGCAAGAATTAGCTACGATACTTGTGAAAAAGAAGCAGCAAAATAACTCATTTACACCAAGAGTGGGCAGTAGATAGAACGTGATCTACTGGTAGATTTTGGGGTGGTTTGCAAGGGTTTCTGACTCCAAATTGTTTTAACAATGGCAAGAACAAAGCGGGTTTTTTGCACCTAAATTAGGCTACTGAAAAGCTAACTGGGAGAGACGCATCTTGTCCTTTGCTTTTGTATCTTTTGCAGTTTGGTCTGGCTGGTAGGTCTTTCATTCCTTATGAGAAGCAAAGCAGATGCAGTAAGCCTAAAGTCTGCCCTCCCTCTGGCCCCACCCTATTTTTGTACAGCCTTGCTATCCCCAGACTTTCCCTGTTTCAGGCTGAAGGGGACCTGAAAAAAGAGTGTGAGAGGCGATCCCAGCAGTTACAAGAAATGGGGCGCAGGGAGCGCCTCATTAAGTCGGATCTGGATCTGGCAGCAACTCAGGTAGGGGCAGCTGAAACATCAGTTATGGTGTCCTGGTTTGCACGTGGTTTAATTAGCCAAAGTGTGGCTTGCTTGTTTAAATGATCAAGTGGATTCTGGTCCATTAAAATGTATACAATAAGAAAATGTTTTGGGTACCACAAGATTCCTAGTTGCTTTTACAACCCACTGTATTTCTCAGCAAGGAAGTTAGTGCACTCACTGGAAGTTTTTAAGCAGAGGTTGGATGGGTAGCTGTCAGGGATTCTTGAGCTGAGATTCCTGCCTTGCAGGGGGTTGGACTAGATGACCCTTGGGGGTACCTTCCAACTCTACAGTTCTGTGATGGAAGGGGGGTGGTCCCTGCTGTCAGTTAAGTTTTACCATCAACCTTTTTTCACTCTTGGTTTTCTGCCGTTAGGCACAGCGCTTTAGACACCAACTTACCAAAGCTCTCTTTTCACAACTTCCAGAGAAGGCACTAACAGATCAGCAGGTAAGATCTTTGCCCATCAAACACAGGAAGATTAATGTTGTGCTGTGGACCATGCTGTTGCCCACTGCCTTTGTTGAGTTCCTTGCCATGCTATGGGCACTAAAAAAAAATACGTAAATGATTTATATACTTCTGAAATACAAGAGTTCCTAAGTGGTTTACAAAGATACAGTACACAAAATAAGTTAAAACTATAAAATTGAACCTCAGTTGAAATGCCTTCCGTAGGTGCTGGAAGTTGCGTAGGAAGGAGGCCTGTCTGACCTCAGCTGGAAGGGAGTTCCAAAAAATTGGACCCACGATACTGAACACACAACTCTTGGTAAATGCAAGCTGTGCCTGCAAGCCATAGGGGACCACTGAAAGGTCCCCCAGCAGGCCAGCCCTGATTAAGAGCATCACACAAGACAAACACACACACACACACACACACAGAGAGAGAGAGAGAGAGCCTTATGGGGTGGAGGTGTATGATGAGAATTCACCAGATTCCATTATTGTTGTACTGATACAAGAGGTGAATTTTGAGCAAAACAGGCGGTGGGGACATGTGCTTTCAACACGCAGCTTTACTTTTTAATGAGGAAATGAATATTCAAATGTATTTCAGGTGGGAAGTGAAGCATAAATCCCAGGAGTGAACAGATAAATAATATATTCTGACTTTTTCTTTGTTAACCCACATATAACAGATTGTTGAGAAGATAGAAGAAATCCAGGTGACCAGTGAAGAGTATTGCCAAAGGGAGGCACTGCTGAAAGAGGAGTTACTTGCCAAGAACTCTGAAATTGAGGAAGTGTCTGAAAACGTTGATCTGTTGAAGAAAGCATTGGATGGACTTCAGGTAATGCCTTTAGAAACATCTTTATAGGATATTAGCTTTCTCATTTTGTTTAGATGAGTTATGGTGGAATTCTACACATGCAGGTTGCACAGGAATGGTCTGCAGCAGGGGCAGAAATGCTCAGGGCCAGGGGCCACATCCTGCCCTCCAGACCTCTCTGCCTGGTCCACAGGACTCTTCCCAGGCCCTACCCCTCACCGGCGGTCCTGCTCCATGCTCTCCTTGAATGCTTTTGCCTAGCTGGAAGTGCCCCTGAACTGCAGTAGTGTCACTGGTTTGCTTGATCGGAAAATGTATGGATGTAGAAACCTCTGACATTTGCACCACCAGGATGAAGCCAGTTGTACAGAGGAAAGAATTGCACCTGTTGCTCCACCCATTTTGTTCCTCTGGCCCCACCCATCACTGTCATGAAAAAGGCTCCACTGGTCATCTAAAGAAGTCCAGTCCAGATTGCTAAAACAACTCCCGAAAAGAATCCGTCTGTGTGCCTTCCAGTATCCAGTTCATCAGGCTTATACTTGGGAATTACTTTTTTTTAAGAAAGAAAAATAATTGGCTTGGGTAATTGCTCTGGAGTGTTGAGAGATGACTTGGGGGGATTGTTATCTTTTCTGAATTCCTTCCTTGTAACAGGAAGATGAGGGCTGTTGAAACACAACACCAAATGATTTATTGCTAGAGCAACTAGCTGTTACAAAAACAGCCGAGAATATTATGTGGGGAAATGAGTCTTCACTGCTGCTTCAAGATAAGAATGACCCACACTCATGTCTGTGTGGGTTTGCTTCTTCTCTTCCCTGTTTTCTTGCCAGGATTTCTTGGGAACCTCTTATTGCAGCAGCAGCTTGAAGAAAGAGATCTGCAATCTCCAGAATCTGTGCCTGACCCCGCCTGCCTTGGGAGTCCAGACCTCAACAGCCGGAGTCCTCTGCAGTTTGCTGGGCTGGGTGGATGCAGTGGAATGTCTCCTTCGGGATGTGGGGCTTGATGTGTCTGGCTCTGAAAAAGGTTCCCTTGCCTCTCTTACATTTTCTGTGCACATTAATCATACTGTAGGTCCCTAAGTGAGAGTGCAATGCTGCCGTAGGTTCACTGCCCCAGCCAAAGTACTCTCTTCCCTCCTCATCATAACCAAAATCCAGCACCTGCATTGTAACCATGATCCGCCCCACCACCTGCCAACAGTTTATGATGGTTGATAAGTTAGTAAGCATAACCATAATAATTTTACTTTTAGTTTTTAGTATTTTACACTGCTTTGTGTGCCATTTTTGGCAGAACTGCAGTTTATAGATTCCTAAACAAATAAACAGAACCTGCTATAGCTGCTTTTTGTAAAATAAAAAGACAGTGGGAGTTCCAACCATGTGTTTTTTGATCCTGAAAATGGAACATATAATCCAGGAAAGAGAAAGATTAATTGTCCAGGTGGAAGGCAATGGCATTATGTACGTACACACATACATGTGCGAGCACACACCCCTTTCAATCCTGAACTTCCTCCAATGAGCACAGGCCAGTGTTCATGATCCCACCCACCCCATTTCATTCTCACGACAACCCTGTGAGGCTGATGGGAGTCCGTCAACTTCTGGAGGGCTGCAGGATCCCTAGTCCTGCCCTAGTCTGTTTTTCACTGCTGCACCAGAATGAGCTCCGTTTAAGGAAACCTGGCTAAAGAAAGGAATTTTCCAGGAAACAGAGGAGAGAGATGAAGCCTGGTCACTCCCTTCTGTTATCATGCTTGTCTGTCTTTGTCAGGAATGGCTTCCTACATGAAGAAGCTGCTGGGCAAACACCATGAGACCATGGCCAAACTCCAGACGCTGCAGGTAAAAGGTGTTTTCCCTGAAGTGAGCTTCTCTGGTTGAGGCCAGTAGCCCAAAGCAGGCCTGACGGTCTGAATCTTTTACTATAGAACCAGCTAAAGATGGCAGAGATGTCTCAGGATTCCCTCCTGCAGGAGAAGCTAAATGAACTGAAAGAAAAACTTGAGGAGCGATTTCGAGACAGAGAGCGAGAACTTCAGGAGAATGAGAAGGTACAAAGAAAGCTTAGGGGTGTTTTAAAAAGTGTTTGAACCCACCTTCTAAATGGAAGTGGCACTGGGGACATACTAGGCCTACATAGTAAGAACTGAAAAAGGTGGAACAAGATGCCCTGATCTGCTATCAGGGAGGAGCCCACAGAGCAAGGCAGGTCAGTTGTTGCAGCATCACAAAGTAATAACAATAGTAATAGTAGTAACAACAACAACAATACAAAAATGCAATTACCTAAGTCTACCCCCTTTGGAACTGGTATCTTAATAATTCTGGTCCTCCATCCAATCATGCTGTGAGCGTACATCTCAGTAGCTCATATGCTTGGTATTTTGTAACTCCCCCCTCCCCCAATGCTGTGCCCAATGCAGCTAATTATTTTTTAAGGGCCTCTCCCACCAGAATGTTAACTTAACGTTTGTTCATCTGTCACCAAGCTGTTTCTGCCTAGCAAATTTCCTTCGTTTGCTTTAACGATGTTAACAAGAAGAATTAAATTACTTTCCCAGGTTCTGGAGGGGCTGGCTGCCCTGGAGGAAGCAAAATTAAAGGAGGCCATTGATGAAGAAAAGAAAAAGGTCCGAGATTTGGAAGCTCAGATGAAGCGATCGGCTGAGGTATGTAGAAATCTGTGGGCCTGCCTCCTCATTGCCATCCCACAATCTCCTCTAGCAGACAGCTAGAGAGATAAATATTTATATTGTGCATTTTGAGTGTTCAAAGGAAGCACTTCTTCCTACATTAAGTTACTTAATAACCATAGGTCCTTTTCCACTTTTATATCATACCATTCTTCTAAGGAACTAAAGACAGAGTACATGGTTCTTGCCTCCCTTCACCTCCACATTTTGCCCTCTCAAAAACAAACAAACAAAGACAAACAAAACAAAAGAAACAGACAAACAAAACAAAAAAAAACCCTTGGAGCTAGACTAGGCTGAGAAGGCATGGGTGCCTCAAGGTTACCAAGTGGCTGAGCGGGAGTTTCATACCTAGGTCTACCCAGCCATAACTTGACACTCTGACCATTCCACTACGTTGATTCAAAGCCAAGTATGGTCTGTGTTGCCCTCTCCACTACAATGGGCATTATGGTTTGAATGTGGCTTCTGATCCTCATTTGCAGGGCAAGCACAAGTAATTTGGATGTCTGAGACAGTGCGTCTCAAAGGGAGTCAGATCACAGTGGAGGAGGAGGAAGAGGGAGGCAAACTGAGCTCTTGACTAGGATGCTGGCAGCCCAGATTTCTAGTCCCTACTTGGCCATGAAGCTCACTTGGCTGATGATGCACCAGTCACTGTCTCTCAACCTTCCCTGCCTTCCAAGGCTCTTTGTGAGGCTGCAGTGAAGAACTAGATATGCTGCATTGAGTAAAAGGTGGGATATAAATGCAAAATACCAGTTAGTAAGCTTTGAAGCATGTTCTCCTTTGCCATAGCATGGCAATATATGTGGACTAAGTTAGAATTGAAAGAGGGATAAAATAAAGGGTCGTCGTCATTGCTTCCCCACCCCGCCATTCTCATCTGAAGTTCTCTAATCCAGACTCTTCCTGGTGTCTGATTTCCTGCAGCACAGTTATTGGCAAGTTAAACGCTGGTCTGCCAGGCTTTTAACTAAGACAAACCACACTCCATTCTCTGAAGCCTGGGTTCTGTCTTCTCACTTATTGCTAATATGTTCTTTACAGGTAATTGAACTTAAAACAAAATCAGAAGAAGCTCTAAATGCCAAGATAAAGAAGGCTCTGGAGAGCCTAGAAGAGGTTAAGAGGAGAAAGGTAACTGGTGACAGAAGACTGCAAGCAATTCTGCTTGAGGGTTCAGCAGCTAGAAACTCCTGGCCCCAGATTTGGCCCTTTGAGGAGTGACAGCTGCTCCCACGTTTTCAACTTGGAGGTGAAAGACAGCAGCTGCTGGAATGGGAGATTTGTGAAAGGCCGTTTTGGAGGGTTGGAAATTAAGGTCTGGGCTCATCCACTTCCCACATCTCAAAGCATGTCTCTGAGATAAACCAGTTACTGATTTAAGTGCTGTATTAAGAAAGTTTTCTAATTCAAGTGAATCATAATCTCCTCCCTCCCAACTGCCCCCAAAATTTGTTAAGAATAACACACCCTGGGGAGAAGGAAACTGATGAAGGACAAGATGCAAATTGAACAAATAAATAACTAAACATGAAGGTTTGCTGGTTTGATTTTCTCCTAGCCCCTTTGACAATGGCTTTATCTGAAAAAGTCACCCATGTGCTGAGCAAAATGAATGAGTTCTGTTTGGGGGTTTGCTCGTTTTTAGACAGTGGCAGAAGAGAAACTAACCGTCTGGGAGAAACGTCTGAAGAGCATTGAGAATGAGAATGAGATGCAGAAGCAGAAGCATCAGGAGGAGATAACAGAATATAAGGAACAGATCAAGCAACACTCAAAGACAATAGTGGACTTGGAAAACAAATTTGTGGAAGCTGTCCAGAAGCTGAAGGCGGCAAAGGAGGAAAATGCAAAGCTTCAGAAGCAAATAGAAGGTCAGCAGAGAAAACAGAGAATGCTCTTGTCTGGTGCCCTTGGCATATCCTGTCATACTTGGGGCCAGTTCACGCCAACAAACTGCACTGAAGTTTTCTAAAATAACCTGCTGATTGATTAACTCAAGGGGTGACTTTTTTCTTAAATCAAAATGTTTTAATCAGTTACTCTAACTGAGTAAACAATTAATTGTTGATTTAAACCAGCCTTTTCTAAGCTAGCGGCCTCCAGATGTTTTGGACTATGACTCTCTTTACCCCCAGCAAACACGGGGATGATGTGAGTTGTAGTCTGAAAAACGATCCTGAGAGTATCTAACCATCTTAGGGACAACTGATTAATCTGAATAGTTTACTGATCAAAAAAGCCTATTGTTGAACTCCAGACAGATTTAAATGTTCTCTTAATGCTTTCCATTTCTTTTTAAAATGTTTTAAATAATGTTTTTTTTAATTGTATGGTTTTATTACTCTGCTGTTTGCCATTCTCTTCTTGAGAAGTCATCAGGATAATAATCCAGATGTGAAACCTTACATTTCTCAGAAGATTTTTATATTTTTGGGTGTCTCTCTTTTTCCTCAGACATGCAGAGGGAATTTTGCAAGTTGTTGCCAACTCATCCACCAGAGGTTCCTTGCCCGGAAGGGTCTGCTGTTTTCCTGAAGTAAGTCTCTAAATTTCCTATCGGCTTCCTATTGCTGCTTTCTATAGCATAATTACTCAAAAGCTGTGGGAAAAGGAAGTCTTGGAAATAGCAATATATGTTTGTGAGAATTCTAAACAGGGGTAATGAGTCATATTTCCAAAGTGCATTATAATATTTTGAGGCTTGTCTAATCAGTCTCCCATTCTGGTGGCATAACTTGACAGTATGCTAATGAGCCCCTTTGATGAAAGCCATCTGCATTTGTACCCCCCAAATACGTATTGACTCCCATAAAAACTGGAGGGAGTTTTTTTCATAATCTTCCTCATGATAGACTTAAAAGGTTTTAAAATAATCAAATAAAGAATGAGCATCTCAAGCTGCGTTATTCAGACTGAATTTTTTGCTTCTTCATTTTTGTTTCACAAACTTCAGGGAAGGATTAGCAGCTGCAAAGCATGAAATCGTGTCCAACCAGGCTGTCATTTCAGAGTTAAAGAAGGAACTCTCAGAAGCCAGAGCCAGGGTGTCTGATGTGATTGGTTTGTGAAATGGCATCACGTAACTTAATATGTTTTTTACCACCTTCCCTCCTATCCTCAGCCTGGAGCCTATTAGATGTTTTCCAACTACAACTCCCAGCTGGCTGGACCTGATGGGAGTTATAGTCTAAAACACCCAGATAGCACCAAGAATGCTCTGTCCATACCTATCTGGGAGCAAGACCTGTGAAACTCAGTCAAACATAGGATTGCACTGTTAAGAACTAAAAAACTGGAACACCTTAAGAGAAAGGGACAGTGGATCAGTTCAATCAGAGACCGAATTTCTGCTTGCTAATAGAGAGAAAGATACTGCTGGGAAAGTGTCTTCCTTTGTCTGGGCTGCAGCAAATACATATATAAAATGTGTGCCAGTTTTTATGGTGCATGATGGCCCTGTTGCTGTTTGTTTATGATGCTTTGCTTTTACTTTGTTGGCAAGCATGCATAGGGGGCTACAGCTTGGAAAGTGTTTGAGAAGAGGGAGTTCCATATTTATAGATTTGGGGTGAGCAAGCTGTGACTCTCCGGAAACTGTTGGACTCCAACTCCCATCAGCCCTTGAGCTTTGGCCAGGCAGGTTGGGCCTGATGGGAGTTGGAGTTCAGCAACATCTGGAGAGCTGCAGCTTGCCCACCTCTGTGGTAGAGCCAACACTGTAAATGGCTCTAGGATCCTTTGCTGTGCTAATGCGACACAGAGATGCTTTTAAAGAAGATCTTCCTTCATTGAACAAATGCCCCTATGGAGACCAAGTTTCTAATATCCAAAGTTTGGTTAGGAGAAAATGGGAGCACCTGTCAGCTCACACAATCCTTCCTCCTCCCTTATCATGCACAGAGCTTCCTTTTTCTTCCTTTTTGACGGTGTTTCATCTACACCAATGTTAATCCAGTTCGCACTAGAATGTCTGCATCCCCAGGTTGTAAACCCAGGTTTGAAACTAACCATGGTTAGTGTTAAAATTGCTGCAGGTGTAACATTGCACAAAGCTAGCACAAAAACAGAGAGAAGGTGAACGGTCGCATGTACCAGAGGAAAGAGAAAATGAAAAGTATTGTGGGAGCCCACAGTGCAATCCCCCTCTTCCGAGTCAGGGCTAGGAAGTGAAGCCCTCTTAGGTGTATTGGGCCATGGTACTGAAAGTTTGGTCATAGTTCATCATCTCGGTCTTTCCTGTTCCTGGGTGTGTGTGTCTGCATCAGGAGTGGCAAACCTCTGGCCCTCCAGATGTTGGACCTCCAACTTCCATCAGTCCCAGCCATCATGTAAATCTATAGGATCTACAGCTAAGATAGCCCAAAACCACTCCAAACTCTCTTTGTGCAGGAGAACTCAGTGAAAAACAGAAGATGGAGCTAGAGCAGAAACGGCGTCTTGTCCACAGCCAAGCCCACGAACTCAACCAGCTTCGAGAGAAACTCTTTGAGATGTCCAAGCTTGTGGACCAGAAAGATGCAGACCTCAAAGCACAAAGCGAAGAATTAAGGTAGGGAGTTGTTTGTATCACACTTTTCATCCAAGGAGCTCAAGGCAACATTCATGGTTCCCTCCCAGACTTGCCCTCACAACAACTCTATGAGGTTGGTTCGGCTGAGATATAGTGACTAGCCCAGGGCCGCCCAGCAAGTTTTGTGGCAGAGTATTTGAACCCATGTCTCCTCAGTCCCAGCCTGATTACTCTTAGCACTATGACAGACTGATCTCTAGTGTGAGGCCATTGCTGCGAGTGCAGGGGGCAGGGCTTGGTGGCTGCCTTGGATGGGCTGCACTAAATACAGCCGCACCAGAACTCTTTCCTGGTGGTGGTGGTAGCTCTGGGAGTACAGATGGAAGGTCCCAGCTGTAGCCCCTTGATATCTCAATTTTAAAAAGGGGAGTCAGAAGGGATGGAAAAGCCTATAGAAAGCTGGTCCCAGACCCAGTAGATGTTGCTGGGCTTGTTCAGCCAGTATGTTGACTCTGCTGCTTCCTCCTAACCTCTGTTCTTCACTAGATGCTTGCTAACATCAGCTTTTGGTCTCCACCACCCATCATTCTCCTTTAGCAACAACTTCTCCTCCTCCTTCCCCTCTTCCTTTTTGGAGTGCAGGAATATCAGAGGGAAGCTGCAGGAGCTGGCGACAGAGAGGAAGGAAAAGGCAGGTGAGCCCAAGAAAATTGCGCAGCACAAGAGCGTGCAGACAAGGTCCTCCACCCCGGACGAAGCCCCCACAAGCAAGAAGGCAAGTGGCACTCGAAGCAGGGAACACTGTGGAGCACTCTGGTAGTACAGGTGGGGACCTCTCCTGCACCTGGTATTTGCCTTCGGAGCAATGCGCTGGGAACATGGATGCAGAAGACTTGGGGTACCAAAGGCCTGTCAACCAGATTGACTGTGGCGAGCTGTAAAATGGGATAATAAGATGGCTCAGCTTTCAGGATCATTGTAAAGAACACAGGGAGATCTGTATGCAGAGTCCAATTACGGGTCCAATTAGTATTGTCTGCACCAGCAGTGGAGAACCTCCAACCCACGGGGCTTATGGCTAAGCCTTGCCCATCTACTCTACCCTGACGCCGTATATACAATGTCAGGTGTCAGGCAGCTATAAGGTGGAGCTGGTCTGCAGTCACCAGTGCTGAAAGGTTTTAGATAAGGGTCTTTTCTAGCCCAAATTTGGTATGCTAGGGATTGAACTTGGTCAGGAATCTTGTCTTGAAACAGCCACATGGCTGATTGATTTCAACTGCTTGTCTCTGTGCCAGCAGGACAAAGGTGGAGGACTCTTTTTGGCCCAAAGGTGAATTCCTTTGTGGGCAGGTTTTCAGGGGCTACTTGTCAGAGGGGAGGGATGTGGCTTGGGAAGAGGGCAGCATGACTTGGCCCCTGGGGCTGAGGTTCCCCACCCTTGTGTCACAAGAGCATGCAGGTCAGTAATCACACAGTTCAAAGTTGGAGTTAACTCTTTATTAGCAAACACATGATTGCCACAGACATGGTTGAGTGTCAGGTCTAATGAGCACAGCAGCTCATTCTCAGTGGTCTTCCTCTATGAAAATCAGTTGCCAAGACTGAAAGTCCCCGCCTCTTATCACCTAAGTCCCCACCTCTCCAGGGCGTTTCCAGGGAACCAGAGACTGCGCCTGCATGCAGACACAGTCCCCTCCACCCTTTTCATGCCTCTTCTGGTTCTGGGAGACCAGGGGAGAGGGAAGCTTGTCACAGCACACAGGGGAGACCCTCATGACTCTTCTCCAGCATGACTCATCTCTATCTCTTGGCCTCCCTCCCTCCATTCTCCTGCTTCAGCTTCTGCCTCTGATTCTGGACTTTTCTCTGCCACAAACTTTCCTGGCTTACTAAGCCCTGCCACCTCTTCACCTCTTCCCAATTTTCTCCCCCTGACCACTCATCATCGTGCCACCACCAATCCCCAGGCTCGGAGCCTTTTTCCCTTGGGTTTTCCCAGCTGGTTTCTCCCATAATTCCTCTGTGTCCAACCAGCCCATGACATCTTGCTCCAAAAGAATTGTGCCTGTTGGAAGCAAACAAAATGACTGAAGATGCCCTTTATGTTTAATTGCTCTAAAGCTGTTGAATGAGTCAGCATTGCCAAAATGTCATTTTCTGCCTGTAATGATCCATTGTAACCTAGAAAAATGACAGCGTACCCAGAGCCTGACTAAGTGAGACCCTGCATATCTCACCAAGCGATGATCTTAACGATGAGCATTCACATAACCTACACGGTCTCATTAATATTCAGGGAAGGGAGGCAGCCTGTTTGGAATGCGACAGGCTGCATGTGCAGTCCCTGGCACCTCAAAGTTGGGCTAGAAAATGCTTCTATTTGAAGTCTTTTAGTGTTGTTGCCAGTCAGTGTAGACCAGCTCTGTCTTTTCCCTGCATCATATATGGTGTAAGGTGCAGAGCAGGTGGGCAAGGCTTGGCCAAATCGGGGGCCTAATTTATGGTCACCAGATTGTTTTTCAATGAATCCAGGGACACTTTTTTTTTTTTGAAGCTGAGTAGCAACAGGGAGTCAGTAGTGGGGATGGTGAGGCAAAAGACACAAGCACACATACATATTGTATAAAGGTGCAAAGCCCTTCTTTCGCAACCTGTGAAACATAAATGTGCAGAGTTTTTTAAAAACTGGGCAATGGCGTGCCGCCGCCCATGACTCCCGAGCCTCCCCCGATCTCCTGCCCCCTTCCTCCATTGTTTTGACTGATCAGGGGAGATTTGGGACTCACGGGCAGGTGACGCCCGTTTTTACAAAACTCTGCACATTTATGTTTCACAGGGTGCAAAAGAAGGGCTTTGCACCTTGCCTGGCAGAGAAACCATGCGCCTTGTGCCCCTCCTGGGCAGCGCCTGCCTGCCCGTGACTCCCAAGCTTCCCCCGATCTGTCAAAACAAAGGGGGAAGGGAGCAGGAGATCTGCACCGCCAGACATCCCTGGTTCCCCTTCGGCAGTGGCAGCAGCAGTGAGCAGCTCCTGAAGCCAGCCGGAGCCAACTGCGCCACCAGGCTGGCTCTGGGCTGCTGAGGCTGCCACTGCCACGTTTCCCGGGGACAGATTTGCAAATCTGGGGACATTCCGGGGACGGAATTTGTCTGGGGACAGATTTGCAAATCCAGGGACGTCTGGTAACCCTAGCCTAATTAGACCCACGGGCTGGAGGTTCTCCTCTGCTGGTGCAGATAGTACTAGCCGCACCCATGCTCTGATTCTGTCTGCAGCAGCTTCCTGCATTCCTTATGATGATCCTGCAAGCTGAGCCATCTTCTTATCCCCATTTTGCAGATGGAAGTGTTGAAACTGAGTGCTAGTGGCTTGCATACAACCAATTAGCGAGAGTTGAGATTTGAACTGGGGGCTACCACTTGCACTGTTAACAACAGGCTGTGCCAGCTCTCACCTGTAAACTGATACTTGCTCAGGGGAGCAGATTGGTCATGTCGTAGCTTAACCACTCTCCGGTATTCATGTGGCACTTTGCATTCATGCAGCCTGCTGTCTTCCCATCTGGTGAAGACACGAAACACAGAGCCTTTGCACAGTAGGTAGGTCAGCTTGCCCTTCAGCTCCAGTAATAGGAACCAGCCCTGTCCGTGCTGCTAGTACAAGTAACTGCCATTGATGCTGCAGCATGAGGGCTCCAGTACAGCTGCTGTGAAGCCCAGCTGAATTGGGCAAAGAACTTCTTCATCTTGGGTGGATGAAGCAGGACCCAGAAGCCTGTTGTTCTGTCCAACAGAACCTCCCTGGAGCTGTTGCAGGATTGTTCCCCAAGAGGAGGCAACCCCCTGCAGCTCAAGCATCAGCACACGATTTTGCTAACATTTATCTCCTGTCCCATGTAACTTGATTCTCATTAAGTACCTATCATCCAGGCATGTTGTGATAGGTAACTGGCAAATGTTTTTATAGCGCTTTGCAGAATGTGAAGTCTTGTTAACTGCTAAGTGTGATTGTAATTGCTCATTAGAGTTGGAAAGGCAGCTTGTGGGAGAAAATAAAAAGGGACGTGCTCAGGCTCTCCCATTTTATTCCACAAATACTTGCACAAGTGCACACAAAGCAGAGTGGTCTTATGGTCCTAGGTCTTTTGCAAATAATGGTTTTATCTACCCTAAGGAAAGCCATGGGCAAATTTTCAAAGTCTTTTCTGGGCCATATGTAGCAGCAACTAATTAGATTGCGTCTGCTAAGCAATTTGGACAAGAATAGTTCCTTTTCATTGGGGGATTAGGGTGGACTTTGAGGTTTCTTACTCTGATTTTTTAAAAGGACAGAGAAATATATATATATATTAATTTAACTTGTTCGTTACTATAATTTCTGTATACAAAACAGCTTATAAACTATTTCCATCTGTATACTCAAATTCTGAACACTTAAAAAACTATATACCTATAAAATCAATAATATGCCTCTGCTTTGTTAAAAATGTGTCAATTTGGAATTTTTTAAAAGAAAACTTTGATAAACTAGGTAAAAAATAAATGGGCTCTCAGAAGATCTAATAGAGCAAAGGATTTGTTTAAGGGAGGGGGGAAAATGTGTGTGCATGCAGAGTGGAGTGCATTGCAGAGATAAGGAAAGATAAAAACAGGAACCAAGCTTAGCTGATGTTGTAAAATCAAGATGGTGCCCTGAGGTTGCTGTCAGTCTCTGTTCCCTGTACTGTGAGCTGGAACATTGCCAAGGCATTTTGATGCAAGAGAGCTACTTCCCCGTTTTTAAAAAATGGAACTCTTTGAGGGTGACCTTCTTCCCCTTTTCATGTAGCGCCTTTTGTAATTTTTGCATTGAGGAATCCACATGGAAGCGAGTTGCCCAGAGGGGGCCCTTATCACCTTGTTGCCTCAGAAGAAAATTATTAACCTGAGCCTGTTTCCTTCAGGTATCGTCCGTGAGCCTTGCTGATCTGGGAGCAAGATGCAAAGGCTCCAGACACGAGGAAATCATCAGTCGCCAGAAAGGCGCCCTGGCTGAGCTGCGGCAAAGAGTCAGAATGCTAGAAAGGGGTCACCCATTGGGTGAGTGCTACATTTAATGGAACGCTTGCAGGCCGTGATTTGTGCAGTTAGCTTTTGCAAGTTGTGAGATGAATTTGGGTACCTGAGAAACAGCAGTAAGAAATCAAGCATTGCTGTAAGGCTTCACCCCTGCAAGCACCTGCACAGGTCTAGTGTAAAACACACACACATGGTCACAAGTAGCTTGTTAGTGGAACTACTACATGCCTTTAAATTCAGGTAAAGGTAAAGGGGACCCCTGACCATTAGGTCCAGTCGTGACCAACTCTGGGGTTGCGGCGCTCATCTCGCTTTATTGCCCGAGGGAGCCGGCGTACAGCTTCCGGGTCATGTGGCCAGCATGACTAAGCCGTTTCTGGCGAACCAGAGCAGCGCACGGAAACACCGTTTACCTTCCCGCTGGAGCGGTACCTATTTATCTACTTGCACTTTGACGTGCTTTCAAACTGCTAGGTTGGCAGGAGCAGGGACCGAGCAACGGGAGCTCACCCTGTCGCGGGGATTCAAACCGGCGACCTTCTGATCATAGAATCATAGAATCATAGAGTTGGAAGAGACCACAAGGGCCATCGAGTCCAACCCCCTGCCAAGCAGGAAGCTTGATCGGCAAGTCCTAGGCTCTGTGGTTTAACCCACAGCGCCACCCGCATCCCTAAATTCAGGTACAAATGCTCAAAAGGGCTAAGTTCCACCTCATGAGGAGTTGCTCATGAGGAGTTCTTCATAGCACTGCAACACCTGCCTTGCTCTGTGGGCTCTTCCAGGGGCCCAGAATAGACATCACCACATCCTTGTGTCAGAAACTTCTATAGCAGGGGTGGAGATCCTCAGACCCAGGAGCCAAATGTGGTCCTCCACTCCTCTGTCTGGCCCTTGGGATGCTCCCCAGCCACACCCCTTCTCCCCAAGCTATGCCCCTCACCACTCCTGCTTTGCACCCTCTTAAGTATTTTTGCCTGGCGGGACTGAGTCTTTGAAGTCTGATAATGCTCTTTGCTTGCCCGGGTAGAGAACAGAGAGAATGGTGCAAGTGTCTGCAGATACTCAAAGAGGTGAAAATTCACATTTGTTGTTCCACCCCCTTCAGCCTCTGGCTCCACCCACCACTGGCAGGTGGCCCTCAGACTCCCTGCCCCATTCTGTGAATTAATAGAAAGAGAGCAATTTAATGAATTGCCATTGTGTGTGTGTAAAGGATTAAACACCTGCTCACCACTTCTCCAGTTGAATTTTGAATCATGTGAGATAGAAAGTGTCTAGTCCATATCACCAAATGAGCTTTGCTGCTCAGCAGAGATTTGAACCTGGCCCTGTCCTGTCGTGCCCTAGTTCCAAGCACTCCACCCCATAGTCTTCTCCCTCTTTTCCCTGGAATCTTTCATCCTGTGCAAAACGTGTTTAATGTGAGTTTCAAGTGAAACGGGAAGTGGCACAGTACGACGACTTCTCTTTCTCAGGTTTTGAAGAGAGAATTGGAGAGCCACTTAGAGTGCTTAAAAAAGGCCCAGCTGAGAAGGGAGATGAAAGAACAGAGAAGGAGCAGGTGACAACCCTGATGACAGCAGCGGATGCTAATCAGGTAAACTGAACAATGCACGGTATCCTGGTGATGCTTTCTTTAGAAAACGTGTCATGAAAGGAAGGAAGAATATTTGTTGATGTCTTTTTGGCCATAGCTCCCACCTCGATAATCTATTCTGAATATTTCAGAATACATTATTTCACATTAGGAAGAACTTTCTGACAGTAAGAGCTGTTTGGTAGTGGAATGGGCTCCCTCAGAAGGTGGTAGACTCTCCTTCCTTGGAGGTTTTTAAACAGAGGGTGGATCAGTCATCTGCTATGGATTCTTTAGGTGTGATTCCTGCATTGCAGGGGGTTGGAGCTACAATGCTATGATTCTGTTTCCTTTACCCTCCCAGCTTCAAAGCAGTGTTTCCAGAACAGATCCCAACTTGACCATAGAGAGGACTGCGAAGCTGGAAATGGCTGACGCTTTAGACCTCAGTGAGAACATGGTATGAAAATGAAGAATGTGTTAAAGTACTTGGGGGGGGGCTTTATGTTGCAGAGGACATCACAGCATGCAGTCCTCTCCTGATCTGTGTCTAGGGGCAGAGATGTGCTCCCAAGAGAGGATGCTACAAATACTGTTATTACCATGCGCGTACATCAGCGATGGTGTCAGGTTTGAGCCCGCCCATCAGCAAGTGCCCTCAAGTACCCACCACATCCCCTGCCTTCAGCAGGCTTACCCTTGCCATGATGGTGGCAAGACTGTCAGCAGGCAGCCGCATTGCAGTCTGCAGGACGTGGCTGTGAGCAACCCAAAAGTTTTTTTAAAGATCTACCACAATGCCCAGAACCATCCTCTACCACCATGGCTTAGGGTTAGATGGGCATGCCCTTCCAGGGCAGCTTGGCTTCAGCAAATTCCCAAAGGTGCCAGAAGCTGACACTGACCTTCATTTGCATCAGGGCTGAGAAACCTCAGACTCGGGGGGCCAAATGTGGCCCTCCAGGCTTCTCTTACCTGAACTCCTGCCAGGCCACCTCCGCTTCCTTCCTCTGGCTCAAGTGTGTCTGCCTGGGTGGACTATACAGGGAGATGTATGTAGGGTCGGCCGTGTGTAGAAACCTCTGACATAACAAGGGTAAGAGTCATATCTGTGGCTGCACCCAATTCTGCCTGTGGCCCTACCCATCGCTGACATGTGGCCCCCAGAAGGTTACCCATGAGGGAGTACGGCCCTCAGGCTGAAAAAGGTACCCTGCCTCTGGTTTACGAGACTGCATAGTACTGATCATAGCCCTCCTATGGATTACAGGTGGGTGAATCAGGAACACAAGTGGGTTGCTCGCTTAGCTCTGCATCTCCAGTGGTAATGCAAAGCGAAGACATCTGCTTGATTTCAGAGTGGGGGTTCTTTTTCCAGCTTGGGAAAATCTTGCCATTCTCACCGATAGTTTGCTCCCTGCTCTTTCCCTCCAGTACCTCAGCCTGATCCAGGATCTCGCCAACCTGGTGAACGTCAAGGAGCTGACAGGGATGCAGACGGTGAAGCACCTTCCTTACGATGAGAGGGAGAAGCTCGGGGTGCGACGGCAGAAGGACCTCGGGCTGCTCTTTGACAAGATCAGGAAGCTCAAGGATCGCCTCGAGAGGAAAGAGTCGCTGCTGAAAGAGTACGAAAGGGACGTCGGGCAGTTCAGGTACAAAGGTGACACGCACACACACTGTCTTTGGGGCACCTTTCTTTTTCAAAGAGCCTTTTGTATTGATTTTATGCCCCGCCTTTTTCCTTGACGGACTCAAGTCAGCTTACAGATAAAATAAGAACAGCTAAAAACATAGGAGAGCAGGAAACCAGTCATTCAAAAACAACTAAACATTAATAGAATTAAAACTCTCTCTCTCTGTGTATATATATATATATGAAATATCTTTTTTTAAAAAACAGATGATTGCAATAAAAATGGCATGGCACCAGCCCTTTAATTAAGGGGAGACTCCTGATAAATTAACTTAGTCTGCGTCTGTTTTGGATTTGAAATTATTTGTATATGTATTTTTATTCTTCATTTTTTAATTAATGATTTTATCATGTTTCTGTTAATTTTGAACTGTTTCATGGAAAGGGATTCAGAAACGAAATGAAATAGATAAGGTAGTGCTTGATAAATTTGTCATGATTGAAGCTCATTCCATTTATTATGAGGGGTGGTGGCATGTATTCATTTTTTCTGGGTGTTTCTTTACCATCCACTCAGCGGTGTCCTTAGTGCAGTTAAATATAGCCTCATGCCTGAACATTGTCTATAGGCGAGTAAAGAGTTCCTGTAGATGACCAAGCAGGAGTGCTTTGGGGAATTTCAAGCACTGGTTACTAAGTTTTTGTTCATTAGTAACTTTTAAGGACTTACAGATTTCGCTTATTGTAAGCTTCAGGGTGATGTTTCCCTTTTATAATGCGGTTTGCAACACACCAACTTCCAGCTACCCTGTCTGTCTCATCGTACAGGACAAACAAGCAGACTCTGCAAGCCTGCCAGTCTGAGCTGGCCAAATTGGCTGACAAGATCTACCGAGAAGCTGAAGAGAAGGCTTTGCTGAAAGAAGCTCTGGAGAGGACTAAATTGCAGCTGACTCAGGAGAAGAAGCTGAACAGGGCGCTCAAACAGCATAAGGTAGGTAACAGAGATCCACAGCGCCACTGGCAAACCTCTGCACAGCTACACTGCCGGTGTGAAGGCCGTTTAGCAACCTCTGCACTTGGGCAGGTGTCATTTGACAGCATCTTCCAGGCAGCTGCTGTGTGTGTATTTTGCTTGCCCCTTGGGGAGGAAAACTGGCTGAGCAATGGGGAGGGTGTGTGTGCCTTCCCCTTAGGGCCAGATCTTGAAGGGTAGCCATCATCCCAGGGGGAGAATCCAGCTTAGCTTCATTCACGGGGCGAAAGGAGAACAGGATTCAGTCAATTGGGGGTAGGAGGCAGGAGGCAGAAGGGACAGAGAAAGTCTTTTTCACATAGGGACCCTTTGCACAGAAGCTAGTTCAAGCAGCCTTGTAAGTAAGCCCGCCCCCATCAAGTTCCTAGACTGCAGGAAAGATACTACTTCCCTGCTGGGGGCTAGCAGCAAGGGTAATGGAGAGCTGTGTCTCTTGGATGCCAAGGAAGGGGCTTTTTTCCCCTAGCATCCCACTTGGTTTCCACATTGGCTGTAGAGGAGGGATGGAACATTCTCCTGCCAGCCTCTCACTCTTCTGCATGGAACTCTGTGTGCTCACCCACATGCTACCCCTGGTCGCCTATGGCTGCCAGGCTAGTGTTTAAATGTAAGGGTGAGTTTTGGGAAGAGGAAGACTCTCCTGGTCTGCTTGTCTTCCATGGCCACGAGTATCAGGATTGGGGATCCTCCTGGTTGCACGAGCCGCCATCTGATTTTCAGTTTCAGGGGCATGTGGGTTGCTCTGCCCAGTCTGTAGACCACCTGCCCACTAAGCAAGACAATGCCAGCTAAGGCCACTATGCAACAGGTTGTCTTACCATTCAGCAGCACACTGTAGGATATAGGAAGCTTAAAGGTAAAGGGACCCCTGACCATTAGGTCCAGTCGTGACCGACTCTGGGGTTTCGGCATTCATCTCACTTTATTGGCCGAGGGAGCCGGCGTACAGCTTCCGGGTCATGTGGCCAGCATGACTAAGCCATTTCTGGCGAACCAGAGCAGTGCACGGAAACACCGTTTACCTTCCTACTGGAGCGGTACCTATTTATCTACTTGCACTTTGACGTGCTTTCGAACTGCTAGGTTGGCAGGAGCGGCGACCAAGCAACAGGAGCTCACCCTGTTGCGGGGATTCGAACCACCAACCTTCTGATCGGCAGGTCCTAGCCTCTGTGGTTTAACCCACAGTGCCACCCACGTCCCAATAAGGAAGTTTATTGTATGCCAAATCTTGGGCACCAGGATAGACATTTCCAGATCTATTGGCACTATCTTAAGTGCCATTTTCGTTCCACGTTCAGCTTGACTGCTGAAAAGCATCTCCTCCACAGCATTAAGGAGACCTTAGTATGGAAGCAGCTTTTCTCTTTCTGCATTTCTGTAGGGTGAACAGACTTGGAGGCATCACTTAGGAGCAAGGAATGAGAAATCCCTGTACTTGGAGAAACCCATAGTCACACGCCATCGAGTTCTGTCCTAATCCCCGATGCCAGAGATGGAGTATTGTTAGGGCATCTCTCTCTCTCTTATTAAAGGCAGCAGGTTGCTGGGGCTTGACTTGCAAACTGAGTTTGGTGACAATTATATACACAAGTGTACATTCCTAATTGCTTTAGGCTGCAGTCCTTCACTGACTTACATCCCTGCCAGTTTAACTGAAAACACAGAGACTTATTCCAGCGCACTCAACCAACCCAGCTTGGAGAAAAGCAACGGCTGCATTGTTTCTTAGCTCTGTTGCTTTGCCAGAGAGAGATTTGCCATTTGTTCCTTGCTGTTTCCACCCTAGAATCAGTTAGAGGAGAGGAAGAGTGAGATTTCGTCATGTTACGCCTGCACTCTGAAATTCAGGGATAGCAAGGTAGGAAATTGCCCGGCCAGTGTAGTAAGAGTGCCTCTTAGCCGACAAGACATAAATGAAGATAGTTGGATAATATAAGTGGGGAGGGGGAGGTCCTGAAGAGCAGGGATATCATTGGTGGAAACCTGCTTGCTTTTTCAGAAAGCCTTCAAATTTGTTTTGTGTGTTCTTGGCCCACCAGGCTGTTTTCCCCAAACCACACCACTTGCCCCACAACTGGCGTCATATGTGATATCCAGTGTGGGGCAGGTAGGAATGCAGCAGCAAGATCGAGCTCCTCGCACATCATCTGATAGGCAAGGATTTTGGTCCTGCTTGGTTTGGGTGTGTGAGCATTTTCCCCGGGAGGAGCCTGCTGGCACGCCCATCCCTGAGTTCATCTGATGATGGGCAGAGAGTTTAACCCTGCTTGGTTTGAGTACATCCACAGGGAAGTCACTGGTGTGCTGAGAGCTTGCAGAAAGCAGGACTGAAACCCTTCGAGTTACCCTTTGTGGAGAATTCAATCCTACTCGGTTGCTCTTTGCCCCTATCCCCGCAAGCTGGTTTTTGACAGGCATTTGACTCACTGTTTTTGCTAAAGTATAAATGTAGAAGCACACACATGCATTTTGCTCTGTATCTTCCCTTCTCTGTCTGCAGACAGCAGCCCCTAAGAAACCATTCCCTGAAAAGCAGGTGGTTGCGGGGCCAGGAGCAGCCTGTAAGAAACGAGTGCACTGCAGCACTTCTGCGTAGGAACAATTCTGCTTACCCAAGGAAAGCGACAGAGAAGGAAGATTCTGGCCAGCTCCTTGTCTAAGCTTGTAAATAGAAGATGCTGCTACAACATTGCATAAAACACCTGGTGTCTTATTATACAGAATTTATTTATATACATATATGTATATGTATAGACTTATTTGTACAGATGATACTCATATATGGTACATTGTATCTTGATTACGAGAAATGTATAGAGACTCAACTCAAAATTATGTATAAATTCTTAAGATCTTCCGACACCTGTAACAGGGTTTTTTTGTGGGGGAGGGAAGAGAGGTGGATTGTATCCAGTGTTAGTCCTACTCAAAGTAGACCCATTGATGGCGATAGTCATGACTAACCTAGGTCCATGAATTTCAGTGTGTTACTTTTGAGTAGGACTTGGTTGGATGCAACCTTTTGTCCAATCTGGAATCCCATCTTTTGGAATCATGGACCTGGTTCTTTTGTACATCATCATTTGACAGATTTTATTTATTTAATTATGCATGCATGCATGGTGGGAAGGTTGAGCTAGATGATCCTTGAGGTCTCTTCCAAATCTTCCTCCCATCTTAGACGCAGGTTTGCGGGAGTATTTCGGCCAAGCATGGGAAAAGGCACCAAGTTAGACAGCAGGTGACCAGGACCACAGCTAGCAAAAACAGGAGATACCAAGCACCAAGCTCACAAAGGAGTAGCTTTGAATGTTGGCTAAATGCTGATCTGGAGTCAACAGAGTTTTAGTAAGTCCTACAAAGGGAAAGTTTTTCATTCAGAGGCATCTCTACATAAAGTTGGGAAAGTCTTTTGTCCTCAACCCTGAAGAGCCTCAACCGTGAAGAGTGCTTTTTTTTCTTAAAAAAATATTTAGGGGTACTCTTATTTTGACTCCAGAAAATCACCATTTTATAGTTCAAATCAGGAAAAATAAATACAGTAAATGGACAAAAGTACAAAGATTCAATAAATTTTAAGGGCTATGTGTACCCTTGCATACCCCGCCCCCAAAAAAGCATTGGCCACAACCATTGTAGGTAATCCTGAGCAAGATGAATCTACAGTGTGACTTGGTATAAGGAAACTTCCCATGTTCCTAAACTTTGCGAAAGGTGGAAGGGGTTAACTTCCTGTGTTCCTATGCAGGCCGGAGCCTGGTTAGTGCTTGGACAGGAGACCGCCTGGGTACCACAATAAAAGACATGTGGCATACAAAGCACATATAAAAGATGGAACTGTGTCACTGATAACTGTTGCCTTCGCAGTTGGGGGAAGCCCAGGGAAAGACCAGGGGAATTGATCTCCTGGGAGAAATCATTAGGATGTTTTACATACAGATGTGCTGATAACCAAGAACCTTTCTGGTTTACTCCAGAGCCCCTTTGGCTACATCTGCATTCTTTCTGCAATATACAAGGGTTTATTTCAGGACAGCACACAACCTTGCACGTCTCCTCTGCCTCGGAACATTTTGCAACAGCCATCCCCATCTGTTCTGCGAAGACTGGTTGGCATCAGATCTTCCCAGTAGAAATTCTGGAGTAATTTGTTCATGTTCCGTTAGCATTAATTACACCCTCCAAAAATAACCGTTTGCTAGCCCCCGTTAGTTCCCAGCAATTCCGCGAGCTGACCTTGCCAGCAGCCAACTCCTGGCATCTGCGTCTTGAGGCTCTAAGTGAGACGTTGACATCATCTCTCTCTTTTGCTGTAGATGAGTTTTGCTCTTCTAATACCATTCAAAATGTTCTCTGATAATTCCGCCATCCATAAAACAATCTGTTACGTTAATGAAAAGCTTCACACTTTCAATTACAGAAAAGGGTTTTCTTCCCATTTTCACTGCCACCACTCCCAGTCATCCATCAAAACAGATTAAACCACCATCCTTAAATTAAATAAAATAAAATAAAATCCCCCACTCATCCAGATTGGCCTCCTATCATGAAGACAGGGGGGCTTGTTTTCTTAGGAAATCACTGACTCTCCAGAACTGCCATGTGGAACCAACCTGTTACCGTCCTCGGTGTTGTCAAAATAGGCAGCAACAAGCACAAATCAAAGCTATCCAAATAATGCATATTGCCAGGAATCTCAAAAATACAGCGCCCAAGTTATGAACATTCTGTGAAATCCAGAAAGCCATTATTTAGAAGAGCACGTCTCCATCTGGACTCAGATCTGTGTGGGTACAAATCTTGGTTTGCCACGATTGCGAAGGGATCAAGCTGTACGATTACAAGGGTGAGCATTTTGCACAAGTCCAAATGGGATTTTTTACTTTTTATTTGCAGATTCCTAAACTGTTTTGCAACCAAAAGTTACCATACCCATGTATAATAAAACCAAGATAGACTACAAAAGATTACATAGTAAATTACCTAAAAGCAATAATACTATCTCTACAGTTGTACAATTAATTCCGTAAAATGACTAGGCCATCCTTCAGGGAAAGTCTTCTTAAACAAAAACATCTCCAATAGATGTCAAAAACACCAGGCACTTGTCCCCTTTCCATTGGCAACTGATTCCAGAGGGCTGGAGTGGCAATGCTAAAAACCCTCAGGGCAGTACTCATAACAACGCCTTATCAAAGGCTTGTTTCCAGCACAGAGATGGAGAAATATGTCAATTTCATATTATTTCAGTTTCTCATTTTTTCAGTTCCGTTCTTATTAAGTTCAGTTCTCCACATTTCCACAGCAATTTGCAGCTATTGTTTTTAAGTGTGCACACAAAAAAATGGTCAGCATTTTAGAGCACATTTCTCCCGAAGGCCTCATTCAGTGTAAAGGCAGTTTCCTAAGTGCCTATGTTCTTTCCCCACAAGAAGAAGGAAAGGGGACTTTTACTTTAAGGCTAATAGTGGAACCAGGGGTGGGTGGGTTGTTGGGATCCCAGCTGGGGAGGGAAGACATAAACTTCCCCTCCATATGCACTGTGGTCCCAAAGAAAATGGCACCCCTATGTATTTATTATTAATTTTATTTATTTTTTAAGCCCCAATGAAAATCTCCCCTTCTGCACTTACGATTTTTATTTCAATGCACTTTCTAAGGATGCTTTTAATGCCCTGTCTTATTTTGATACACTAACAAAAGCATAGCAAGGGATACAAAAAGACAAAAGAAAGATTTCTCCAGAGACGAGCATTAAAAAATCAGGGCTGTCGCTGTCAAATAAGGACATCATGCACAAACAGCCTAAACTATGGTTTTGAACCCTCGAGGCTGGCAGTGCCGCTTCTCCTGCGTGACCCAGCTCTGCCAGGGCAATCAGTATTAAGAATGCCAGCGCTGGGACGTCATAATCCCTTGCACAGCAAAGGCTCCTGTGTCACAAACGGAGGATTATAACCGCTGCAGGGGATTCCAGCGGAAACAGAAGCTGAGCTGGAAAGGAGAAAGCTCATCAGAACTCAGATGTCAGAGGCACTGGATAGATGAAGCGGAATTTAAAGCAATTTGCCTGCCTCTGTTTTGTGTCCCCCCTCCCAAGCAAAAACACTTCCCCATCCAAGGAGCCCCCTGCAATCATTACCACCATATGCCCTAATGTCACTAAAAATCCCTTTGTGTGTGCCAAGATCCACGGCAGAGCATGTATCTGGCTGCCTTTGAAGGAGGGTTTGTCACCCTGCTGCATATCTGCAGTGATTAGACGCTGATACCACTCCTGATGTGGAGACCACAATGACCCCACAGAGGGTGACTGCAAGCCCAGAGCAGTAATGCATGCAGAGGCTCAACAGCCAGCCTCCTCTGAGCATAGCTGTCAATGTTTCCCCTTTTTTTAAGGGAAATTCCCTTATTCCGAATAGGATTCCTTGCAAGAAAAGGGAAAAGTTGACAGCTATGCCTCTGAGCATGTATAATTGTGCTACTGTTAGGAATTATTCTGAAATAAATAATAAAAATACTGCATATACTGTATGTAAATGTCCTTATTCAGATCTATGATGTGGCCACATTTGGAACAGACTGTGTGTGTACAAGTTTGGTTGCTACCGCTTGAAAAGGAAGTTTATCGTTATTCTTACTTATTGAATTTGCCGTTTGCTTTATCTTGCCCAGCAAGATATACTAATGTGCACACAGATGACTTCAACTGCTTTCTACAGAGTAGTTCTGGTGCATCCGTCGGACTTTGATATCTAGAAAAACACCAAAATACCCAGTCAAAATACTCATCTATCATAAAAACTGCAAGCAAGATTTCAATATCTCCAGAACTCTTCATCAGGAAAAGCAGTGAAGAAAGGGAAATAGGCAGAAAGCTTTCTTGATGTTGATGCTGCGAAGTCTGCATTTTGTCAGGGTCTTAAGACATCACGTAGGAGGAGATTGTAGTCTTAACTGGATTAGTCCAGAATCCATAGTAGGGCAATACCTTTACCCTTTACCTCGGGTTACAGACGTTTCGGGTTACAGACTCCGCTAACCCAGAAATAGTACCTCGGGTTAAGAACTTTGCTTCAGGATGAGAACAGAAAACGCGCAGTGGTGGCGCAGCGACAGCGGGAGGCCCCATTAGCTAAAGTGGTGCTTCAGGTTAAGAACAGTTTCAGGTTAAGAACGGACCTCCAGAACGAATTAAGTTCTTAACCCGAGGTACCACTGTATTAAGCTAACACTACTTCCTTTGCTTTTTCTGTTACCTAGAAGTTAGGTATCTGTTGTGGCATTAATCTGATTATTCTGTGAATTAATCAACTAAATTAGGGCATCCATCGCTGATTCTGCCACTCAGATGTTTGACAGCAAATGAGGGAGAGCACACTGAATCCAGCCCCCCACCCCACCCCAAATAGCCAGGTGAGCAAGTGCAAGGAGGGGGGGCTCCGAACTTCCAGCCACTTCTCTCCCTGCAGAGAGACATGTAAGAGAGAATGTAAGAAAAGCACGCAGGTACTTCATTTATTCTGCAGTTCCGCGTGGAAATGGGTTCTGGCAGAATTGGCCTGAGCCTCCAAGAGCACGTTGCACTGGAAGAGGAAGTGAGAAAGGGTGACAATCATCCAGGAAACTTTGTGCCCACAAGTATCATGTTAGAAACACAGAACTGTAGAGTTGGAAGGGACGCCATGGGTCATCTAGTCCAACCCCCTGCAATGCAGGAATCTTGGGGGATCCTACACTAGAGTATGGAAGCTAGAAAGCTGTGCCAGAGGCTTTAATATTTAGCGGCCCCTCCTCTCAAAAAATAAAAGCACTGATTTTTTCAAGTATTTAAACTGAGTCCATGGCTCTGCAAGCAATCAATTACCTTAACATTAAAAAAAAATTGTTTCACAATCAGGACTGAGGATTCCATTGTAGTTTAAAAGAAATAATGGGGGGGGGGCACGGACAGGGCTTGCAAGCAGTTTTACATCTCTGCATACTAACATCTGCCCCATCTTCGCCACCCCCACCCCCAACCCACTCCACAAGATGCCCACTGATGAGTCTCCAGACAGATTGTACAAATGTCACCAAGGAAAAGGTCAGCGGATGGCGCTGGCTTGATAATATCTCCTACAAATCTGCTGCTGCTGCTACATCCCACAGGGCATCTGGTTGGCCACTGAGAAAAGGATGCTGAATAGATGGGTCATTGGCCTGATGCAGCAAGCTCATCCCGTGCTCTTAACCTCCGACACTTGTGAATTGCAAGGGACATTCTTCTGAGATTCGGCAACCTGGTTTCCTCCAGATGATCTTGGACACCATCATCTTGACAAATGTCCTACTGGGGTGTGGCTGGTTATTCTTGCTGAGTGAAGGTTGAGGCCTGTGATGAAGAAGGAAGATCCCCTCCTTGATGATAGTGCAACATGGACCAAGATCTGATGGAGAGGATTTACTGGATGTTCCATCTATACAGAGGCAGCTGCTAGATCAGGCTAGATTGGGCCACTTTAGCCCATTTGAGTGTCAGCTCTGGCCCAGCCCGCTCTTCCAAAGAAGCTATGGAGGGACGCTGTGACCTGCCTCCATCCTGACCCCCATGCTGCAGCCTGGTGGGGTGTCAGCAGCTCCCCCAAATCCTTGCATGCTCTGCCTTGCAAAGAGGTAATTCGTTACTGCACACCTATGGGGGGGAGCAAAACCCAAGACAACACAATGACACCCACTCCAAGCACTGCAGCCTGACCCCTGTCCACCAGCCCTAGCGGGTTCTCTGGGGCTCCTGTCCATCTTGCACCCGGATCCTTTGCACATATACTTGGGAGCAGGCCTCACAGAAAGCCATCACTCCCAAGCAATGCACCCCAGGGTGCGTGTTTACTAGGGAAGCAGTCCCAGAGAATTCAAGGATGGAGCTCCCTCTCCCCAGAGCCTTGCACTCCATCCCCTACTACACGCTTACTCGGGAGTAAACCGCAGAGGACGCATTGGAGTCCATCCCCTAAGCACTGCTGCCCATAAGACCTGGTGGATTCTGTGGGGTTTCCCCAACCTTGCCCCCCACTCCCTACACGCTTACTCAGGAGTAAACCGCAGAGGACACATTCTTGTCCATCTCCAAAGCACTGCTGCTCACAAGCCCTGGTGGATTTTGTGGGTCCCTCCTCTCTTTCCTTCCCTCTCTCCCTCCCTCCATGCACCGCGATCCCCTACACGCTTACTCGGGAGTAAGCCGCAGAGGGCGCATTGGAGTCCATCCCCCCAGCACTGCTGCCCACAAGCCCTGCTTTCCCTCTCCCTCTCTCCCTCCTTGCACTGCGATTCCCTACAGGCTTACTCGGGAGTAAGCCTTAGCAGAAACCCCCTCCTCCTGCTGCTGCCATGCCCGCCTGTCTGGGCGTCTCCTGCGCAGGCATCGTCCGGCGGCCGCCCATCCGCGCCGCGGCGCGCCCAGTCAGCGGGTCGGGGCGGAGCCGGCGGCTGGCGGGCGAGCGAGCGGGAGGAGGCGCGCTCGGGCCGGATCAGCTCGTCTCCTGCTCGCCTCTCGTCCGCGATGGCCACCGACGAGCTGGCCGATAAGCTGAGCCGCCGCTTGCAAGTGGAGGAGCACAATGGCGAAGCCGAGCAGCAGCCGCCCGAGCACCACCCGGAGGCCGAACCGGAGCCCGAGCCGCCGGCCTTGGACAGCGGCGCCGACGGCGAGCTGAGCGCCAAGTTGCAGCGGCGCACCGAGCTCAACGACCCCGCGCAGCTCTCGCCCGGCGGCGGCGCCCAGCACCGCGTCTTCAGCCCCTACACCGAGTTCCGCGAGTTCTCCCGGAGGCAGATCAAGGACATGGAGCGGCTCTTTCGACAGTGAGTGGCAAAGAGGCCTCTGAGCATGAGCAGAGTGCCTTCTCGCTTTTGCTTTCCTTTCCCCCTCTGGAAAGGCTGCGATGGGGGAATTTCTCTTCCTGCACCCGCCCCACCCCTCGCTCTGACCCGGGCAGCCTTTTCCCTCTCTCCCTCTACAGAAATGCGCTCTGTACGAGCTCAGGAGCCTTTCTGATTCTGTTTCGTACGTTCCAGGGGCTGCTTGTCTGCTTTGGTATGTCTGGTTGCCGAAGGAGAAACCCCGTTCGATTGGATGGAAGGGGCTGCCTTACATTTTATGCTGGTCCCCACAGCGTGGGCGTGAGGGCGTTAAAAAGGTCGCAGGGAGGAGATAGGATATGGTTAAAATTAGGGGTTGAAGTCGGGGGTCTATAAACTCCCACATAGACACACCTTTTCTTCCACAATTTGAGATCTGCCCTTCTTTGTACGACATCAGCATGTCAGAGGTATTTTTAAGGTTATACAGAGAGGTTGCGGAGAACCCCACTTCTAGAGAAATGGGGTGTTTTGTTACAGCGCTGCGTCTGCAAGTTTGAAGTCTGGGGCAGTGCTTGGATTCTGGCGTTGGGGAGAGGTTGAGTGACAAATAAATAAATCCCCAATGACCCCCATTCTCTTCTCTTTCCCACCCCCAATGGTTCTCTGTTCCATTGATGGCTCCCCTCTATGCCTTCTCTAGAACTTCATTTTTTAAACAACAACAACCACTTGTAATTCAAGTCCTGGTCTGGGGGCAAAGATTTTGGGGTGCCACCATTTCTCTCAAGTGCCCTCTTCTTTCTCTCTCTCCTCCCCCCCCCACTTCACCAAGGTGCCAGGGCTTAAGACATTTGGATGCCAGATACAGAAAATCTAAATCTCCCCCACCCTTTTGTATGCACTCCCCTTGTACACTCATGAGCATGGGTTCATTTGCACCGCCCAGTTTTCATGTATGAATGGAACCTGCCGAGACTGCAGCTGTATTGTGGGGTGGGTGGGGAGCACGGAGGGGATTTTCCCTTGTTTTCCTTACCTGTCTGGAAACCTTATTGCTCCTCCCCCTTTCCCACCACCACGTCACCACCACTAAATTCTGCTCCCTTTTGACAGAAGAAGGGGAGTCATTAGTATTCTGAGCCACACCAGGAGCAGGGAAATCCAGGCAGGGGTGGGCAGAGGCTGGCTGGGTGAAAATGCGCTGCCTTAAATCTTTCCGGTTTTCCTGCAGCGCTGCAAACCCCGAACTGTTTTGTGCAATGTGCAGATCAGAAAAATAAAATGAATTCTCTCTCTCTCTCTCTCTTTGCAAAGAAAGAAAATCCAGAAAACCTCCACACACACACAATAACATCAGGAGGGTGCAGCTGCATGTGGGAATGAACCCTCTCAATTTCCTGAAAGGCATGCTTGTGTGTGTGTGTGTGTGAGAGAGAGAGAGAGAGAGAGAGAGAGAGAGAGAGGGAGAGACAGAGACTAACGTGAGCCAGGCCTCAGCACTAGATTTACTGGAGATGGGGCAGGTGGGCATGTACAGAGTGCTCTTTGCTCACCACTGAGGAACCATAGCTCGCTGTAGTTCGAGGCTAGGAGGGCAAGGTAAAGGTGACCCCACCCTGCAAAGGCTCTCTGTGTAGAAGAGAGGAACACTTGGGCAAAGTCGGCCCATGGGTCCATCGAGCTCAGGATTGTCTGCAGTGTCTGGCAGATGCACCTTACCTGGAGACGCACCTGAGACCTGCATTCAAAGCAGAGATCCTCTGCTGCTGGGCTGCAATGCCCTTCCCCATGTAAAGGCATTTCCAAACAGGAACACTTCCTGCTCAGTGTTGAGTGATGCCCACCAAACCAGTCCCAAGGGGGGAGACTGTACATCTCTGAGACCTGGGCAGCCCCAGAGTAATAAGCCCCTATGATGCTGCAAATGTAAAACCAGAGACATCTTGCTCCTATTTTCCCAGCAGACATGACTTCTCTGTTTGTAAAGGCATTTCCTCTTTGGAAGAGCTGGGTTGCAAGAGGCAAAGGGACCCAGCAAGGACTGCCGTACCTTTCCCAGCTCCTGTTCTTTTCTTCTGCCACAGTCCTATTCTGGGCTAGTTTTTGGGTGCAAGAATCCCAGGGCATGCCCTCAGAGGACTGCTGTGCTTTTTTGATCCAGATCAGTTGCCTGCATGTCTGATAAAAATGGAGATCCCCTTGGGCTCTCTGCACAGTTTCCATTTGTGCAGGCCATGTGCTAAATTCTTTAGTAACTTGGTAGCCCCAGCCTTGGGTCCCCGGATGTTGTACCGCATCAGCCAATAGTCCAACATCTGGACTATGGCCAATAGTAAAAGGTGATGCGAGCTGTGGTTCAGCTACAGATTGTACATCTTTAGAAATGGTCATATAGATTTTAATGTCGTAATGGGATTCTTTGATTGTGTGTTTTTAATTATCCTGAATCTTAACAATGTTGTGTGATAGGTTTTTATGTTTTTATCTGGGTAGTAAATAATAATAATAATAATAATAGGAATAGGAATAATAATGGCATAGTTAGTAAGATAGAATGATAATCATAGAGGAACAATAATTGTGGAGATGGTTTTGTTTTTGAGATTGTGTACTTTTTTTGTATTCTGCTTCATTGTTACCTTTTCTTGTGCACTGTTTCAAGGGCTGTGAAGCAGTTTATATACTTGTCAAATAAATAAACAAACCCAACATCTGAGGACCCAAAGCTGGGAAATGTTCCAGGAGAATAAGTCACATAGGAGGACAGCTCTGCCAATGGCTGTTAGGTGTGATAGCTCAATAAAGCTCCCTTATTAGGTGCAGCAGACCCAGATTTTGGGGGTGAACAAGTTGTGACAGCTGTCGTCTTCTTGCCATAGATCTCCATCTGATAATTGTTGGAAGCAGATGGACCTACCTTGACCTGTTTCAGCAAGGTTGCTCTTAACAAATGGCACAAAATAAGACCTTGGCTTCAGGCAGGAGTAGCCAATGTGTTGCCATCCAGATGTTGCATCTCCCTTCAGTCCCAGCCAGCAGTCAGGGATGAGCATTTTAGTCCATAACATCTGTAAGCTGCCTACGAAGGCACAAGCCCTCAGGTCCCTAGACAACTCGATCACAAATTGTCCTTTTCTGTCCTTGTACAATGCAGTCACAAGCGCACTCAAGCCCTCGTGCCTTGCACCACCTTTACAGCTGATCTGCAGTGTGTTCTTACGAGAGGCTATGAAATGTATTTTGCTTTAGATCCCTGGCCTCATCCTTCACCTCCCCACCAACAAAAAAACCAAAACCCTCACCCTCTAAACTCAAAGCCACTCATGCTGGTTTGCAGTGAAACAGCTTAACGTTCCATTGAATAGGAAGTGGTCACTGCAGACTCTTCTCTGTCTGGGCTAGAATGAGCTAAGATTGGGCTTGGTCAATGGCTAAGGATTTGATGATGGAACAACTATATGTGTTTAAGAAAAAGACAGACCTGTATAGGGAAAATGTTAATGTTTGATGTCTTACTGTGCTTTTATACTTTGTTGGAATCTGCCCAGAGTGGCTAGGGCAACCCAGTCAGATGGGCAGGGCGCTATTATTATTATTAGTTCATCAGCTTCAGAAGCTGAGACAGAACAAGTTTCACTGTCACACAAAGTCCATTTCTCCACTTCCTCTCTGACATGTGCAATCAGACCAGGAAGTCTCTTAATTCCATATCGGTTCCTGTTTCGTCCAAACCAGGAAATTATAGTTAGCAGTTTCAGAATAAGCCAGGATATAAAACCACAGTTTGAAATTGGCTTAATGCCTTGGCTTGTTCCTAAGTGGGTAACTCTTGTTTCCTAGCGTAGAAAAATACAGGAAACTATATTTAATTACAGGTTTATTAGTTTGATTGCTTGGTTGCAGCAGGAAGAACAGTTGTGGATGACGATCCCCAAAGCCACAGCAGCATGGCTAGTGCTCAGGAATTATGGGAGTTGTAGTCCACAACATCTGGAGGGGTACCACGTTGACTCTCTCTGACATGTGAAGCTTTAACCTTTTCACTGCTGCCTTCCTGGTGCAAATCCCACCCCTCTCATGTTGAAAATCAGGAGTGCCCCACTCCAGTCACTTGCTGCTGCTATTGCTATTTCTATAATTATTATTTTATGGGTGTTTAAACTGGGATGTTTAGTGCCGTGTCTAGTTGGATCCTCAGTGTTGTTGTTGAACTATAAAGCTCCAAGTGTTTTAGTCTTTCTTCATAGGGCAAGAGAGGTCCCCTGCCCCAAGGAGGCTGCAGTTTAACTCAGACTTATAAATGACCGCTCCAGCTGGAGAAAGTAGAATATGCTGCGGGAGATGATCTTTCTGGTTTAAATTACAGAAGCTGCAGAGAGACAGCGGGCAGGTGAACCGTGTTTAGTGTTTCTCTTTTGAAATCCAGCCTTTTCAGCACCTGAAATCTGGAATCACGCTGGAGCCTGCATTGGGTCAGAATCTCTTGCTGCTAAATTTCTCTACCTGTGTCTGTTGCAGATGTCAAGCCAAGGTCGTCTGTGGTGAAAGAGGCAGCATCTGTCCTTAGCAAGGGAAACATTAGGAAGAACTTCCTGACAGTAAGAGCTGTTCGACAGTGGAATTTGCTGCCAAGGAGTGTGGTGGAGTCTCCTTCTTTGGAGGTCTTTAAGCAGAGGCTTGACAACCATATGTCAGGAGTGCTCTGATGGTGTTTCCTGCTTGGCAGGGGGTTGGACTCGATGGCCCTTGTGGTCTCTTCCAACTCTATGATTCTAAATATAAAGTGGGCTGGGGGTGTCCCAGAGCACTTGAACCACTCCCTCTGAAGTTGCCTTCCTTGTTTGAAATGTGTCCTTGGCTGCAGTGCAGGGTTGAGAGTGCAATTGCGGATGAGAGGCTGGCCAGAAAAGGAGAGAGGAAGTTGCAGGCTGATGCACCCAGGAAGCTTGCCCTAATTCATTCACCCCGTGCTGTGAAAATGCAGCAGAACAGAGAGGACGTGCACAGATGTAGCAAAGCAGCGTAGCAGCGACTGTGTCACCTATCTTTTGCAATCCTGTGCTAAGAGGGAACAATCAAATATTAGCTGAACAGGAACGTCCTGCGAAAGTTAGTTGTGTGAATGACCCAAATGCTGCAGCAAATGATGATCAGGTAGCCCAGGGATCATAGAATCACGGAATTGTAGCGTTGGGAGGGATCATCTCGTCCAACCCCCTGCAATGCAGGAATCTCAGCTAAAGTATCCATGACTGATGGCCATCCAACCTCCGCTTAAAAACCTCCAAGGAAGGTGAGTCTGTCACCTTCCAAGGGAGTCCACGCCTCTGTGAAACAGCTCTTATTGTCAGAAAGTTCTTCCTGATGTTTAGACAAAATATCCTTTCCTGTCACTTGAATCTGTTGGTTTGGATCCGTCTGGAGCAGGAGAAAACTAGCTTGTTCCATCTCTCATGTGACAGACCTTTAGATATTGGAAGACGGCTATCATATCTCCTCTCAGTCTCCTCTTATCCAGGCTATGCGTACCCAACTGCCTCAACCGTTCCTCATCAGGCTTGGTTTCCAGGCCCTTGATCATCTTGGTTGCCCTCATCTGCACACATTCCAGCTTGTCAATATCCTTCTTAAATTGTGGTGCCCAGAGATGGATGGTCCAGGGTCCTCAAGAACGTGGGACACATTGGATACAGTGAGGTGTTCGAATGTGTGTAGGTAAAAATGTTCAGGCTAGGCTGATGGGAGTTGGGAGGGGGTCCCCAACATCTGGAGGTCCATCAATTCCCCACATCAAGTTTAGGATCATTAACAGGGAGTGTGTGAAACCACGGATATGCTTTGAGAAAGATCTCTGCAAGAAACAGACAGGCAGTGGGACTCCGTATGGCGCCTGCGAGGCTGCAGTAGTAACAATACACTTGATGTAAAACGATTACAGGGTTCCATTACGCTTCCTTACAAGGGACAACTCAAGTGGAATCATCTATGGTGTAGGTTTGCACTTCAATGCGAAACTACCTCATTTCCACATCCCGAAACAGAATGTGGACCAAAACACAGCCGCCTCTTAAAATCCTCACGTCCCCCAGTTTTGCCGTGCGATTCTCCCATCAAAGGCAGGAGTACAAAGATTCATCTGTTAGGGGGAAGTGTGCACGGCAAGGCAAATCATAATAAAAATAAATGCATTGGCGAAAATTGCTTGCAAAAATGTGTATATAAGCCAAAATTGCACACAGAAATGTGTGCTTTAGGAGGAACGGGCAATAAAATGCTAGTGGGTTTTTGTGATGCTCTTTTTTTAAAAAATAAATCACAAACTAATGTCGAAAGGTGGTAAATGGAACTTAAGAGTGGAATAAGAAAAAAAAACCCACCACTTTAGTGAAATCCCAAATTGTCGGATTCTGTACATCTTGGCTACAGTTTACTAGGGCAGCCAGGAAGGCAGATAAAGATGGGGTCAGGCTGACCCTGCTGACTATTCTTGAACCAGGTGTAGGGAACCCACGGTGGTTGAACTAGATGACAATTCCCTTCCAACTCTACAATTCTGTGATACTATACTCCTCCAGATTTTATTGAACTATAACTCCTATCTGCCCCAACAAGTACAGCCAGTGGCTAGGGATTATGGGAGTTGAAGTTCAGCAACATCTGGAGCGGGGGGGGGGGAGAAAGTCAATTCAGTTCACATTTAAAGCCAAACTTTATCTAATTCACACTTTCTGAAAAAGAAAGAAACCACCCTTCTTCAACCAATATTGGGGGGGGGGGGAGAATGTGCCTAAAATGAATATACCTGTGAGAATAACATACAAAAACACAATTTATTGGGGGAAATTGCTTGCCAAAATGTGCACATTAGTTAAAACTGCATACAAAGTTGTGTTCCTTAAGAGAGATTTGCACTAAAACGCTGAAGAATTTTCATGAGGGTTAAAAAAAAAAAAGATTTAGAGAACCACAACAAGCTCACCACACACAGCATGCCTTATTAAACCAAATCCACATGACACCAAATTTGCTGTTTTATGGACAGTGGTGTGACAAACCCGAAACCGCGTTCCCTCTGCATCTGACACCACGAGACGTACCGTAACTATCAAGTTTCCTGGCTTCCTGTCTCTTCGTTCCCGTAATATGCATTTTCGCCTTCCTCTTATTGCAACCTGTTCCTTTTCTGTTATTAACACTGAGTTGTTGCTTTTCTGGCTGGGGCCAGTTTGCAGTATTTCCCATGCCGCCTTCCATATCTGGAGGTCCTCCCCCTTGTTGCAATTGCTTTTCCTGCTCAGACACTCTCAAAACAGCAACCTTCTCCCTGCAAGAGCTCTTAAGTATTCCGCACTCACCTTGCCGTCACTTATCATTGCTTAGTTTTGCCAAAGCAGAAAGAAACTATTACCTAGAGCAAAAGGCAACAAAGTGTTTTTGTGGTACCTTAAAGACTGGCAGGGGATGTGGGTGGCGCTGTTGGTTAAACCACAGAGTCTAGGACTTGCCGATCAGAAGGTCGGCAGTTCGAATCCCTGCGACGGGGTGAGCTCCCGTTGCTCGGTCCCTGCTCCTGCCAACCTAGCAGTTCGAAAGCACATCAAAGTGCAAGTAGATAAATAGGTACCGCTCTGGCGGAAAGGTAAAAGGCGTTTCCGTGTGCTGCTCTGGTTCGCCAGAAGTGGCTTAGTCATCCTGGCCACATGACCAGGCTCCCACATGTACGCCGGCTCCCTCGGCCAATAAAGCGAGATGAGCGTCGCAACCCCAGAGTCGGCCACGACTGGACTTAACTGTCAGGGGTCCTTTACCGTTTTAAAGACTGGCAGATTTATTATGGCATAAGATTTCATGGACTACAAATGCTTGAAGTACTATCGTTTGTGGCAGGTGCTTGTGCTCTCTCTCTCACACACTAGGGACTGCTTTGCCTGCTTACTCTCCTCGCCAAACCCATCTACACCTTTGCCAACTTTTCCCCCCCACACTTGTCACACACTTGTCCCTTCACAACTCGCCCATCCCCTCACAGCTCACCCTGATCCCCAACTCCTTTTAATAGCATTGTTTAACCGAGAAAAGGAGCGCGTCAGAGAGTGGTTTGCTGAGACATTCTCTGAAACGCACTGTCTCCCTCCTTTAAACAGCTTGCCTGGACTACTTCTTGCTTGCTTGCCTGCTGTTCTGTCATCTCGCTGTGGCTGTCTATCAGCGGCCACGCACACTGCAGCGTGATGACAGCCTTACAATATTGTTATATAGTAAAGACATACACGAGTATGTCTGATCGTGGAAGTGGGGGTTGTACATATGTAAATGATTGGGGAAGATGTACTTCAAGGTACAATCAAGTCAGAAGGGAAATGAGATGCAGAAAAGTAAACATTCAGTCGCCATTCATTAAAAAAAACAGGCCAGCATTGGTTAGCCAACAAACACAAGTGATGTGATAAAAATCCATCATCCCGACTCAGTGATAGCATAGAACCTCCTGAATTTTGCAATTCACTGGTTTCACATTCCACTCTCCCTTTGAAGTTGCCCTTCTTTAGTCTGCAGCCGTCTTTAGTTTCAGAATTTCCTGGGAGGTTGGAATGTTTTGCCACCGAGTTTCTTGGATATTGCCATTTGATGTCAGATTTGTGGCCATTTATCCTTTGCATAGAACCTGCAGGCCAACAGATGTTGCTGGACTCCAGCTCCCATCATCCCTGACCATTGGCTGTGCTGGTTGGGCCTGATGGGAGTTGAAGTCTAGCAACATCCAGACTGGTTGCCACTGGTTCCCTATGCCTGCTGTAGAGACGGTCCTGTTTGCTGTACGTAGAATGCAAGTGATAGCACATTGGAAGATGAGCTGGGGGATTAACCCCTGATGTTGTGGATGACATTATTAGGTCCTGTGACAGTGTTGCCAGGATGGACATGGAGGCAGAATTGGCATCTGGGTCTGCAGCAGATTATTTATTATGCACTCTAGTATGCAGCATTGTTTGGGAGTTCTAAGAAACAAAACAAAAAATCAGTGAACATTTGAAATCAGCGGATAATATCAGTGCAGTTTTGAAGGTTCAGTTCACCACCTTGATTCAAAATGGCATCCAATTGTGTCCCAAAATAGGTGAAATCCTGCTTTTCAGTCCCAGAAACTGAAATAAAATGGTTACAATCTCTTAAGGGATATCCCAGTGCATAGCAAACAGACAGATAATTTTCCAATGTGTAGACTAACAGACAGTACCTGGCATTGCTTGGGAATTCTAAGAAACAAAAAACTACTAAGATATATAAATGGAAAAAATGTTTTAGTTTCAAAATGGAAATAAAACCCATGTTTTCATTCTAATGCTATTGAGTAAACTATAATGTGCAATGCTGCCCAAATTTGGTTGAAACCAATCCAGTTTTATAAGTTTCCACCTGCCATCTTGATTCAAAATGGCGTCCAATTGTATCCAAACATTAATGCAAACCTTCTCTTTTATGGAACCATCATGCCAAATTTGGTGCTGATATCTTGAGTCTGAATGCATAGAGAACAGATGGACAAATAACTTTCCAAAATATAGCTATAGTGGGAGGAAGAAGATGATGGAATTACAAATATGTGAGTCTTTTGAGATGCCACAGGGTACTTTATGACTTTCCCCTCTCATATAGCTCAGTGAGACTTCCCTCTGCCTACCCACCCATCTAGCACAGAGCAGACCTGAGATGATAATTGTTCTGATTTTACAAAGCACCTGAATCTGTCCGCACATAGATTAAATAGGCTGTAAACCTGCAGCGATGCCCTTCTGTCATCCTAAGGAGCGCAATTCACAGGAAACAAATCTTCTACAGGCTCCGCAGAGATGCACAGTGGTTGGACCTCGCAAATAATTTAGCCGGGCTGACGCAGGAGGCTGTCGGAGCGAGGTTTTTTCCACCCGACATAAAGATTCTTCCAGGCACCCCCTACGGCTGAAACTCTCCCTGTGGCTGCAGTCCAACTTGGCTCCGTAATTGATTTAGTAATGCAGTATGTCACATGCAGCCTGATTTTAGCTGAACACTTGAGAGAATATATCGTACTTTCTTTTTAACAGAGAGAGGATGGGGGGGGGCGTGGATTGCATTGTTTTGCCAGGACATAGTCTTGTCCCAAATGCAGTCCTTTTCTACTGGTTTGGTTCATTGCAAGTTAGTCGAGGGAAGAATGCTTGCATGTGTGAACAAACATATACAGTGGTACCTCAGGTTACATACGCTTCAGGTTACAGACTCCGCTAACCCAGAAATAGTGCTTCAGGTTAAGAACTTTGCTTCAGGATGAGAACAGAAATCGTGCTTGGATGGCGTGGCGGCAGCGGGAGGCCCCACTAGCTAAAGTGGTTCTTCAGGTTAAGAACAGTTTCAGGTTAAGAACGGACCTCCGGAATGAATTAAGTACTTAACCCGAGGTACCACTGTACTAGCAGAACACGAGGGGGGGAATCCTCAGGCCCAGGGACCCAATGTGGCCCTCTAAGCCCCTCCACCCGGCCCTCAGAAACCTCCTCTGGCCACATCCCCTCCCCAATCACACCCCTTAATGTGATTTGTCCTTGAACTCTGATAATGCTTTTTGCAGCCCTTGGTTTGAAAAGAGGTCCCCACCTGTGATGGATTTCAACTCCCACCATCCCTGCCCATTGGTCATGTTGGCTGAGGCTGATGGGAGTCCAACAACCTCTGGAGGCACCCAAAGGTCCCCCACCCCTGCAGTGGGGGAGATACCCACACCTCTCAGCTTGGCAATCTGAGTGCATTCAGGGTGCTTTCAGCTGCCTTCATTTGTTCAGGCACTGACAACATGGGATGATTCATAGCAGTCATGTTTTAAGATGGGTCACCCTAACCATATCTCACATCTCCTGCTTGGTTTGTCGATCCTAATCTGGGCAGGCGAATACTAGCCAGCCTGATGCCCAGAGAGCATTGCATGGAGGCAATAATATTTCCTGCCCCTGCACCCCTACCAGCCCCCAGAGTAGGAACAAGAAGTTTCCTTTATTTGTGCCTTAGCCTTGTACCAGCCTGTGGAACAACTCTGCTCTCTGCATTAAGCAATAAAGCTTTTACGGCTTCCTTGCCTTTCTGCAAATTAGTCAGACCAGTAGGTTGGTAACTGTGGATGAGTAAACCAACATCCCTCCAGTCTATAAGATTGGGAGTGTGAAAACACACACACACACACACACACAAACTGTGAAATAGTCACAAGTTTCTGCATCTCTTGAGCAAGTCTGCCAAATCTGCTTTCCCCACCCTGTGTCTGTTCTGAATGCCGCACCGATCTGAGCAGGATGTTTGATCGGGTTGAGCCGGGCTACGCTGGGCCGCTTGCCAATTTGCTCAGACTCCTCGATGCGGGGCTTTGTGTCGGAAATGACTCAGCCTCTGCTATGTGTTGCAAAGGTAAGCTCGCAAGAGCTGTGGGTGGCTTCGTGGTGAATTTGCTGCGCCGCTGCCCGGAAAGGTTGGGCACGTCTTTGGAGCCCGCAATTACTCAAAACGCTCCTGCATAGGAAGTTGCTTTATTCCGACAGTTTTGGCTGCCTTTGCAGATGACGCCAAACTGGGAGGGGTATTGCTAAAGCTGCAGAAGATGGAACCAGGGTTCAAGATGACCGCAACAGATGGGGGAACTGGGCCAAAGCTAACCAAATGAATTTCAATAGTGACAAATGTAAGGTTCTGTACTTAGACAAGGGACGCAAAGATAGGATGGGAGACAGCTGGCTTGACAGCAGTGCATGCAAAAATGATCTAGGGCCGTGTCCCCCAACAGGGGGGGAAATTTGATTTTTAAAGGGGGGCAATTCGAGAATGAGTTAGACCAAGTTAATGGCCTTTTAGGCTTCCTCCAAATGAGTGGCCAAAAAAAGGTTGGGAACCACTGATCTAAGAAGTTAGTAGACCACAGGCGTAATGTGTCGACTGTGTGATGCTGTGTCAAAAATTTTTTTACAGTGGTACCTCAGGTTAAGCACTTAATTTGTTCCGGAGGTCCGTTCTTAACCTGAAACCTGAAACTGTTCTTAACCTGAAGCACCACTTTAGCTAATGGGGCCTTCTGCAGCTGCCATGCCGCCAGAGCATGATTTCTGTTCTCATCCTGAAGCAAAGTTCTTAACCTGAAGCACTATTTCTGGGTTAGCGGACTCTATAACCTGAAGCGTATGTAACCTGAAGCGTATGTAACATGAGGTACCACTGTAATGCTATTCTAGGCTGCATCAACAACAAAAGTAGAGTGTTCAGTTCAAGGGAGATAATCTGCTCTGGACAGACCCCACCTGGAGTCCTGTGTCCAGTTCTGGGCACCACAGTTTAAGAAGGATATTGACAAGCTGGAAGGTGTACCGAGGAGGGCGACCAAGATGATAATAGGTCTGGAAACCAAGCTGATATTCAGCAGCAGACTGCCACTGGATATGGAGGTTCCTTCAAGTACAGTGGTACCTCGGGTTACAAACACCTCGGGCTACAGACACTTTGGGTTACAGACGCCGCTAACCCGGAAGTAGTAACCCGGGTTAAGAACTTTACCTCAGGATGAGAACAGAAATCACGTGCTGGCAGCAGCGGGAGGCCCCATTAGCTAAAATGGTCCCTCAGGTTAAGAACGGTTTCAGGTTAAGAACGGACCTCCGGAACGAATTAAGTTCTTAACCTGAGGTACCACTCAGGCCCAGGAATGAGGGCAGGGAGCATAGCACTCCAGGCCCTCACAACTCTTCCTAGCTACACTTTGCACACTCCTGGGGCAAATCTACACTGGTCAGTTGTAATGTTAAAAATGCATTATAACAACGTGCCAAAAGAGGGCTCTGTAGAGGAGTGGTCCATTTTACAATCAGCGTAGATCCAGCCCTGGAGTGTCTGACTTGCAATGTGCTCCCTTGACCTCTGCTAAAACCTCTCGCTTGCCTTGGCAGTGGATGGAGACGTGTGTCTGTTTGTAGAAACTAACCTACATTACTAAGTCAAATCTGCATTTGTTGCTCCACCCACTTTTGCCTTGGGCCCCGCCCACTGCTGTCATGCAGCACTCTTCTGACAACAGTTGTCCATCTCCCTTCAGCTGCCCACCCCATGATTCCTCAGACTGCCCCTTTTAACCAGGGGCCTGTGGACCTCTGGGTATTGCGGAGACTCCATCAGTCTCCGCCGATATGGCCAAGGGCGAGGGGGAATTGCATGCACCGTGGAACCTCTTTCAACACTCACTTAATTCCTCCTCAAATTCTCATCACGGAAGTCCGGGCAAAGCAGCTGCAGCACTTTATGATTTCAGTGGCAGTGCATTCAAAGCAACGCAGCCGTTCTCCTTGGCATCCCAAGAAAAAACCCAATTTCCCCTGCTAAACCAGGTACGAGCAATTTGCACACATGTATCTAGCTTTAATCAGCTTTGCAGAATAGTCGCGGGCGTTAATCTCCGGCTCCCAGAGCAAAGAGCTACGTTAGATTAGTGGGCCTCTTCCTTCTAATCTCTTGCAGTTGGTCCGCAGGCAGAGCTGTCAATTAGTCACCAAACACAATGATGTCGGAAGCGTTCCGCCTGTTTAGAAGCACCAAAAAAATCCTGTGTGCAAGTTAAGGCTGGTAGAGTGGGTTTAAATCAGGTCTATATATCTGTCACATTGGGGTTAAAAAAGAAAGTGGGAGAAAAGACTGAATCAGGAGGTCCTGAGTTCGAATTTCGGGCCTGCTGCAAACTCACCATGTGGCCTGGGCCAAGCCCCAGCGATCCCTGCACACAGAGGATGATGCCCTAATAATAAATATCACATATTTATGTGTGCTTAGTTGATTAGAGCGTGGTTCTGATAACGCCAAGGTTGCAGGTTCGATCCCTATATGGGACAGCTGCCTATTCCTGCATTGCAGGGGGTTGGACTAGATGATCCCCAGGATCCCTTCCCGCTTTACAATTCTGTGATTCTATGATCCTTGTCAGGGATGCAAGGGAATGTGAGAATGTGCTCCAATGGGAAGCCCACAAGCAGGATTTGAACACAAGACCGCTCTCCCATCCATCAACTGCTGTTCAGAAGCATAATGCTTCTGACCCATGGATGCAGAGCATATTCATCCTAGCTAGTAGCCATTGGTAGCCATATCCTCAATGAATTTGTCTAATCCTTTTTTTTTTAAAGCCATCCAAGTTGGCAGCTGTCAGGGGTTCAGGAGCAGAGGCACAGGAAAGGGAGGAAATAGAGAGCGAGGGGGAGGAGTCCGAAGGAAATGTTAGCGATGACAGCGGTCCGAGGTCTCTGAGTCTTTCCAGCGAATCGGAAGATTCACAGAAAGGGGCCCCTTGGTCAGAGCAAGGGGGTGCCGAGGGGACACCCCAGGAAGAAGGGGCCAGAGGGGACTCAGAGAGCAGCAGTTGGAAATCATGACCAGCGTCCACACCAGAGTGCAGTAGGGGGAGGAGTCCCAGGCATCGGGACTCAGGCGGCGCACTGCCAGTGGGAGGACATGAGTCAGGATTGGCCACGCCTCCATCGGGGAGCGAGGAAACGGTCGAGAGGAAGGTTGAAGGCGGGCGCGCGCGCCAAGTTCAAATGTACAGGAGGGCGGCGCAGTTGGCAGCCCGGATAGGGAGCCAGGTCCCAAAGCCCGCCGAAAAGAGGGGGAGGAGTCAGCGGGGTCAGCGTCAGAAGAATCCAGGAAGGAAGGGACCCCGGGGGGTAGCAGGACCCAGAGGAGAAAGGAGAGACGTAAGAGGTGGAGTAAGGCTAGAATCTTAAACTGGTGTACAGGGGCGGAGACTCAGATGGAGCTTCGCCGATCTAACCCCTAGACGTAGAGCTGGGGCGCTCCGGCTTGAAAATGGAAACTGTACTTCAATAAAGACTTTTGTACATTACTGCCGGCTAGCGTTGGTCCTCTGTGAGCTGGGACCTGGAGCCAGCTCTGACAGCAGCCATCACTACTTCTTGTGGGGAGCGAGTTTGGTAGTTTCTTGGCGGTCATCTTTTGATGGAAGCTTTGTATTGAAAGTATCTGTATCGTCAGGGAGTCTTTGAAGGATGTCATTAGCCTCGACCTCCACTGGACCGCAGCAGGGCAGGTTTGCGAAGCATCAATTTGGTGCATTGAATGCATCCTTTCAAGTACAAAGCAACCACCTCCATTGAGAACCTAAAAGCCCTCCAGGGTCCATTTAGCGGTTTGGCGATGACGCCAGCGGTTTGGAAAACACTCAGTGCAAATATTAGTGAGTTGAAAATAAAATTTTAAAAATCAAATCCGGAATGTTGGAGAGTTTTCAGATGTTCCCAGAGCAACAGGGGACTATGAGGCCAAGTGGAGGGTGACCCCAACCTCCCATAGCCCCCAGATAGTTCCTACTTAAAGTGCAGCTACTGGTTTTAGTTGCAATTAGGTTTCATTTCATTTCACCTTTAATTTGTATACTGCCTTTCTATATTACCAAACACAGGGTGGTTTACAAACTGAAGAAGCACACCTTTTAACAATCTGACCCAATACAAGAATGCCATAATAAAAACAACTTTAAAATAAGCAACATAGCAAATAAAGCAATATTCAACAATCCATTAGACTAGTATACTAGTACACAATACAATTAAATGCCAGCAAATAATGATTAAACATAAATTCACTCCTAACAGTTCCAACAAAACATTTCCAAAATAAAATCCATAAAAAATAACAGCAAGTCACAGTGCATAAAATAACATCATACAAATTGAGAAGCAAAGACACACAACTTATATTATTATTTTTTTAAAAATATCCTGAACTGCTCTCTTCCCAACTGATATCCAAATAAGGGTACCTCCAGATAGGTGGGGACAGGATAGTTGTTGGGGTTTTTTGCAGGTGTCTTCTGCAACATTTTAAAAAATTATTTGAATATTTATGACATGAGCAAAGGACATGTTGTCACGCACTTTCTGGTTAGCTCCATTTTAGGAGTGCTGGCGTCCTTTGCAGACACTTCCTGTGTGCCTCAGACATCTATCTGTACCCATGAGGATTAGCAAGCTTTGTTGGGGAAGCTGAGTTTTGAAGGATTCTCCAGTTATCAAGTGCTGCACAGAGGCTGCAAGCCAAGGTTGCACTGCGTACCTTTGAAGGTTAATATGCAAGAAGTTCGATGCGACTACATGCGTTTGCTCTGTCCTGAAGCAAAAGGGGGTTGTCATAGAAATGCACACTGCCCTTACCCACAGGGCAAAGCTCTGATCTGCATATATTTGCCCTTTGGCTGGTTTAAAAAAGGCTGCAGACTTCACGATAAGACCTATCTTGGAACCGGAATGCAAAGAGAATCACACCCTTGCAGTTCTGATAAAAGTAGGATTGCCATATTTCAAGAAGTAAAAAAATCAGGCCAACTTTTGGGGGGAAAGTTGAGCTATTTTTGGAAAAGTTACAAAACCCCAGACATTTTGCCAATTTCCTGAAATTCCCCTCGGATGCCTATCCCGTCGTTGGAATCGCAGACATGTCCAGGAAAATTCAGACATATGGCAACCCTAGATAAGAGACTCTCAGCTTCCTCTTTGGTTTCTGATCTGGAGTTTGGGAAGCCAAAACAAAACTAAACTAAACTGGTGAAGACTTAGGACTGTTCCTTGACATCCTTATGTAAGAAATGTGGCCAAAGCACAGTTGTGGAACATTCAGGAACACCCAGACTTGATTTGTTGTTTCTAATGGAATCCAGTTTTAACTAGGGTTGCATTATCAAACAGGCTACCTAGACCAGCCTAGCTTTTGGCCCATGGTTTTTGCAGCACCACTTCCATTTTGAGGTCTCCGGATAGTCCATACTAAAGAGGAAAGAATCTGTCCGTTTCAGCTTCCTTGGTTTCTCATTTTTTCCAGTCTTAAATTCCGCTTTTCATCTTTCTACAGGAACTTGTGCTATGCAAACTGGAGCAAATCTCCCACAAGTGCGGGAAGCTCAGCCCAAGCTGGGATCCATATAGATCTTTTCGTGTGGTGCCAAGTTCATAATCCACTGGATCCCAAAATTTGTTGACATAACACACAGCCCCACTCATTTAAGAGAACCTTTCATGTTCCAACGGCAGCTGCCATTTTTATTCTCCCACAATGCCTTTGGGCATCTCTCCCTGAAGGTATGCCATGTTGGGGGCCCAGAGGCTCACTACCCTTACCCCCACTCATTTCCTAACTTGGATTGACGGCCATTTAGACCTCAGGCCGCCCTGGAGCCGTCAGCAACTGCCGTCTTGTACTGATCAGGCGGCCTTCGTTACTCTTATTTGCCACCAATTAACTTTGGAAAAGCAGCACGCCTGACTTGCAAATTGGGTGGAGAAGCTTAAAGAAGGAAACTTGTTCTGTCATTAGTTAATCTGTAACTGTACAGCGAAAGGAAAGGCCCACATAAATCCAAACAATAACCTTAAAGACTGGTGGATGGAAACTCTGAGGGAACGATAAGAGCAGAGAGCTTGCACGAAGTTGTTTTATTTTTTTTATACTGAACAGGTGATTCTTTAGCGGGTTCAGAGGGAGAAGACTAAACTCTTTGAGCAAAATTAACTGGGAAGCTCAGGAATCAAGAAGACAAGAAATTCAAAAAAGAATGGGAGATGTTTATTACTGTAAACATGTCAAAATTATTGTAAACATGTCAAAACATTAGCAGGATTTTAAATACACTTGTAATGTAACAGAACATATAGTTGATTTGGGAAGAAGGGAAATTGGAGAAGTACTGATAAGCAGATGAAAATTGAATTAAAACTACCCATGGAAGGGATGGGGGGAAGTCAGGAGATTCAGAGTAATCTCAATATTTGGATTATGTGTTGTTTTTTGTTGTATGTTTATTTTTCATTTTTGGAAAAATTTAATTGAAAAGATTATATAAAAAAAGACTAGAAACTCCTTGACACGAGGGTTTTTGACTTATTGAGAGAGAGGCAACCCCGTTCTGGGTTTTGTGCCTGCAAACCGTAGTTGGCATTTTGGTCAGATTCAAGATTCCTTCTTCTTTATGCAGGTACGATGCAGGAAAAGATGGTTTCATTGACCTGATGGAACTGAAGCTGATGATGGAGAAACTCGGGGCTCCCCAAACACACCTGGGGCTGAAAAACATGATTAAGGAGGTGGACGAAGACTTTGACGGCAAACTCAGCTTCCGGGAGGTAATAGTTGCGGCGAGAGAGCCTATCCGACTCAAAAAGTAGGGTTTAGAATGCTTTCAGTAAGGGATGGGGAATCTGGGGGCCACATTCCCTCATGGGCCACCTCACAGGGGCCGTGTGCTCTGGAACGGAGCCTGCCATACAATAATCTGTGGCTCCACCCCACACTGCTTTTGGCCCCTGGAAGACTTGCTCACGGAGGAATGCGGCCCTCCAGAATAGATAAACGTCATTCTTCAAAAAATGCTCATCCATATACAGTGATACCTCGGGTTAAGAACGTAATTCGTTCTGGAGGTCTGTTCTTAACCTGAAGCACCACTTTAGCTAATGGGGCCTCCTGCTGCTGCTGCGCCGCCGAAGCATGATTTCTGATCTCATCCTGAAGCAAAGTTCTTAACCTGAAGCACTATTTCTGGGTTAGCGGAGGCTGTAACCTGAAGTGTATGTTCAAGTTACCACTGTACCACTGTATTAAAAAGCAAAGCGCAACAATGGTCAGCCCAAAATGGAAGTGGATGCTGTTCTGTAGGGCTGCTGCAATAGACTCTTAATTTGTTCTTTCTTTTCTGCCCCGAAGCAAGAAATAAAAATAAAGCCAAGGCAGAAAAATCAAACTCTTTCTCAAATGGGGACGGCAGGAAAATTCTCCTTTTGAAAAAGAGGCAAAGGCTTCTGTGGAGAGGCAAAGGCTCTGGGGCAAGTGCCCTGAAAAAGAGCTGCCTTTTTCAGCGATGCAGCTCAGAAAGGTTTCCATTTGATTCCTTCCTACATGGCTGAGAGGACCAATGGGATATACCGTATTTTTCGCTCGATAACACGCACCTGACCATAACACGCACATAGTTTTTAGAGGAGGAAAACAAGAAAAAAAAATTCTGAATGAAACAGTGGATGTATCATTTTTGTGCTTCATGCTGTGGCCACAGACATGTGATTTGACGGTGAGTTTGGGGTAGCCCAATGCAAAGATCCTGAGGATCCATGTGGATCCGTGCTTTGTAACCACGTTTTTGCACCATTGCAGCCCTGTTTTTGCATCAGATCATTGCTATGTGATCTGATGGTGAATTTGGGGTGACCCAATGCAAAGATCCTGAGGATCCATGTGGATCCGTGCTTTGTAACCACGTTTTTGCACCATTGCAGCCCTGTTTTTGCATCAGATCATTGCTATGTGATCTGATGGTGAATTTGGGGTGACCCAATGCAAAGATCCTGAGGATCCATGTGGATCCGTGCTTTGTAACCACGTTTTAAGTGGGGAGGGAAGGAAAAACATAGAAGGGACAAGGAGCACCGAGAGGGGTGTGCGGAGAAGCAGCTGGCTAAGAATGCAGGAGAGGGGTTTTACCGGAGGGAGGAAAGGAAGGCAAAAGTTCCCCCCACGCACCCACCCAAGCCAGCCAGCTCTCTCTCTCTCCCCCACCTGCATGTTGCAGCACCGGAGCACAAGAGGAATTAGAAGGAAGGACGCTCTGCTTTCCCCTCTGCTTGCCTGGAGGGGAGGGGTTTTCTCTGCTCTTTGTTCCGTTTGAGCAAACACAGTAACAAACAGAAGCAGGTGGGCAGTAAGACCCTGAGGCAGAATGCAGGAAAGCAGCAGCTTCCTCTTTTCAAGGCTTCCCTTCTCCGGACGATTGATATTTGCCTGATTTTTGCCTTCACTTGCGCCTGTCGGCTCCAGGGACCACACATTCGCTCAATAACACGCACAGACATTTCCCCTTACTTTTTAGGAGACAAAAATCTGCGTGTTATAGAGGGAAAAATACGGTATAATACTGTCACTCCCCCTGCCACAAATAGCTTCTTGTGGAGGTGGAGAAATCTGCAGCGAGGAACCATTGTAGGGGAAAAGATTCTATGGCTCTGATACAAAATAGGTCCCCAGTTTTGCCCTAAAGCAGCCACCTGAATTGCTTTGGGCTTGGGCTGTATCCGAAACGCCTCTCAAAATCATCCATCCTTTTTATAGGCCGGGAAATTGTTTATTATTTTAAAGGAGACATGCTTGTTTTTTCCCCATTCTTCAGCTTCCCCCCAACAACAAAAACAACAATGTTCCTAATAAAATACAAAAGTATATAGATATATATGCATATAGTAGGGTTGCCATATTTCAAAAACTGAAGCTCATCATCTCTCTGTCTGAAGAAATCAGTTTGGGAGTTTTGATTTTCCTCTTCCCTCCCAGTCTGTTTTCCTTTGCACGCCGTGTTCTTTTTAAATTGTAAGCTTTGCGGGTAGCGACGGTCGTGTTTTGGTTGTGTGTAAGCTGTTCTGGGAGCCTTTTGGGGCTGAAAAGCAGGGTACATAGACTCTTTATAAATAAAATGTCTTTTGAGAAATATTGGTTCAGTTCTGCTTTGTACGGTGGAGGGAGGGGAGCACATATTACTCCCGCCCCCTGACCCCGCAGCCAATTTAGTATCCCTTTCCACCACCCCAAGCAAGACAGAGAGCTTTTAAGATCTCATGAGAACCTCCCAGAGCTTGGTAAGTAAGCCTGGAAGCTTAAAAGCTCTCCTTCTTTCATGCATTTTAATTTTGCGAGATTATTGCCAGCTTTCAACCGTGTCAGGTTGCAATTGCACGAGTTCAATGCGCCTGCGGTGCAATCACGCTGTAGTACTCTGTCCCTTTTGCAAGTAGGATTCTCACGGGATTCTGGAGGAATGAAATTCACGGGAGGTTTGTGTTTTCTGTCTTCCCCCGCCCTGGCTCCAGTTTCTTCTGATCTTCCGCAAAGCTGCAGCAGGCGAGTTGGAGGAAGACAGTGGCCTGCACGCCTTAGCCCGCCTGTCGGAGATTGACGTTTCGACGGAGGGGGTCAAGGGAGCCAAGAGCTTTTTCGAGGCCAAAGTAAGGAGCGGCTGGGTGCTCTGTTCCCTTGGGATCATACCACCATCTGCACATAGCCCAAGGCAGGGGTTGGCAGCATGGAGTGGCTGCCTATGTGCCCATAGAGGCCTTTCGTGGTGCTTCCATCCCCCTGAAACCATAACAAATAGCCCTCGGAGGCAAGCACTTGTCAGTCGGTCCTGCTGCCTCGCTGCTCATTGGCTAGAGCAGTGGAAGGCGGGAACAAGGTGACTTATTGTGGAGCGATTGGGCAGAATCCTCCCTGCATGCTTTCCACAGGTAAGAGGGACTAGAAACTTGCTTGGTTAGAAGCAGAGGCAGATAATGCAGGCAGGGGGTGCCATTCCAGCACCATTTATGGAGTGTGCGTCAGAAATGGCATTTCTAGCTACCCAAGTTTACCTTAAAATAATAGTAAGCAAAGGAAGTCCTCAGACCACTGTCTCTTCCTGTTAGTTTACTAACTTTAGTCGGACACTCACCACACTGGCCCTTCCCAACTGAATCCACTGAATGGTCATATTCAGATGGAAAAGAGGTGCAGCTCAGTAGCAGAGGGTAGGTTTTGTATGCAAACGGTCCAGAACTCAGCCTCTGATATTCTTTGGTAGGTGTGTGAAACAGAAAGTCCTGTCTGAAACCCTGGCAAGCTCCTTCCAAGTTAGTATTGACAAGTATGGAGTTAGATAGACCAGAAAAAAGCAATTTCCTGTTAAAACCAGCCCTCTGTTCAGAACCATGAAGACAGGTGTTAAGTTGTGGGTGAACATATCAGACGACACAGCGATTCTTCAGACAGCTCTTGTTTATTCACAGGCCAGAACAGAACTGAACTGAAGGGTTCAGCCAGCCTGCTTATATAGAGCTCCACTAGAACACAACAGTAACCATTTTCTGTAACTATCCAATCACTGAACGTCACTTTCGATCCCTTATTTGCATATGTGGACCTGAACTATCTACAGTAACCCCCTGCTGGCCCAGGGTGAGAACTTCAGTACATAACAACAGGGGTCAGCAAACTTTTTCAACAGGGGTCCAATCCACTGTCCCTCAGACCTTGTGGGGGGCTAGACTATATTTTTTTGGGGGGGGGAATGAACGAATTCCTATGCCCCACAAATAACCCAGAGATGCATTTTAAATAAAAGCACACATTCTACTCATGTAAAAGCACCAGGCCGGCCCCACAAATAACCCAGAGATGCATTTTAAATAAAAGGACATATTCTACTCATGTAAAAACATTCTGATTCCCAGACTGTCCGCAGGCCGTATTTAGAAGGCGATTGGGCCGGATCCAGCCCCCGGGCCTTAGTTTGGCCACCCATGGACTAGAACCTTACCTCACTTTTAGAGAAAGGACTTTAGCTCCGTGGTACAGCAGTGTTAGCTTAATACAGTGGTACCTAGGGTTAAGGGACGCGGGTGGTGCTGTGGGTTAAACCACAGAGCCTAGGACTTGCCGATCAGAAGGTCAGCAGTTCGAATCCCCGCGACAGGGTGAGCTCCTGTTGCTCGGTCCCAGCTCCTGCCAACCTAGCAGTTCGAAAGCACGTCAAAGTGCAAGTAGATAAATAGGTACCACTCCGGCAGGAAGGTAAACGGCGTTTCCGTGCCCTGCTCTGGTTCACCAGAAGTGGCTTAGTCATGCTGGCCACATGACCTGGAAGCTGTACGCCAACTCCCTCGGCCATTAAAGCAAGATGAGCGCCGCAACCCCAGAGTCGGCCACGACTGGACCTAATGGTCAGGGGTCCCTTTACCTTTTATAGCACATACATGCTTTGCAGTCAAAAGGCTCCAGGCTCAACCTCTGATATTTCTAGGTAGGTATGCATGGGGAAGAGAGAATCCTGTTGGAAACTCTGCTGCTGGTCCATGTTGACAATACTGAGGTCGGTGGACCAATGGGCAGACTCGGTTGCAGGCATTTTTCTGATGTTGTACTGCTGGGATCTTTGGTTCATCCTTCCTCTTTCTCCTGCTCCTGCTTCCTGGCGCTAAGTGTTTGTAGTGAGAGGAGCTGCCCATTTGGACCATTCCAATCTCACCTGTCCAGTTTTTCTGCTTCCAGGTGCAAGCCATGAATGTCACGAGCCGCTTCGAAGAGGAGATCAAGGCGGAGCAGGAAGAGAAGCGGCGGCAAGCGGAGGAGATGAAGCAGAGGAAAGCAGCCTTCAAAGAACTGCAGTCGGCCTTCAAGCAGTGACAGGGCCAGCCCGAGCATTGCTGGGAGGGACGTTTGTCCGCGGTGAAGGCCGCCCCAGCAAAGTCCTCCAGCGAAACCGGGAACGATGCGAAGTTGCCGGCGGTTGTGCGGTTCCCACCTTTTGAGTCACGCCTTCAGCGGCTGCTTGATCTGCAGGTGATGAGGTTTACCTCCCTGCTGTGACACATTCCCATTTTCTGCCGCTCAGGCAGCCGTTGAAGGCACAAGAGCAGGCCCAGTTAGGGGTTTCCCGGTCAGTTGGCAACCCTAGGTTGTGGTTTGTGTTTGGAACAATGCGGAAAAGAATTTGCAGTTGAATCTGGAGTCGTTCAGGCCTCGGGCTGTGAAAACAACACCTCTCTTGTTTCTTCTAGACCTGTAAATACCACAGGCAAACATCCCAGAGGCTGCCGCTCCCATCCACTTTCCTGTGGGCCAGTTCCGTGTCTTTTACCTGTGAATGGCGTGTCGTGTCTGTCTGGTGGGAGTTTCCTAACTCTTTGTAACTGCGTGGCGTGTCCTGAGCTCAGGCTTTGCACTTTCGACTTGTGAACCATTTCATCTCCCAGCCGGTTTGGTGATCGCTGTGGTCGTTGGCTCACGGTCGAAGACCGGGGTTTGCGGGGAAGGCCTGAACGTACCCTTGCTCCGACAGCTGTGCTTGTGCAAAAGAAAATAAGAATGCAACTTTAGCGTGTGCAATCCCTTCCAATCAAAAACGCTTTAATTGATCACGTTAAAGTCCCTTTGCTTGAAGTGTTGCCAAAAAATCAGGTGTGTGTATGTGTGTGTGTGTTGGAAAGCGGGAAATCTGCAGACTCTCCAGGGTGGCTCAGTTTGCAGTGCCAGCCTGCAGAATTTGCCCTTTTCCTGAACAACATGATAAATGAAATGCAGCTCTCTGAAATTCGCATTCTTTTCTTCTTCTTTTTGCAATACAGTACTCCAGCCAAAGAAATCATGTATGTGTTAGATGGAAGTGCACCTAAAATGCATGTCGTCATGGAAATAGCTCCCCCCAAAATACATCTTACTAGAGCAAAAATGCTTGGGGAAATGGGTACGTCCAGCAAAATTGCATACACAAATCTGAATACAGGTAGGTAGCTGTGTTGGTCTGCCGTAGTCGAAACAAAATAAAAAATAATAAAATTCCTTCCAGTAGCACCTTAGAGACCAACTAAGTTTGTTATTGGTATGAGCTTTCATGTGCATGCACACTTCTTCAGATACTTCTTCAGAAGTGTGCATGCACACGAAAGCTCATACCAATAACAAACTTAGTTGGTCTCTAAGGTGCTACTGGGACAAATCTGAATGTTAGGGAAATGTGCACTCAAATGCTGAGTAATTTTCATGAAGACTTTCAAAAATGGCAAACCGGTGTAGGACTGTGGCAAGCTGAACCGAATGTGTTTTCCAAGTGCCCCTGCCCTTGCTTGTATGCAACAGAGGCTGGTCCATTCCCCACCAATCTTAGCCAGCCCCCCACTTGCCTCCCTTACAGCCAGTCCAAAGGAGTGGTCCTTCCTCTATCCTGAGTCTTAATGTTGCCCCTTGTAGAAATCAACAGGAAGGAGGATGGCAACAAAGCCAGAATGAGTAGTAGGCACTGCCTTTCGTTGTCTCTGGTGCCACCTACTGTTGGCCTCCCTGCCTTCCACCCTACTGGTCTCAGTGGGCACCAGTTACCGCTGCTTGAAGGTGAGGGTGGGCGTTTCCCCATCTTAAGAGGAGGGGCGCTGTAGCATTGCATTTTTGCTCACCTGGGCAGAGGGGTCGCACTTCTTCCTTGAGAGGGGTTTGTGTTTCCTCCTGCTCACACTGTGGGCAGGAAGGTGTTGTGTTAGCTCTTTGGCCATTACCATTGGTAAAGCGGGCTGGGTGTATTAGGACTGCCTACGGTTCAGCCTTATTGTCCCCAAGAACTTGAGGAGAGAAAGCTGTGTTGGCCACACACACACCAATGATTCCCTCCCCACCCCCCAATTAGGCTGGAGCCTTGAGATTTTGTCACCCTAGACTCATGGTTCATAAGTTCGATAGCCAATACAGGAAACCCATTGCCCTGAAGGGCAGCCTTCTTCTTCTAAGCCTGTGACAAAGTTGGCACATTCCATTGCGTCTAGGTTGCATTCGCTCAATACTGTGAGTCTCTCGGCCTCCCATCAAATACCTGTACTAGATAAGGAGCCTTGTCCTTGTAAGTTGCAAATGGGGAACCTCTGGTCCACCAGATGATGACTTGAAGTCCCATCAGCCCCAGCTAAACATCTGAGGGGACCTTCCTCTCATAAGTTGTCGGCTTGCGTTCTGAAGACTTATTTTCCTGCTATTGATTAGCTCATCGCTCCGTAAGTTTGCCATTTTAATAGGTGCTGCTGCTCAGGAAAAAGAAGGTGGTCTGACATACATATTTTGGTGAAATAATAATAATAATAGTAATAATTTTTTTACGGTGTTGCCCCTCCCACCGATCTTATTTTAGCCCCATCTACAGATGCCCTCAACTTCCAGTAAACTTAACTTTGTGCAGTGTGGATGAAGGCCTTAACCATGCTTCATGGGGCAGTGGGGTCAAAGGGCATTGTAAGTTGGGCTCTTGCTAGAGAAGCATAACACTGAATCATAGAATTGTAGAGTTGGAAGGGACCTCAAGGGGCATCTAGTCCAACCCCCTGCAATGGTTGTTTTGCCCAAGGTGGGGCTTGAACCCACAAGTCTACCAACTGAGCTAGTCCAGAAAAAGCATATTTCTTTCTCTCTCTCTCTCTCTCTCTCTCTCTCTCTCTCTCTCTCTCATACTCTCTCTCTCTCTGTATGTGTGAGTGTGTGTTTTATATCATGGCAATAACCCAAGTGCTGAAGTTGTGATGCAACAGGCAACTCTTCTTGCAGAAAAGTATCAAGCTATCTTTTAAAAAAAGAAAAGCCTTTTTCATACCTACACATTCTGGGCAAATCCACCCAAATCTAGAACCACGTGGGCAAAACTTGTAAGAAAAGTGTAATAGTCTATATTCATGTTGAATGTTCAGGCTGGGAGACCACCCCTAAGTGCTTTTAAATGTTCAAATGGCTTAATCTGGATGATTATTCTGTTTTAATTTTTTGCATGCACTGTGATCATTAAAGAAAGAGACAACCCCCGGTTGTCAAATTCAGGTTCTGAAGCAGAAACCCTCAGTGTGTTTGACAAGGGGAGAAATCTACTCCAAAAAAATGCTTTTTTAGCTCAAAGCTCGAAAAGGAAAGTGATAGAGTTAGCATTGCCAACTTTTTAATTCCCGTGGATGCATTCCTGTATAAAGGTTCCAATGGCAGGGTGGGTTTTTTTGGGGGGGGGGTTGGAGAGAAGGGGTGATTTTCCATACACTTGAAGTGCCCCCTTTGGGATGTGCAAAGTAAAAATTTTTGTGACCTGCAGACTTTGATAGGGGGCGGAGTGTTTCTTGATTCCACATTCGACCTGCGCATTTCTGATTATTGCAGTGGAGGAGGACAGGCAACTATTTTTCTTAGAAGTTGGCAATGCTGAATAGACCACTTTGTTTTTGAGACTTGAGGCAGCAACAAGGGAAGTCCGTGCCCTTGGCAGAATAAGCTCCCTGAGCAAAGCTGAGCTTTAAAAGCCAGAGAGTTGACATTATATTTTGTTACATATATATTTTGTTACCCAGCAAAAAAAAGAAGAAGTCCATTCTCTCCCATTTGCCATGTGAAATCCCCTCCGGTTTCCTCCTTCCCTTTCTTTCCCTTTATATTTTTTTTGGCAAAAGTCCTGTTGATCTCAGAGGCTTTGTTTATTTTTTCATATTGCGACCATAGGTGGTTGGGGGTCCGGAGTGGGGAGGGGGTTTAAGAAAGTGTTATATTCAGTCTCCCCTTCCATTCTTCTCAACCTGTTTCCCTCCCCCACCCACCAACCCACTCACCAAATAGGTTTAAATGGATGGATTGAAAAGAATGTGTTTCTGCTTTTGATTCCAAAAGCTGTTCCATTTCAGTGGTATGATTTTATTTTTTTTAACCAAAAGTAATTAAAAAATATATTTCATAAGCATGTTGTGTGGTCCAGAGCTGTGTTTACTTCCTTTTTGTGTGTGGGGGGGGAGAGAAACAAAAACTGATATCACTTTAAGGTTAGAATTTTGCCAGCTGCTCAAGTTCTTGTGGCTGAGTTTGCTGTGAAGCACATCTGAAAGTGTACCATTGAAGAAGCTAGGATTTAAGACCGCGAACGCTCAGGAAATGTGAGGAGCTTTATGAAAAGAGCCTGCCCCTGTTTTGTTTTCACTCAGAAAGATTTATAGACAGCTTAATAGGGAAAAGGTAAGTGGTACGTATAAAATAATTATTGATAAAACAGTAAAACTCAGTCCAAAAAGTTACACCGCGTAACTTCAATGGGTCTACTCCGAGTAACTCTAGAATTGGCTATAACCAGTGCTTTTTTCCTTTAAAAAAATGTTTAGGGGTACTCTCATTTTGACTCAAGAAAATCACCATTTTATAGTTCAAATCGGGAAAAATAAATACAGTAAATGGACATAAGTACAAAGATTCACAAAATGTTTAGGGCTATGTGTACCCCTGCACCCCCCCCAAAAAAGCACTGGCTATAACCCAATAAAATAAAATATAACCCAATCAAATTAGCCAAGCCCTTAAAACCCTCTGTGGCAGTGAGAGATTTTACTTTCTTGGGCTCCATGATCACTGCAGATGGTGACAGCAGCCACGAAATTAAAAGACGCCTGCTTCTTGGGAGAAAAGCAATGACAAACCTAGACAGCATCTTAAAAAGCAGAGACATCACCTTGCCAACAAAGGTCCGTATAGTTAAAGCTATGGTTTTCCCAGTAGTGATGCATGGAAGTGAGAGCTGGACCATAAAGAAGGCTGATCGCCGAAGAATTGATGCTTTTGAATTATGGTGCTGGAGGAGACTCTTGAGAGTCCCATGGACTGCAAGAAGATCAAACCTATCCATTCTTAAGGAAATCAGCCCTGAGTGCTCACTGGAAGGATAAGATCCTGAAGCTGAGGCTCCAATACTTTGGCCACCTCATGAGAAGAGAAGACTCCCTGGAAAAGACCCTGATGTTGGGAAAGATGGAGGGCACAAGGAGAAGGGGACAACAGAGGACAAGATGGCGGGACTGTTCTCGAAGCTACCAGCATGAATTTGACCAAACTGCAGGAGGCAGTGGAAGACAGGAGTGCCTGGCGTGCTCTGGTCCATGGGGTCACGAAGAGTCGGACACGACTAAACAACAACAACAACAGAACAAGATTGTATTGACAATGCTGAACGTGGCCAACATGAAGGTGGAACAAATAATGATGCCTTCTTTAATCCCTAATTTCAGGCTTTGCCAACCTGGCGTCTTACAGCGGTTTTTGACTATCATATCTACCAGCTGATCGCAGTTGACATCCCAAAACATCTGGAAGGCCGCAGGTTGGTGAGGCTAATTTATTTGTTATTTCTTTGACGATCAAGGGCTTCCCCAATGTTCTCCCTCCCACCTTGCTGCTCTCCAGTTTGATATTTAGCAATGCTGGGGGCACTGGGAACCGCCAGCTGGTTCTACACTTGTTCCCTGATAGGGCTGAGACGTGGGTGTCCTTGAAGGGTTCCTTTGTTTGAGGGCACCTGTTTGGTTCTCAGCGGCTGCTACCAATTTTCCAAAATTGGTCCTTTAACATGCAACAAGAGCTGAGCTCTTGCTTCAGTGCACATTCTGGCTACAGAACCTTCTCCCTGCTGCCTCTGGATGTGGGCAATGGGCAGCTGGCGTCACAATTGAGGGTGCAATGACCATAGATCAGCAAGGAGAGGGGTGCAAAAGGGAAGAGCTCTGGACAGAAACAAGCCCTGAAAGTGCCAAAAACGTGGCCCACACATGCACTTACAATAAAAACTATAGAGATAGATGATAGATAGATAGATAGATAGATAGATGATAGATAGATAGATAGATAGATAGATGTAAGTTTATTCCACAGCCGGTTTTGTTATAGAACTCATGGCAGGTTCTCACTGCACTCCGACACTCCTTGTGTTAATATTTCGCCATCATCTACAGAAAATGCAAAGGAAAATTATTATTATTATTATTTCTTTAATATGAGGGTGTCTCTTGGTAATGAAGGGACAGCTCTCTCAACCAAAGGAACGGAGGGAGCTAAAAGCTATCGCAAACTCAACACATACAAAATCCAGAAACCCAAACCAGGATGACAATGATCATTGTTTACTACTAATTTATTACCTCTCTAGCCCACCTTTCTTCCAAAGAGCTCAGGGTGGCCTGGATAGTTCCACCCTACCCCCCATTTCATCCTGACAACAATCCTGTTAGGTAGGTTAGGCCGAGAGGCAGCGACTGAGCCAGCGAGCTGCATGGCTGAGTGGGGATTTGAACCCTGGTCTCTCCCGGTTCCTAGGCAGACGCCCTAATCACTGCGCCACACTGGCTCTGCAACGCATCCCCTGTTAAGCAGGAAGGGTTGTTGAGCCGCCTCAAAGTGCAGAGCTCACCTGAACGATCCAGTCGTTGAAAGCAGAGACCCGTGTGAAAACAGTGGGTTTGCGGTAGGTGTTGCACCCGCTGGAGGAGACGAAGCTGCCTATACCGTGAACCTCCCACTTTCCACTGGAGGGTTTGCAGTTGAGTGGGCCGCCCGAGTCCCCCTGGAAACAACCAAACAGAATATGATGGAGCTGCTTTTTTTGGAAGGATGCTCTGAGTTTTCCCCTTGGAGACGACTGGGGAATCAAAATTGATTGTTTCCGAGCGGCTAAGGCCCGGTCATCTTTGTGGCAGCCAGCCTGATTCACTGCCACCAGACAGGCTCTTGGACAGAAGTGGGGAGACTCTGGCCTACCAGGCAATTTGGGCCAAGCCATGCTCAGCTGCCGCTGGATCACGTTTTGGGCCTAGCCTGAATCCCCCTGCTTAACCTTGGCTTGCTTGAACTACATGGCCCTTGCTGCTGCATGCTTGAAGCTTATATCTCCCAGAATCACTTACATCGTACTTACAGAAATATTGTAAAGAAGTGGACTCACTAGCAGGATTTGAGTAAACACAATCAAGAATCTGGGAAATGATATACAATGAATTAAAAAAGGTATTGAAATATACTTTCTTAAAGAAACCAGAGGCCTTCCTCTTGGGCATGGTCGGCCAATTGGTGCGAAGGGAAGATAGAACTTTTTATGTATGCGACAGCAGCAGCAAGAATACTCATCGGGAAATATTGGAAGACACAAGAATTGCCTACCCGAGAAGAATGGCAGAGAAAAGTGATAGACTATATGGAACTGGCTGAGATGACTGGAAGAATTCGAGATCAAGAAGAAGGGTTGATGGAACAAGATTGGAAAAAGTTTAAAATATATTTACAGAATTACTGTAACATAAATGAATGTTAGGAAAGGTTGGAGAAGAAATATTAGACCGTATTGGCAGACAGAGTATAATGGAATTAAGTAAATATAAAGTGTAAACTAAAGGATAGAGGAGAATTAAATATTTTTGAATGTTAAACTGTTAAAATAAGTGAATGAAAAGAAGGTTAGAAGGATTTGCTGGAGATACAATTTGAATTAGAATACAAAGCAGAGAAGTGAGAGGAAGTCACGGAAATAAGTAAATGGGAAAACGGTTTGTTAAATTTGAATTCTTTTTTTCTTGTTATTTCTTTATTGTGATTTTTGATTTTGTGTATTTTTTCCTTTTTCCCTTTTTTTTTTCTTGTATGGTGTGTATCTTTTGTAAGATGTATGTGACTGGTTTTCTTGTTTTGTTTTTTCTTTCTTTTTTGTAATTTTAAAACTTGAATAAATATTCTTAAAAAAAAAAAAGAAAGAAAACAAACACAGAGATTAAGACATAATAATTGGAAAATAAAAAAGCATATGAAGCAATTTGAAAATAATTAAATGACAAGAATAGAACAATATTCAATTCAAGAATGTAATATTAAGGTACAATATAACAAGCAGGAGAAGTTAATATGTAAACAACCAGAAGAGGAAGTTGAGGGGAAGTTGTGAGGGGAGGAGTGAGGCAACTGGAGAATTATATTTTTTCTTTTCTTTTTGAGATAAAGTGATTGTGACGAATATAAAATTGTAAAACTTAATAAAAACTATTTACAAAAAAAGGAAGAAGCTTATATCTCCCAGGGTTGGGTCATGAGCCCCTGCTACTACTACTACAACAACAACAACAACAACAACAACAACAACAACAACTTACTGTATTTATACCACGCCCATCTGGCTGGGTTTCCCCAGCCACTCTGGGCAGCTCCAAACAGAATATTAAAAACACAAAAACATTAAAAACTTACCCAAACAGGGCTGCCTCCAGAGGGCACCCCATGTGAGGAAGAAGAATGGGGCAGTGCCCATGGGCATAGTCAGGGAGGTGGGGGGAGCACAGCTGCCCTCCATAAATCAAGTAAATAAATAAAAATACTAAAGTAGAAATTGTAGAAAGATTTTGAAGGATTTTTCTGAGCACCTGGGGTCGAAATAAAGAAGATATCAAGAAGATAACAAATTTAATAAAGAATGGGGAAAATTTTTAAAGTTACTTTAAAGAACACTGTAAACAATTAAAAACAGGATTCTAAAAAAAACAACAACACTTGCAACACAGCTAGAACTATGGTGAGAATTAAGTATTAAGAAAAGATGGAGAACATTATAAGATGCAGTTGGAAAAGAATAACGATGGAAACCATGGAAGAGTGGAGGGAAGTCCAGGGATTCAGAGAATCCTATGTTTATATGATTGTGATTTATTTGTGATGATATTTGTTAAAGGCAAAAATGAATAAAAAATAATTTTTTAAAAAAAGAAATAAAACAACTTTTAAAAAAAGAAATAAAACAACAACTGTCTGACAGAGCCAGACAGAAGGTGATGACGAGTAGGTGTCCTCTTAACATAAATCCTGGCTAGCCCAGGGCTGTGTCCACAGATCTGCGCCCTTAATGCAATGCTTTGAAAGGGAAGCCCACGCACGGCTCTAAGTCCTCTA